CCCAAAAAGTTCCATTGGATACTGAATATTAATCTATTACCAAAATGTAGTTGCTACATAAAAACAAAATTCCATTTCAAAACTAACAATCAATAACAAAACCAAACAAAAAGTTTTAGAATTATCATATTTTTCAATATATCTAAAATTAATATTTTTAAATAAGAATAATGTACAAATTGTAATAAGATATTTTAGAAAAAAACTGTATAAACCTTTAGACAGTGAAACCCGAGTGCTGCACCCGCTCGCTCCTGGCGCGCCCGCGGGCAGCTGTCACTTAATAATTTAATTGTGCATTTCCCTCCCTTTTTCACAGCTCTTTCGGCGGGAAACTCCGCCGGCCATTACGGCTCAAAGTGAAAAATAAATGTCCGAGTGAAATTGCGAAGCCAACTTATGTTATAAATCTACTTTTTATTTTATAACAATGTGGTAATATATATGTACCTATATTTAAATTAAGGAATGATTTACATATTTTTTACTTTCATTTAATGTGTTTTTTTAATCGACCCAATATAATTTTTATTTGTATTATAATTTATATATTTTTTTATTTGAGGTTTGGTTTTTATTAAAAAAAATAGATAGAAATATCAATTTTTATAAGTGACTTTAAACCAGTTTCATATATTATTTTATTTTCTTGACTTGAAGAAATCTCTTCTAGAGTAAGTCCACCTTTGCAAATTGAATTTATTATATTTTAACTACTGTATTTCTTTTAAGATCATCACATCTACAAAATATTATTATCATAAAAATAACATGTTTTATTTATTTATTTGTATTTTTAAAATCATGAAGAAGAACATGTTGCAAAAAGACGAATGAAGTGATATATACGTGCACTGACTAAATTTAAAATTGAAAATAAGTAAATATCCTGGTTTTAATCAATAATTATTGTCAAATTACTTTCAACGAAAATCACTTTTTTCACTTAAAGTAAAAATAATTTATTTCAAATAATAAATAAAATTTACTTTAAAACTACATGTGGATAGTAAAAATAAAAATTATTACATACCTTTACGTCGGAAAAAGATGAAAATTGCACGCGAAGCTTCAACCGTCACGTCCGTTGTAAAGCTGAATGCACACTGAAGGAAAATTAGCGTGATCGCGAAATCCGCCCAGTTAAGTGGGCGGAGCGTTCGCTGGGCGGGGCGGGAGCAGCAAATCGGGTTCAATCTCATACTTCTTTTCTTATCTAGTCGAGAAGCAGAGTGGTCAACCGGATTAACGAGGAGGCTGTCTTTAAGTTATCGTAATCGCTAAAAGCCTTATCCGGGGATAAATGGCTGAAATTGTTACTATTTCAAGTATTTTATTATTGTATTGTAATACTAAATAAAAGCTGATGTAATATATAATTTTATTGTATGAACATTTGCTTATTTTTTTTTACTAAAAGTAAAAAAATGTTTGCTAGCACACTAGTTCCATTAACATATTTTTAGGCATATTATCGTTTCAACTAGGTACTTATTCAATTTTTGTATGAGAAAAATACTTGTATGAGAAATATATTTATATTTTTAGGGTTCCGTACCTCAAATGGTAAAAACGAAACCCTTATAAAATCTCTCTCTTGTCCATCTGTCCCTCTGTCTGTGTATCACCGCCGATTTTCTCAAGAACGGGTGGACCTACCAAGTTGAAATTTATACCAAATACTGAGGTCTGTAGTCCCTATTAGGTGTATAAAAATCTAAAAAAAGTCAACACGATAAAAAAATATGGGCAAATATAGATTTTCTCGAAAACTTGTAAGTACCAAAATTTGTCTTAATTTCCAACTTTTTTTATTTTTTTAGATTTTTTTCTTTATTTGTGCTGTAAGACCTTGCTTTTTGCTAAATTTCGTGATTCTAGGTCGACGGGAACTACCATATAGGTTTTCGACCGAAAAGTTGAAAATTAAAGTTAAACAGATTTCCTACTTTGTACGGAACCCTCGGTGGGCAAGTCCGACTTCCACTTGTCCGGACTTTTTTATAAATAAATTTAATAAAAAACCTGCATCTGCAGCCAATTATATACCGTATCTTCTTCTTACATCTAAAATAACAATCTATTTGTATTTAGAGGAATTAATGTACTTAAATTATAAATTGCAGCAAAAATGACAAAATCATAACATATTTTACGATATGAAATCTACTAAGATTATTTGGTAATTTTCTGTTAGAATGTGTAAATATACATCAGCAATATAACTTTTTAACAATTCTTTCTCTACGCCCTTTTTGATCAGTTAGTATGTCTTCAAACCAAATCTATGCGATAACCAGGCAACATTAAGAACAAAAAAGTGGAAAGGTGTGGAACATCCGGTATGAACGAAGTTCATAAATGCTCACAAAGGCCTGTACAGAGTGCAAACTTTCTTCCAACATACATTCCTTAACACTAACGATCGCCAGGCCTGGTACTTATGGTGATGACACATGGGGTGCTCTTTTTTTATAATTAGAAATGGGCTAACTCTTGACCTTCAAAGGCACAGATAAGGTCTACGATCTAGCGAGTTTACCCAGGAGAAGCTTGTTAACACGCACCTTAAATAGTTTCAGGTTGTACGCACTCGGAAAAACAGACACAGGCAGGGCATTCCACTTCTTGGCAGTGCGCATTATAAAAGATAACGAATAGCAAATGTAAATAGTAAAGAGTGTTGTGACCATTAATATATTATATCAACGGTTCATGATGAAAACTTTACACATTTTTCCCTCTAGCTCTCATTCTCATCTGCTGTGTGCCGACTGCCGGGTATAACGTGCGATAAGGAACTTTGTTACGTTCGTTACAACACAGAAAAACATTCCATACAAAGAAATCGGATAGCGCTAATAATTATTAACGCTATTCTTCGAGCTTGTTTTGTTTACCTGAATAGATAATAGATGTCGTTGGTCCGTTAACTTTCAAATTATTTAATTTCATAAATATGTGTAAATATTTAATCTTAACTATAGTAAAATTCTTAAAGCAATTAATTCAAGAAATATCAGTAACTTTAAAAGTTTTTTAACAGTGCTAAACAATTTATAAAAAATAAAAGCGCCATCTGTGAAGAATATGCATTACAAACCCATTATCTGATTGCTGATTTTTCAATAATAATCAGTAAAAATACGGTAATTTGATTTACGAGCACTCTGCTTCGTTTCCACTCGCTTATATTTTTTTAAAACCATATTATACCTTTTTGGAATCTACTTAATATATTTTCTTGAATTCATACAAACTTGGAACACAAATCGATACCTACACCACCATCATTTAATATTTATTTGAACTAACTTTTGTTTTTTGCTTACTCGTGATGAGACCCCATGGTTCTAACAAACAAATTACAAAGTGATTTCAAACCATAAGCTTAAGACGTGTTAGACAAAAACTAGGAATTAACTTAGGTACTCAATTTTAGTGGGTGTTCTCTTGATAAACAATTCTATTAATAGTTTAGTTAGTCTCTACCGTTAGCACTTTAACTTGAGAATTGAAAGTACAAAGTTTTTTAGATACTTAGCTCAGCCGTTCTTAAAATGAACAATAGATTGTTCTTAATTACAACACCTACCATTCAGTATTATTTATAAAACAATTTTAATGCTTTTATAAAACTAGAGCCAAGTCGAAAAAAAAGTTTAAAATAATATATTATATCTTTTTTAATAGTTACATACTAAAATTTAAAAATTGTAGGTAATGACTATATATTTAGCTAAGATGAAAGATGCCCACTGCTGGACATAGGCCTCCCAAAAGATACCTACTAAACATATTAAAAAGTTTAAGCACGACTTTAAATATCGTAAGATAACATTTAGGTTAACTTTGAAATAAAAATTAGGTAAAAAATTAGAAATAAAAATATGTCACATATTATTAAAATTCAATATCCTCATTACTGAGAATATGTTATGTACTTGATATATACGTTTGTTTATTTAAATTTTATTATATTTATTAATGGATTACATTATTTTTTATACCTAATAATTATATGTACTTTATAATAATATTTTGAACAATTATACATATTAATTATACTAATATTATGTAATAGTTCTTGGTACTGTCATGCCTAGTATTGTTTACATATTATTGCATTTATGATTTATTATTTAGGATTTTTTATTAATTGTTCTTTTTTAATTTTAAAGTTTATAGAGTACAGTAATAAGCATTTTGTTGAAATCAATGCCCTCTAAACACGTGTTTAAATAAATAAAAACCCAAAACAAAATGAGGACACAGAGCCATCTATTGTCCGATAATAGATATTATATTAATAGGATGGCCAAGCATCGTTTTGATACGTCACTCCGCAGTTCCACTTCCATGTCCTAAATTAGCGGCGCGCATATTCTATTGATTAGGCGCGATATAGACGACGCAGAGGGCGACACTTCTAATCAACTTCAAAACTACAAACAAAATTTATCATTAAAATATTCATATTATTTGATCAAAAATATAGTTTTTCTATATTTATACTAATATGAACATATTTATTTAATTTTGGGAACTAATATATTTAAATTTCAATTATTTGACACTCTATTGACTTGTAAGCAGGCGTCGGTCCAACGCACGACAATAAACCTATACACCGCCATCTTACGTTTATGTTGACAACTGCAAGTGAATTTGGTGCAGTAATTTTGTGATGTAGGCAAGATATTGAAATCATAGTGCTTGTACTCTAATTGGTAAGTTGTTCATGAAATAAACACTGAAATTGTTTAGCGCAAAATTCGAATAAAATTCAGAACAAGTATTAAAGTATATATAAAAGTTTAATTTCTACTTTGTCAAAATGCTGAGCAACAAACAATCACAGTAACGATCGATTTAAAGTATTTTGACCGCATTATAGGGCCTTTTAATGCAAATTTTATATATATTCTTTCAAATTATCAATATTTTATTATTTCAGCACAGCGTGTAATCCAGACATGAGATAAAATTTAATACGAACAATGTCTGAAGTAAAGCAAGTGAAAGTGGACAACTGGGGAATTTATTTTCTCCAGAGACTGAAACATTTCTTTAATCGAACGGATTATTGTGATCTGACTCTTCAGTTTCAAGATAATGCCCAATTAAAAGTTCATAGACTCGTTCTTAGTGCCTGCACCGAATACTTTGAGTTACTGGAGCGAACATGCGAAATGTACGAGGATTGTTTGGTTATGCCAGACGACTTACAAGCAGACGTTGTGGTTCCTATTATAAATTTTATGTACACGGGACAGCTAGAATTTAAGATAGATTTACTAGAAAAGTTGTATCAAACTTCTTTAATTATGAATATGCCAGTGCTCACTAAGTTACTTGCTTCACACCGCAGTATTGTGCAACAACAACCAAGAACAGCAGCCAATAATTATTATGGTAAAAGATATGTGAAACAATCTAAAGGTACACCTCCTACATCCAGCAATTCTACCAACAAACGTGCCTTCTCTAGTGCATTTAGTAATACAGAAACACCAAAAAGTAAGAAACCTAGCACAATGAATAAAATTGAATTATCATCAAATTCTAAGAATAGCTCTCAAGATTTAGGAGCATCACAAATACAATTTCCTGTATTTTATGATAAGAATAATCAATTAACTAAAGGAGCCCGCCCAACTAGATATGAATTACCTGAAGAATTAGAGGAAGATAACATTTTTGACAACTCTTTCACCAGCATTTCTTATACTTCAAAGCCTTTGATGGTTCATCCTGAGACAACAAAACAATATAGGTCAAAACGAATAAATTTGTTTGAAGAAGGGTCAAGTACAAGCAGATTCATGCATAATTCATCTAACAATGATATAGTTGAATGCAAGAAGATCACTGTTAATAATAGTATATTTTTAGATGAATCATCTGACATGGTAGCTGATGAAAATGAATTTTTCCAGCAATCCCCACATACTAAAGAAGAGATTAAAGATTCAAACCAACTCTTCGACCAAATTATAGAAAATGATGTTTCCAACATAACTATTGAGACGAAAAATAAACAAAGTGGCAGCTTAGATCATGCGAAAATAATAAGTGAAGTGCTTAAAAAATATCCACATTTGGTAAAAAGTAATAAGCAAATAAAGTTAAAAATTTTGAACACTGCTGCTAACAAAAATAAAAAGCCTCGTGCGAATACTTCAAATAATGAAGAGAAAGAAAAGATTAAAAATGAAACTCGGGACTTCACATATGAAACTGATGTGATTGATTCTAAAGAAGCTGCTCGCCTTATAGCTTTGGGTGCAGAGAATATTAAAGGTCCATGGATATGTCTTATTTGTGGTACCCCAGGTAAAGCCTTACACTTCACTAAATACTACAACTTCCGCAAACATCTCGTAGAAGTGCATAATGAGAAACCTGTGCCAAATATCTGTGAATATTGTGGCTTAAAATCACAAAAGAGAAATTATTTAGTATATCATCAATTAACTAAACATGGAGTTGAGCCTCCAACCCATTACAATTTCCCTAAATGTAATTACTGTGATTATATTGCCCTAAATGAAGCATTGCTGGTAAAACATAAAATAACCCACACAGATATAAGTAACTATAAGCGAAATATTTGTAATGCCGCATTTGCCGCATCATTAATGGATAGTGTGCAGAAATCAAACAAACAATCTAGCTATGAGAAAAAGAATAACTTGGTATGTATGTATTGTCTTAGAGTTTTTCTACGTCAAAACAACTTATATGCACACTTAAAAACTAATCACAAAGAAGCTGCTAAGAATGATGGCCTTATATATGATTCTGAAGAAGAAAATCCAGAAGAGGAAGAAAAAATATTTAAATCTAAATCAAATGATATTACAAATTTCATTAAAGTGGAAGTACCTGTGAATTATGAGTATGAAGATGTACAGTATCAGCTTGAAAGAAGACCAGATGGCAATATCCATGTTGTATCTAAAAAGCCACGGGTGGTAATGCCTGCTAAACATAAAATATTAAATCCTGGTTTTATTACTCAACAACAGACTTTACCTTCACTAGCTAAACTACAACAAAAAACAAAATCTCTAAATACTCCCACTAAGGGAAATGAATTTATACAAGAAATATGCTTATCGCCAAGTAGTAATGTTAACCAAGAGGAAATCGTGGTAATTGATAACAATGAGTACATTGTCCGTGATTACCAACTCTTCCCAAAGACCTCGAGCACAGAGAACAAAGAAGAGACAATAGGAACAATCTTGCCGAACACATCAATGGAATTCCATAATGTTCACAATCAAACTCCTGAAACTAAAATGTTCATTAAAAAATCATCTAATCTTAACCAAGCTTTACAGATAGTTGTTTCCAATGAAGAGGAATACAAAACATTAATGAATTCTAATCAATCTGTTATATTCGATGACAGAGATTCAGGCAAAACTTTGACAGTACTAGCAGCTGCCGACAATAGTACTATGGAAGCTAGTACTATTGATTTAAACAATACTCAAACCAATGAGATGATGATAATTCCAGAGGACTTCTCCATTAATGTTTCTGAAACAGTTTCAGCTGATAACCCTAATATAGTTGTTGTATACAGTCACCCTGTAGAAGATCCAAATAAACAATACCAACTTATAGCTACACAAGAAGTTGGGGTGGAGTTTGTGCAATCGTCTCAGATATTGACCCAATCTTTTGAAACGGTAACAACATGCTCTCCAGTTTCGACCACACAAACAACTGGAGAATCCTGGCCTAGTAATATACAGGCAACTCTCAGCAAACTACCTATAACATCTGCTGCAGATTTAGAAACTATGACAGTAGCTGAATCAGTGACAGTTCCATGTGAAACTGTTTCAAGTAACTTAAATGAATATTCTGATGTTACATTAACGTCAAATGAACCTGTACCAATGGATACTGATGTAATTGAATCGCAAGAACAAAATGAACCTGATAAAGCCAATATTATAAGTAATATTGAACAGAGCACTGAACCATCTTGTGAACCAAAAGCTGAACTTGTACTTCATCAACAATTGATTGAGGATAATAATATTCACCAACCACCAATTAGTGAGCCTGATGTTCAATCATTATCTGTAGATAATGTTCAAACTACTGTTATAACTGATTTAATTAGTACACCTGAAGTGGAAGAGCAACCAACAATTTCACACCATTCTGACTTAGACATGGTTGATGAAAATCTTCAGGATATAGCAAATAATAATCCTGAAACAGTCATAAATGTAGTTGTCCCAGAACTGGAAATTCAGCAGACTGCTGTCATAGATAATATAGAACCTGATATAGAAAATGTGGAAAATACAAATATAGATATAGATCATTCAAACTCAGAAATATGTCCAGAAGATACAGATACACTACTAACAAGTTCAGATGACCACATTGTGCCTCAAGATATACCCAATGTTGCAGATGTAGTTAATGAAATTCAAAACATTGACGACCAGACACATGAACAAGTTACTGAAGAAATGGAAGTAGCCGAAACAATAGAAAATATAGCAAGAGATATTGGTGTTGATCCAACTTCAATTAATAAAGAAATTCAATCAGATGTGCCTCAAATGCTTTCTGACACTCAAATTATAAATACTGAAAACATTACATTAAAAACAGTGACAAACGAACAGATACAATCTCTGACATCTGAATGGTCTGAGGATGAAAGTGAGATAGCTGAAACTGTGTCCAATAGTGGAAATGTGAACACTGAACTTAGAAATGAAGATGTTACTGAAACGTTGTCTAATGGTGAAAATGTGAATTCTGAGCATAGAAATGAAAATATTGAAAACTCCATGGAAGTTGAGGAATCTATTGAAAATATTCAACAGGAAGTAGAAAGACATGCATCTGGAGAAATCTTAGCCGACACAGAGAATGTTCATTCTTTACCAGATGTAAATGTGACTATTTCCGTAGAGGAACCAGGTAATGAAGAACCAATTGTGGAAACACCAATAATTCCTAATCCTAAAATTTCGTCTCTCCTCCATGATTGGGATGACAATGATTCACAGGAAGAAGATTCTACAGTTACTGAAAATAAAATTGAAGAGTCAACTCCAGTCATTCAAAATAATAATGTTGAATCTGTTAAAGAAAGTGAGGAGAAAGAAGATTTGAGCAATAACGATAAAATTAAAAGCTTAGTTAGTGACTGGGACGAGGACGATGAAGAAAACAAGGACTGACTTACTGAAAATTTTTATTTTAAATACATTATAAATAATCACCATACAACTTTATATCTGATAGAATATCTATAAACAAGTATGAACTTAGGAAATATATCCTATACTTATTTTTACATATGTATATTAATTGCTAAACAAACATTAGCTTTCTGTTTAAAATCTTCTAACTTAGTATAAATTACATACACATATTGTAACCTATTTTATAATAGAAGTGCTTTGCACAATTGCCAAATTGTAGTCATGTGTTTGGCCGTATCATTAGTAGGAATTTTTACTTAAAATAGTCTATATATCTATATGAATGCGATCAGTCTGTATGAATATTGAATATAGTATTTAAATATATAATATAGTATGTTAGTTCCTTTTCATTCGATTGTAAATTTTTAAATTATTGTTAAATTTTCATCTTTAAATCATTAGAGGTGGTGCAGGCTTCCCTTATATTAGTGATTATTAGATTATAAGAATATCACATTGTAAAAGATTAATGTTCTTTACAGTCTAAGCATGTTACATTAGAAGAGAAAGAATTTATTTTCGATTCAATGTTGCATAAATCTCATATATAATGTAAATAAATAAATCAAATAAGAACTTACAAAAATTTATATACTTTTTCAATTGGACCATGTCACTTGCATCCCATTAATAAATTAAGTTTTAAATATGTAATGTATGGTAAAAAATAAAAAAAAATATAGTTCAAGAAGACTTTTATTAAATCAAGACCTGAAATGTAATTAAATACTTTCTTCACATTATAAATAAAAAAATAATAGGTATAACATTAGTTCTAATGAGTAATATTTATAGGGCATAAAATTTCTGTGCACATGAAAACAACAATTATGTACAAAAATACTTTTATTACTGTATTTTTATTAACTACTAGCCAATTAATAGAAATTACAATTTTAGGTGTATATATCACTTTCTATAAAGATATTTGTTAAAGAATCACAAATACTTTCAGTATTTACACATTAAATGCTATTAAAATCTTCAAGATTTGCTAAATTTTGTAAGAAAATAATAGGTCATGACAAAAATTACAACTTGCACATTTACAAAATATTACAATATAACTAAGTTTTTAATAGAAAAGTGGAATTTCCAATGCTTATTACACTGGTTAGTGATTTTGTTAAACAAAATCGAGTTGGTTTTTTAAACACTACTAATTAGAACATACCCGCATATAAACAAACCTCGTACTTAGTTTCGTTCAATCATCCTCAGTTTCCGTTAAAAGTCGATTAACTGATTACGCGAACTTTGCTTATCGACGTGAAATGTTGAATTTTAAATTTTATAAATTTAAAACGGTTTATCTTTTAGTTGGTATTTCTATACATCGTAATATGATGTCCAGAGTGTGTGTAAATCATTCTGATAACTTTTGCTATGTATACTTTGCAGTTCGATATATTTTTGAATTAAAGTTAGTAATTTTCTTGGAAACCACGAAGCCGAAAACTATAGAGTTTAGCAGCAAATTCTTAACGGCTTACAATAATTTTTACGCTCTTTTTTCATTAGATATAAATTTTATTTTATATACCATATTTTTGTTTTTTCTTTAATTTGCTGCTGTTGCAAAAAAAAATGATCGTGACTGCTTTTTTTTTAAATGCAGATTAGCTACAAACTAGTTCTAAATACCAAATAACCCATTCAATTTCATTTAACTTTCATTAAGGTATTTTTGTCTTATCAGTGTTATCACAGTTACTTACCAAATAAATTACATAGAAAAAAGAACTAGATACAATAATAATACAGGATCAAGGAAAAAGTTGTTCATAGTTACATATGGAAAATGAGTCCTTATAAATGTTATTTTCTATAGTAAACCTAAAAAGTAGTAGAAAATAAAATTATAAATGTGCATATGAGCAACAATCTAAATTTGAGTAATAGTTATATTTCAATAATAATATAGTATTTAACAGCAGCTAGTTATATGTTTCGTTGTATAGCCTCATTCTAATTTATGTTTATTATTCAGATTTATAGGCTTACTAGCTTTTGTTTTATCAATTTATGCAATCTACACAGAATATCTGACCTAAGAGTATACTATTAAATTTAAGGGTTATATGAGTAAATTCTTTAAACAACATATTTACATAATAAATTACACTATTTACACTTTAAATAAAGCAAGCTGTTTTAATATTTTAATCATTGGATATAGAAACTAGGACATATTTAACCATATATGCAAGAAAAACGAAACCAACTAACACAAAAAGGTTTGTCAAAATATAATACATATTAGACTGTTGTTCGGTTATTACTTCACTATCACTACTATTATTAGTATTGTCAGATTGAAGGATGGCTTCCTGCCTCTCCTTTAGTAATTTTTCTATTTCTTCCACATACTCAGGGAATAGTTCACAAAACATCTTGTTTTTAAGATTAATTTCGAGAGATTCTGCTGCTAAGCATCGTTTTTGATAGTCAGATGTGACAATGGAACCCAATGTTGGAGTTTTCTCTAACATGAAACTTAGCAAACCAGTTAAAATTGTAGAAATGGACCATGCAGGATTCCATGTGTCAGGATGAAAATCGGTAATACTAAGGCACAATTTTGTATTTGTCTTAAACCGTCCGTTTGGCGTAATCATATAAATCGATGGAGGCTTGAAAGGAAATTCCCTTGGAAATATTATTTTACCATGATAATATCCACCTTCGTAAGGACTCTTCTCGGGGCCTTTTACAACGTAGTGCCATTCCAGTATGTTCGAAGGAACGGGTTCTGCAGTAACATAGGGTACAGGATCATTTTTCAATCGAAGATAATCCTGTTTTAGTCTACTGGTAGCTCCTGTAACTTTAGTTTTTGCCATTGTTTGTGGAACAGGGAAACATGTAAAGATATAAAAAACCCAAACACTGTCTTCGTTTCAAAAATATATACGTAAAAGTTGCTGTTACGCTGGATTCTTTCGACAGTTATTCTATTAGCTATATGAAATTGTATAATTTCCGTCACAAATCGAAGTAATCCGAATGAATAAATAGAATACGTCACTGTATCTGCACAAAGTTACAAATCATATGTCAAATTCATTATTGATAGAGTTGCCATTTGCCATTCTTGTTCCTGGTCTGTGGTTGCCATCTTGTCATCTTGATGAAGGTAGAAAAAGAAATTAGAATAAAGGTAAGTGGTAAGTCGTAAAGAATCTCAAATTATATAATGATAATTTAATAAAACATTTGATTTTCAAATATTCTCTTTCTATTTACAATTTTAAGTTTTGTTGGACTGTTTAAAATGTCTAAAAAAATAACGTATCTTTACCTTCTAAGCAATTCTTCTTTACTTTCTAAATAATGCTTCATACAATTGAATAATTGTAGATCATAAATTGGAACATGTGAGTTGCTCCTGGTACTTCTCAGATAGCAGAATGGACCTTTGGGGCAATCCCTTGGTTGTTGCGGCCTGTTTCGGCCAGGCTTGCCATCAGAGCGTCGCGTGGTTGAGTGCGTAAGCGAACTTGTGAAGTTCCATTAAGACGAGGGGAGGTTCCGTTGGGTTTTACTGTGTAGTACTGGCTTTTCTAGCCGTTGAGTCCTGACTGTATGCAGGTAACAACCGTGAATATATTTCCAAGAACTTAAAAAAAAGTTACCTAAAATAATAATTTTGTCCTGACTGATTTCGGCCACGGCAGTCAATCTTACTGAGACTTGGCAACTGTGCAGAAGATATTATAGTGCACAACTCACAAGTGCACTCTCTATTCCTGTCACTCTCAACGTCTTATGGGACGATACTTACAATTAGACACGACCAGTGAGAGTTGCGACGGCTTTACGTGGTCTCCGAGGTATGGGGGTGAAATATCGACAACTTCCCAAATCCAGGCTGTTACTGAGAATTTCTTGACAGAAATACGCAATACCTGAACTTCTCCCCCGCGACTCGATCCCAGGACTTCCGGATCTGCGGCCGTACATGCTAGCCACGAGAGCATTGAGGCAATAAAAAAAATTATTACTATGGGGACTCACTAAGAACATCAAAAGATGGCATTATTTTAATTTGTTATTAAGGTTTGTTTAAAATTATTATGGTAAAAAATAGATCCCGAAAAAGGTATGTATATGGTAAAAGCATAAAAAATTGTAAAAAATCGAAAAAATATTTATTTAAAAAAACTATGATTGATCTTACTTAATAACTTAAATTTTTAAAATTACCCTTTAATCTACTGTGCATCCATTAAATGATAAGATATTGATGATAAAAAAGAAAAGGATCCTTTTTCATTAAAAGTCGAATATCTCAGGGAAAAAATCGAAGTAAGGAGTTAGGTAAAAAATTTTTTTTTTCATTTTTTACATTTTTTATAATTTATTAACAAAACTATGATTAAATGTTGTAAATATCAACTTAAAATTTTTAATTATGTTTTTAACTAATGAATAAACAAGATTAGACTATGAATGAATTTAATTTATTTCTGTAATTACCTTGAAATGGTTTTTTTTTAGAAAAAATCAATAAATATAACTCTAAAATCGATCAAAAACTAATAAAATATCGATGTGAAAAAATTATAACAAATACATTCTACGGCAAAAAATATGAAAGCAATGGTATACTTTACGTGAATTCCAACTTTTATTATTTTTTCACGACTCGTCAAATTGCAAAGACTTTGGAATGTTTACGGCGACATTGTATAAAAAATAAGCGTCAAATTAAAAACTTAAGAATACTATGGTTTTTCCCGAAAAATGCATTGGTGTAATCAGCTTATAAAAATTTGGTCAATATCAACACTTCTTCAATGATAATTGAAAAAAATGTACTTAATAAAGTAAAAATTATCGATTTCTTCCATTTTTAAATTTTTTAAGGGTGTTTTTGTAGGACGACTATACAATGTTTTTATTTTTTCAAGACGAAAAAAATGAGCTCTATTTAAAAATTGAACGAATTGTTTTTTAAACGTAAACGTTCACTTGAAGTTGCGGGTGATTTACAGCCTCTCGATAAAACATACTTTTCTCGAAAATCGCTAAACATTTCAATTTTTTTTTATTTGTTAAATGTATTTCGAAGATTACATTCCCTTAGTTTCATGAAAATCAAAAGATTATTCTAGAAGTAAAAAATGAAGAAAAAGTTAAAAACAGAGTTTTCTGCTAATATCTCGAAAACTTTGAAGTTATTGTAAAAAGTGTTATTTATAAAAGTTGTAGATTTTTACTAGACCTACAACGTTTGTAGAAAACATTTTTCGATAGAACTTCACAGTAAACCGGAAATTAAAAAAAACTATTTTTCAACGCTTTGCGTACCCCCATTTCTTGGGGGTAGCTGGAAATGGGGGGCATTTTACGAATTTCTATTCCTTATAAACCTGCTAACATTTTAAAATCATAAAACTTCAGGTTTTTAATATATTTTTTTTCCTATTAAAAATAAACGGATTCCGATTGGTCTAAATGCACTCGTAAATAAAATAAGCCTAATTTTACATAATATTATGTATTCAAAATCAGCAATCAGTCATCAGTCAAGGGTTTGTAGAACACATTCAACAAGACTTTAGTCTTCCGTGATGGTCAAAGATACTTTTTTGATCGTTTGCGTTTGAAAACTATTAGTTAATGAAAATTATTTAATTCCTTATCAGGATAAATACCTATTGCAATATATGTATTATATTTTATTTTAGTTTACAAATATCTATAAAATAAATTAGTTCTGCAGTTTGGAGATTTAAACAAATTTAGTTTGAAGAAGTAAATAATTTTGGCCATTTTTGAACCTATGCTAGAAACCGCACATTTCTGCACATTTATAAAATATTACGTAAGAATGGATTAAAACCCCGCAATTGCGCAAACAAAAAGCCAACGTCACGCGGTGTTCCCAGGCGGTCACCCATCCAAGTACTGACCGCGCCCGACGTTGCTTAACTTCGGTGATCGGACGAGAACCGGTGTGTTCAACGTGGTATGGACGTTGGCAATCATAATGAACAAAATCTACATAACTCTAATAGCTGGTTAATAATTTATTTTTATTGTTTAAATATTTTGAGATGTGTTTTCTACTAATTCTTTTATTCATACTTTTCCCGAGATAGGACCTAAAAGTAAAAATTGACAATAAAAGTATTACAGACTATAAAATAATTATTTTATTAATCAATATTTATATTTTATGTCATGATTATTATGAAGTATATATTTTATATCAAGAGCCACAATTGATTAGCATATTTCTGATTTCCTGGTTGAGTTGTTTAATCGTATCCTCATCCGGGCTCTCCTGTTGAATCAAATTGTCCCTCTGTGATATCAACTCTGTTAGTTTATCGTTGGACGGATTCTTCATATTCCTGAAAATTTTTAATATTTACATTCATAATATTCATTTTAAGTTAGTAATGGTATGTCCATACTACTATTATTAATGTGAAAATTTCTGAGGATGCATGGATGTTTATTACTCAATCACGCCATAATGGCTGAACGGATCTGGATGAAATTTGTCACAGAGATAGATTATAGTCTGGAATAGCACATAAGCTATTTTTATCCCTGAAAAATATACGGTTGCCGTAGATTAGATTTATTAATTTTTTTTTACTAGGAAAGAACCCAAAGCGAAGCAAGAGTGAGTCGCTAGTCAGTAATAAAAATAAGAAATACATACACTAAATCATTGTATAAATCCATTTCTTCAGGACCTGAAAAGATATCAGTCAATTCAAATAATTAAAAAAAAATAGGTATATCAAATCTCTTTTACTTCTACAATATCATATATATGTCAATAAATAGATGTTTAAGGAGACAGTTACTAGTAGTTATTTTAATACGTACTTATTATTGAATGTGTATCGAGGACTGGTGGAGTCTTTGTTAGGATGTCTACATAAAAATCATCTTTTAGCTTGTTTATATCTACGTGATTTTCGTTATTACTCTCTTCTTCGTCTTCTATTGGATCAAAACTAAAAACAATAAAAAAGGAATTTGTTAAAAATAAGTGAGTTACTGAATGAGTGTTTGTGGGTTGGCTGTCTGTAACAACTATATAATGCCTTTGAGACATCTAATATCTTAGTCTCTCCCTTGACCATGATTGCTGTAAAGCATTCGAAACGTCGGGAATCAAAAATCAGAATAAATTCGCAAAAACATCCAAAAGGATAGTTTTATTTTATTTAAAATTTTGTTACTACGTTTTAAATAAGTACCTACACATTATTTAAGGATAACGTATTATAAAAAAACGATACTTGATTTTATTAACGTTAATTTTCGATAGTGGCACATCACTATTTAAGAATTGCAAAAAAACTGGCAATCCACGTAATGTCAGTTTTGTCTCTGAGATTAAAAACCAGACTATACATGTTTCTTTGTGTGAAAGGAGAGAAAAAGACCTTTTCATCCGCGTGCGTTGGAGGCGTATGTGTATGACTTATGAGAGACAGAGAAGACATGTTTAGATGTTTGTATGTGTGAAGGGAGAGAAAGAGATAGAGAGAGACTTCTCGAGCTGCGTGCGCTGGCGGCGCAGTCGCGCGAGGGCGCCGGCGCGCGCCGCACGCCGCGCGCGGTGCAGCTCGCGCACGGCGCGTGCCCACTGCTCCTTGAAGAACGCCTTGGACTGCGTCGCGCTGTCGAGCTTTTCTTCTAGGCTGCGCTGTGGGTTACGTAAATATTTATTTGCTCGGCTTCTTCGCTAGCTTACTTCCCAATACAAACTTTCATCCCCATTTTCACCCCTTAAGGGATGATTTCCGGGATAAAAAGTATCCTATGTCCTTCCCAGGGTCTTAAACTATCTTCTTACCAAATTTCATCCAAATCGGTTCAGTAGATCCAAGGATTACTCCCTACAACGTCACAAACTAACAAACTTTACCTCTTTATAATATTAGTAAATAAATAATTAAATGAATAAATCAATAAATAAATATAGATTTAATAAATATATACCAATAATACATTGTAATTACATTAGTTAAATTAATAGATACGACTGGTTAGAACCAGTACAAGTACCAATTACCGAGATATATACATAACTTATTACTAATTTTTTCGGTTGAGTAAAAAAAGGCGGTTAGAAACACCATTGAAAGGATAACTAAAAATACATATGTTACATATAAGAATTAACATTTTAAATAATTAAAATGCTTTTTTTTGCGGATTTATTTGATTTGTAAGTCTCTGCCGTTTAACATTGTGGTAAAACATTCGAAAAATCGGAAACTAAAAATCAAATAAAAGAAAACCCTGGAAAAAAAAGTTAGAATAAATAATATATAATAATAATATACAAGGAAATTGGGCTTATTATTAGTAAGTGATCATATGTAGTCAATCAACATCATTTTGATTTTTTTCATTACAATTGAATTTATCATTTAAGACTTGAAGAAGAAGAAGTATTCAGTTTGACTGAATTTTTCGCTGATGTCGATATCTAACGCCATAAAGTTATAAAAACGCAAATATTTACCTCTTTATATTGTTTTTCATACATTGAAGTAATAATCCGTTTTTCCGTTTAATTTTGTCTTATTAAAAAAAATGCGTAATTATTTTTTTACAACTACAACACATTAGAATCCCCAATCTTACCAATTCCTGTATAAGGCTGGCCGTCTGATCTTTAGTGAGACCCGAGTATTTGTTTTCAGCGTCTTTCTCAAAGTTTTTCATGTTATTCTGAAAACTTATTTTACATTAAAAATAATACCGAAATTGCTGCTGAACTAGCAGATGGCATTATATTCATATGTATATGTTGGCTTCTCTTTCACACTGCAACGGTAGGCAGGGTTTGAATGATATATTCAGTACACAGATAACATATATAATACATAATACATAAGCTAGATTAAGCAAATTATTAAATTAATCTTAAACTATTTAAAATTAACTAACAAAAGTAACCTTAAGTACATCATTCTGTTTTTCCAATAACAATATTTTCTGTTGCAATTCCTCAATGGTCATGTCCTTCATTTTCAAACGGTGGTTCATATCATCTTCCATTTTCTGTGACGCTTCTCTTAGCTCTTGGTATTTTGCTGTGTAGTGAGTTTCTAAAGCTTTCTTTGCTTCCAATAGCTGTTGGAAATATATAAAAAGCAGTCATGAGGAATGCCGATATAACCTTAGTCTCTCCAGTGACAATGATTCCTGTAAAGCATTCGAATCGTCGGGAACCAAAAATTAAAATAAATCCGAGAAATAATCCGAAAAGATAGTTTTATTTAAAACCTATTTCTTTGTTGCATTCACTGAGGCTTGCAGTACTAATAGGGTAATTTTATATTCATTATCGCCAACGTCCATACCACGTTGAACACACCGGTTCTCGTCCGATCACCGAAGTTAAGCAACGTCGGGCGCGGTCAGTACTTGGATGGGTGACCGCCTGGGAACACCGCGTGACGTTGGCTTTTTGTTTCTCATTTTGTTTGTTTGTTGCTCCCACTGAAGCTACCAGTACTCTATAAGCGCACGATCATTTGATATATTTTGTCGCCAACGTCCATACCACGTTTAACACACCGGTTCTCGTCTGATCATCGAAGTTAAGCAACGTCGGGCGTGTTTTATGTATATAAAACCCTATATATAGCCTAAAATTTTATTATATGCATGGATAATAGATGATATATAATACCTTTTTTTCCCTTTCAGTATTCCTATATCCCCTAAGTCTGAAGTCATCAGTAGCTCTGCTCAAGTCCGCCGCCAGAGTGCGACACTGCTCTATACCCTTGTTCAATTTGCTTTCCAATTCGTTCCGCCGCTTAAACCATTCGTCGGCTAAAAGATCCAGATGATACTCTTCTTTGCGTTTTAGCTGGAATTGTAGTTTACTACAATTAATAAATTAATAACTGATTACTAATAGACAGTTATAAAAATAAATTATTTTTAAATTTCACATAAATCCTTATAAATATTATAAATGAAAAAGTTTGGATGGATGGATGTTTGTTACACAATCACGCCAGAACGGCTGAACGGATCTGGATGATTGGGCACAGAAATGGATTATATTGTAATCTACAGATACCTCGGGTTAGATTGTTTTTGTTTCTCACAGAGCAAGGGACCAACTATCTATTTCATACAAAATTTTAATCTATACATATAATAAAATTGTACAGTACAGTGGTACAGCCATAACATGCTAAGAGAGCCACCATTTTTAGTAGCTAAGACACGAGTTACAAGTATATAATACCTGTAACTTAAACAATTCCTGCTGTCTCTCTTTCCAGTCTTCCAGTTCTTCTACATATTTCTGCATAATAACATTACGCTCGGCTGCTGATATTGATTTTTTCTCATCATCTAAAAATAAAAATGTTTGATTTTAATTTACAAAAATCTCAGACTAAAAATATAATATAGACTGTGTCATAGATCTAAACATGAAGTTTAATAACAAATTATAAAAGGAAATTAAATCTTTCCAAATACTATGTAGGTATTTTATTCTACAAATTCAATTGTTTTAAACCCATACATACACTCTATCTAATTTATAATAATACTAGCGACTCACCTCGCTTCGCTCGGGTTTGTCTCCAAGTACGTTTTAACAGTTACTATAGAGTAGAGTATATTATATTATATGATATATAGCCAATAGCCTTGCTTAATAAACGGGCTATCTAATACAAAAAGAATTTTTTAAATCGGATTAGTAATTCCCGAGATAAGCGCGTTTAAACAAACAAACAAACTCTGCCTCTTTATAATATTAGTATAGAGTTATTCAAATTATTAAATAAACAAGCAAACTAGAATACAGTCGTAAACGAAACTGAAACATAAAGTTTAATTGGCAATAAAAAAAATGAAAATCTTTTTAATGGTCAATATAATATAGTAATTAATATATAAATCAGTACAGTACCTAACAAATAATTCATACATTATTTACCTTTATTATTTAGTATTCCCGTGTCACTTTTGCTACTTTCCAACCTGTCTGGTCCTCTAAAAATATGATGTTCGAATTTATTAAAAAAAATAAGTCATACTTGGAGTAACATCATATTCAATAACAAAAGAATATATATACTTTATAAAGAATTAGAAACAGGTTACAAGGTAAAATTTTAAGGTGAAAACAAACAAAAAAAGCCAACGTCACGCGGTGTTTCCAGGCGGTCACCCATCCAAGTACTGACCGCGCCCGACGTTGCTTAACTTCGGTGATCGGACGAGAACCGGTGTGTTCAACGTGGTATGGACGTTGGCGAACAGCAGAATAAAAATAGTTATCTTATTCGCCCAAAACACTTTTCTCTTACTATTAAAAATAAATATACAAGCCTTTCAACAACTGGTTCACAAGCATCATCAACATTTTCTTTATTAACATGTTCACATTGTATCTGAGCGTCGCTTGTGCGTTGTTTAGCGAGTAATTTCTCTTGACTCAATGTGAAAGAATCAAACATTCTTCTTATGAGTTGTGCTAATTCGTTGGTTTGGAGGAGTGCGTCACCAGATGCATTTATGTATCTGAAATATTAAATTTAACATAGTGTTCTAAAATTCATTAGATATTGGTTTCTAGCATACTTACTAATACAATAAACATAAAACATACATAAACATACATACATACACATAGATATAAAAGAGATATCTCTGAATACACGTAACATTAGTAATAAAAAATTTAATTTCGTCACAATTATTAGTTTTTGTTCTCACATAGGTACACCAAAATATAATATTAAAGAGTAAATAACAAAAATAAAAAGATAAAATAAAATATTAACTAATTGCTTAGACAAATGTGTAAAATTTAAATTTATTTATAAAATATGTCCCAAAAACAATGGATTAGATAATTTTCTATACATACCTATTTGTATTGCCCGGTGCAATGCTAGTGTACGCCACACCGCCTATATCTCGGTCTAAGTTAGTGCAACTACCGCTCTTAAAATCCAATCTTTCGTTGTCTATAACTTCATCTTTCCTATCACTTTCCAGTTGAGTTGCACTTCTAGCTGTCAAAATTACTGGTCTCTGGAATACAACAGCATACAAAAATATAGAAAATGAACACATATAATTATTTTCAAACTAAAAAGTTACACCAACTAGAAATGACTTAAAATGCATTTGTTTCCTTAGGGGAGGATTTTTTTCTTTTTAATGGAATTATTATTTCTTCACGATATTTCCTTTACTGCATCAGCAAGTGTTACTCATATTGGAAATGATTCGCACATAAACATATTAGAAGTGATAGACCCAGTTTCGCACCCACTTCACTAGGTTTCAAAACAAGAGTGTGTTACATAGGCATGAAAAGTTGGAATGAGATAATTTCCCGCGGTAAAAAGTAGCCTATATCCATATCACACTCCAACCCTACAACTACCTCCAAACAGAAAATCACGCCACTCTGTTTCAACGTGAAAGGACAGACAAGAAAACAAACAAACCAAACAAACACACTTTCATATTTATAATATTATAGTATGGAGGTATGGATTATGAGAGCTCCATTAAGATTTCCAAAATATTTAGTTTTAAACATATTATAAGAATGCAGAAATAAAATAAAATTACCTGGACATTACTTTTAATACCAATATATTTCAAACTCAACTCAACATCCATATAACATCTTCTGTTATCAGTGGCCCTATTGTGGAACGGCAACATGTAACACCGCTCATGTATTGTTAGTGCTTTATCATTATTGCAGAAATTATTTACAAAATGGTTTATATCATCTGTTGGGATGAGTTTACAGAGATCAAGGCTGCATACACCTGAAAATATATGTTTACTGCGTATTTAAGTTACTGACTTTATAATTTATATATGTATGTATACTTTTATTACATAATGTAAATTAAATCTGCTTCAGTGCTTTGGTTTAATTTCAGAAGTTACTGTACAGATTTTCATATTATGGTCTTCACCACACTTATAAAGGCATATGCACACTAGCCGGAGTCACTAACGCCCACACATATAAAGGTGCATGCACACTGACCGGCGTCACTGTCCCCCACACGCAGCGTGGCCACGAGACGCGGGCACTCCGCGAAGTAGCGCGCCAGCTCGCGCAGACTCGTGCGCAGGCGCAGCGACGTGCGCTGGTTCATGTGCGTGCTGCCCGCTGTTATGTTCACTCTGTGGCATAGCAACAACATGTACTCCTAGGTGTGGCCGTTGCAACAATATGGAAGAAGTATTCATTTAAATAGAAATTAAATTCTAAAAATGAAGTTCACTTTTCATTGTTTTACTTCTTTTGAATCGATAAAAAATGTACTAGATACACAATCGGCGACAAAAAATTGCGGCACAAAAATGAGCGCTTATTTAACATTTGAGCGCGATTTTAATTTTTTTTCATTGAAAAACCTTTAAGCATTGCATTTAAGGTACAATTTACATTATTGTTTTTCAATTAGTATAATTACCTAAGCACGTAGTGCACTAGTGACAGGTTTTAAGAGAACTTTTGCATGGGATTGTGTATCTAGTACTTTTTTGATCAATGCTTTTGTGACATATATTTTGAACATGCTGTCAAAACAGAATATATGTACCTATTGTCCATTACTAGATCTTAAAGTAAAAAAAAAGAATAAATATTTGTTCCTACATAGACATAGGATTACTCTATGGAATAATCAACTACATATATATTATTCTTAATGGACCTTGGACTGAAAACATCAGTGACCGATATGAAATAAGTTCTAAAAATATGGAAAAAACTAACAATACAAAGCCAAACAACGCAACAACTACATATTATAATTTAACCATACAAAATCCTTTAACCAATATAATAAATGAAAACCTTTGGTCATATTAAGATTGTTTAATATGATAATACAATAATATCTAGTATAAGGATGGATATTTAGTACCAGTAAGATTAGATAGATAGTGAATACCTGTCAGTCATAATAGTGTGAGTAAACACAGTATATGTCACACAGCAATTTGCTTCCTCATTTCCATCTGGTGGTAGTAACTGTAAAATATTAATTTTTATTATACTTTTATAAAATAATACTTATAAGTTATATGTATACTCAAAATAGTTAACAAAATATGGTGTTATATTGATTAGCTACTGATATTTAAATTTAATTAATAAAGGCTCCTAAAAATTAAAACTCATAATTTTATAATTTAACAGTATAAAAATTTATCCAAACTCATTAGTTAATATTTTTGCACTGAGTATGCACAGATGTGCTATGTACTATATGCAATTTTCCAGAATTGTTTCATTCCAATTTAAAAAAATATGTGTATATTGCAATTTTGTTGTATGCCATAGGCAAAGATAAATTCTATAGTTATTATGTTTAATTTTTAAAATTTTTCAAGGATAAGCTTCCTATTTTAAATACCTCCACATACCAAAAAATTAACTAACCAAGTCTAAATTTTCCACAGCCCCTATAACTAAAGCCAGCACAAACAAGTGGTTTCCATCACCAATCTGTATAAGACCTTCATCACATATTAGCTTTGGTTGGAGATCTGGTGAAGATACTATCTTCTTACTTTCTGATATATAGTCATCTGAAATAAAAGAGAAATTGCACCAATATTACAAAATAATACTACAAAAAACTATATTAAACAAAATTAAAAAAAAATTATAATTAAGTAGGTAAATAGAGACAACCTACTAGCAACACATATTCATTCCACATCAAGTTGATTCATTCAGTCTATCGTCCAAATCTATCCAGACATTTGAGAGTGAAGAAGTAACAAATATACATTATAATAGTGTTCCAATGACTATTAAAGAATTACAAACTTACTTAGTGTCAGTAGCATTTGTCTACTATTTGTAGATGAAGGTACAGTTTTATTAGAACGAGTTGATGGGAGTGCCACTTCATTGCTGTGGAATATTCTTAATTCATTTCTCTGTAACATGAAACATTTGCACAATTAAAGCATTATTCTTGCAATAACTGTTTAAGTAGTGTAATTATATGATTTATATTATATAATGTATTGTGGCAATGTATCAATAACAAAATAATGATCATTTATGTTGTATCATTATAAAAGTTTATTCCATAATCCAATCATCAAAGCACTTATTAAAAAAAAAATTTCAATTATTATCAAATGAATACAATTTGAAATTTTTAAAGATAGTTTTGTTTTAATATTAGTAATTAAAATGTTTCACACTAACAGGCGTTGGTGTACTGACTCTATCTTCTATAGAAAGGCTTAAGAGAATTTGTGGATGACAACATTTGCCCTCTGATTTTACTCCAAGTAATTTGTGCCATGATTGCTTTATCTGAAATCAGAAAATCAATATAAAACATTACCATTTGCATGATAATTAATAACTGATATATTAAATTCAAAGTTATTATTACTCACATCAACTATTTTATTGGACGGACAAGGTTGAGCTCCAAGTAAGCTTAATAATAAATAACCTATCTTGTCTTTTCGTCCCTGGGTTCCAGTTGTATAAGCTTCTATTTTTACTGGTACATTTTGAACTCGTAGGCTTTTAATACAAAAAAATATGGTAAATAATTCAAAATCATATCATACTTTGTTTTAAGTAACTTAAATAAAATTATTAAAACATTTGAAAGTCTTATTATGGCAGATATTAAAAGAAATAATAAAAAGGAAAAAAATAAAAATGACAAGATCTAAGCGCCAACCCTAAATTAGAATAATTAATAATAAAATGTGGCTTTTGGATCCAACAATACATCAGTTGGCCTTCCACTATGGGCTTAACCACTTCAATTTATTGATAAAGAAACAACAAACAAACATTGTGTGAATCAGACATATAAACCCAAATAAAATTAAAATGTACCTTCTAAATCGTCTTTTATCCGCTTCCCAAACAAGTTCAGCGTCAAATACTGGTGCATGTGTAGGTACCACTGGATCTGTCTCTAACATATAACCATTTAAAGAACCACTAACTATAAATGGATTCTTGAGAAAACCAAAACCAAGACCTGGAGGACAAAAAATATTAACAATATATTTAGAATATTTTTCAATAAATTTAGACGTAATAAGAACTCAATTTACCTTCCTTAATATTAAGGACTACTTGGATCGTAGGTCCACGTAATTCATCCATGAATAATTTATTTAAAAATTTCTTAAAATCTTAAAACAGTTTTCATAAACAACGTAAACAAAAGTTTCGAATTTCAAAATACTTAGCAGAATTGACTTTTGAGTTTTGACATATTTATAGAAAAACATTAAAATTGCCATATACAAAAATTATAACATAATTTTATGATGATTATATTTTTATTTCCTTTATATATTTTATTTATTTTTAGTATTATTTTCAAATATTCGTAATAAATTAAAATGTACTATAAAATAATCGTAATTTATAATAAAAACTTTACAGAAAAAATACTATCCGTATATTGAAATAATTATACTTGATAATTTCGTAATATTATTTTAAATCAAACTAATAAAAATTCAAAGGAGTTTATTAAGAATATGATTCTTTCTTAACTTTAATAATGTACTACATAATATACATTTAATTTTTAAAATATAACACACATTTTACTTATTAATTTCAGGGTAGTCTTAAATTATTAGTTTGATTTGATCCTACCTTTTCCATAGCTAACAATATGAAAAACGGAAATTGTAATAAAATATTAATTAATGTCAAATATTTACAAGAACTATAAGTTTAAAACTATTTTATTAATTAAAATTCGCATTAAAATGTGATTATAAATTGTTTATAAAGATTTTACTAGTTTTTACAATTTAATGGAATATCAACAATAATAATTGTTGATGTCATTAATATAAATTGAGAATTAAATTAATATCGAACTGCTTTTATATTTATGAGTTTAATATTGAATTGTAAATATATATTAATGGGTGCTCGTTAAATTGGAAATTAACAAAATGAAGAAATTTTTATACGAATATAAAATCCAAAAGAGATGGTCAGTAAGAGAAACGTCAAACGATAAACGGTAAACAAACAAATTGTATTTTTTTTAATTTTAACAGCAGTTTTAAACTACCCTATCTTTAAAGTAAAATAATTTCAATGTCGGGTTCGTTCTCACTATGAGGTTAACTCGTTATTCGTTAACTGGCGGTGTAGACAGTAGACTGTAGAACTGGAGTGACGCGCGAGGTTCAAGCGGCGTGGATGAAGTGGATCACCGGAGCGCGACGAAAAGTAATTTGTACAAAAAACTAAATTCAACTGCGTTCATTGCGATTGCCGTACTGTTCGTGATGTTTTGTCTGACCGCACAATATATTGGTGGTCATTGTTGTTAGACGTTTTTTGTTACGTTCGGATCTAAATCGCCGGTAATGATCCGCGTGCTTCTCGTGTCGCCGGATTTTCTATTTAAAAAGTACTTTCATTAGTGTCGTTTCTTAGATGACTATGTGCAATTGAGTAATTTATTAAAAAAAGTGCCTACAACGCAAGAAATGGGAGTTTTTAAGTGGTTACGCCGGTATGTACCTACCTACACCGTTTTTATCCAATTTCAATAACATAAAATTACATATTTTAAATTATTACCCTATAGCGATTGAGCCTTTTTATGATATAAAATATAGATAACTTTAAATATTTGTGTTGTTAAATGAGACTACAGAAATAAAATTAATCAGTAGATATTCGCAAAAACTTCGTATTTTATCTTTTACATACTTTTAAATAATGTTTCTGTTTGAATAATCTTATTATAGTCAAATCAATATAAGATTTCCTTATGTGTTTTTTTGTCGATCGCTACGTTGGTACTTTTATAATATAAGATAACATAAGAATAAAAAAATAATAACAATGTATGTTAGTTTGTTTATTCGTTTGAGTTCATTGCACCACTTTATGTAACTGTGGTATAATTTACGCGAAGAAAACGACAGTGATAAGTGATAACGTATTAAAAAGTAAAAACTAAATTTAATTATAAAAGTGATTTTGTGCGATAAATGGGTTTTATAATAAATTAAAGAAAAAATTATTACAAATATGCAACGAATTGTAAAACTGCTTATTTAAATTTATTCATTTAAAAAATACTTTTCTAATTATAATATAATTTTGGAAGTTGGAACTAACCTAGATTCGATAATATACTTGAATCATCAAATATATGAAAGCAGCCAGAGTAAGAACTTAGAAAATTCTCACGACAGACAGTTAAGTACTAGATACGTACATATTTCTCAAACGTAAAGAATATTTGTGTTAGGCAAATCAAAATGCTCTCACGACCGGTAATGTATTTCCATTGGAGTTTGCTTATTGAAATAAATTATGTAAGATAGCAACGAGCCAACGGTCCTCCCTAAACTGAAGCTAAAACTTCTATCACATTTCCCGTTGATCCTCTCCTTTTTTCCACCACGAAAGTAGTTAGTTATGTCACTATCGACCGAATCCTTTAACTAGTGAAAGTTCAGTTAAAATCGATTAAGCCATTCTTTTTCTATTTTTTATATATCGAAAACTGGCTTTCTCGGGATAAAAAATACCTAGTACCTACCTACTCTCCTCCTTCTGAATCTTGGTCGTGAAAGTCACGCCAAAATTTGTTTAGTCGGATAAAACTTTTTAAAATAAAGCACATAAATACATTTAAACTATAAGTTTAGATTTGAAATATTACAATTCACACATTGTAGCTGTACTTGAAGTAGGTAAAAGTCCATTCAAATGAGAACTAGGTAGATATCTCCGATCAACATCCTTTTTCCACCGTCACGTTTACATCCTATGAGTCACGAATCACGAATCTAAAATCCTAAAGCTTTATATATTATCTCAGCTAAGGCTATGATAGACAAAAAGATTTAATGGCCAACTGGTAACATTGAAACGTATTTACGACAAAGTTATTCAATTAATACATACATTTTTTTTTCGTTTTTGTATTTATTTGGTAATTTGTTTTTATTTTGTTATTTATATTTATCACAATTTTTGTTTTTTAAAATCTAAAGTTAAAACAGGATACTCCATTTTTTCAAGTTGAATTAACGTCTTTACTCTCGCAAAATCTTTTTTCTTAACTTTTAGATTTAACGTTTACCTAATCTGTACTAATATTATAAAGAGGCAGAGTTTTTTTGTTTGATTGAACGCGCTAATCTCAGAAACTATTCATGCGATTTGGAACATTATTTTTGCACTAGATAACCCATTTATTGAGGAAGGCTATATTATAACATCGTGCTACCCAAGAGAGCGGTAAGGGAGGCTCATGCCCAGGTGTGAGACATTAAAATGATCTGAATATGATACATTTTAATACTTTGCTTATCCCACACTTTGATATGCTATTTCTAAATAAGCTGTAGTTAAGTACCCGCGGTTAATTTTATTATTTCTTTTACTTTTTATTCTTATCATATTAACTTAAAACATACAACGACAAACATAAAAACTAGCATTGCCCGCGGCTCCGTCCGCGTTCAGATGACCAAAAACCAAATTCTTTGGTTTTTCATGTTAGTATACTCTTACTTTGCAGTTTTTGTATTTATTCTCAGAAATGAGAAATTTTCCCGCGGTAAAAAGTATCCTATATGTTGACCCGGATAACCAGCTATCACCATACCAAATTACATCAAAGTCCTTCCAGTGGTTTTTATGTGATGCGGTAACAGACAGACAGACAAAAATTCTAAAAACTATAGATTCGGCCTCTGTATCGATAATAATGTATGTTTCAATAAGATTTTCCAAAAAATATTTAATGTACAGATTCAGGTTAGTTACAATTTTATTATATGTATAGATAAAATTTGCCTCTTCACCATCATATTTTAGTAGCACCATGGGAATATAATGAGGAAGCATTCAGAGAAATAACTCTAGGGATAAACTTTTATCTTACGAATTTAAATGTTATTTTTATGTTATTTAACAATATCCCAAAGTGTTATATAACGACTCTGAAGAAGCTTTTTTAATTTATTTTTTGTGCAAGTATCTTAATGGCAGAATTCCTTCAACAAACAAACAACAAATGTACGACTTAATTCATAACTAAACTAAGTCGCCGGCTTTTATAGGTAATCCAGCACGGACTCGAAACAGGAAGCTCGTTGCCTAATTTAGATATTTTTATACTTTAAATTTCTAGAATAGTTGAGATTTTGTCAATTAGTATAGGTAGGAAGTTGTTAAAATGTATATTATGTACATAACGTAACATCCATATTATATCTAAATTATGAATAGAATTACGGCTATACCTGTATTTAATCTATCTACCGTGTTTGTTTGTATAGACATGTGTAGTATTGTTATGAGGTCTCCACCTAAAGTTTAACAATCATTTGCTAAACCCTTTCATTAAATTCATCTAAAGCGGTCACATTCCAGTCATTGTGAACAGAAAAAAATCAGTTAGAATGATCATATTGATCATTGAAGCCAAATCGGTGGTCGTGGTTTTAATTTAGTGCTTTTATCCATTACCTGGAATTAAAAAGGGTTTGTGCAATTTTGTCATTACGAGTAAAGAAACCTAAGTAAATGCATCGATTAGTACCCACATCAAACAGTATATACTCGTAGGTGGTTACTTACCTAAGTTGTATAAAGTTATTTAAGTGTATTTAATGACTAACATTGCCCGCGGCTCCGCCCGCGTTCAGATGATCAAAAATCAAATTCTTAGGTTTTACATATTAGTATACTCTTACATTGCAGTTTTTGTATTTTTTCTCAGAAATGAGACATTTTCCCGCGGTCAAAAGTATCCTATATTTTGACCCGGCTGCTATCACCATACCAAATTTCATCAAAATCCCTCCGGTGGGTTTTCTGTGATGCGGTGACAGACAGACAGACAAAAATTCTAAAAACTATAGATTCGGACTCTGTATCGATAATAATGTCTATTTCAATAAGGCTTTCCAAAAAATATTTAATGTACAGATTCGGCTTAGTTAGAACTTTATTATATGTATAGATTATATATTTTTTATCTATTGTCTACTAACAGATATTGATATATTATTATCAATACTAATTAATATTATTAATATGAAAGTGTTTGTTTGTTTGTTTGTTTGTTCTACTTTAACATCGAAACAGTTACAGAGTGATTGGAGGAGTGGATTGGCGTGATTTTTTTTTGTGTGGAGATAGTTGGAGGGCTGGAGAGTGATATAGGCCAATTTTTACCGCAGAAGGGTATCTTATTCCCACGGGAAAACACGTTTTAACACAACCCACAACAACTCATCATACCGATGGATATCATACTGTTAAATGTATTCAAAACGTAAACTTACTTTATTATTATCATATCAACTAGATATCATGATCGAGATACGTAGACTTGCAAAGTTTCTGATTAATACGACAAAAGGTGACTTGGCCAGATTTGTTAACTAACCTAAAATATTATGGTATATTATTCTCGAAAAGGTTGGCTCTATATCATAGTAAAATATATGAAACCACCGCGGAATTTACCTTAGTAGAATGTCTTTTAAACTAGCCAAATCGGCCAAGCAGGCCATGAAAAAATGATGAACATTCATGAAAAAAAAAATAAACGTCGAACAAATATCTCCTCCTTTTTTAAAGTCGGTCGAAAAAGGCTAGGTTCTAATAATTTAGTTTTTAAAAGTTCCGCGCGTCCTCGACTCGAAGGCGTATTTTATTACAACGCACACTTCATTAATTAAATTCAATTTGATTTCCTTATAACGTAATCATAGACTAAAAACCATTCAATTATGACTAATATAATTTTTCAAGCATTTATATTTCTCCATTAAAAATGTACCCCTGCACTAGGTACTGTTGCTACTTACTATACCACGTCTTGCCGGTAATTAATTCAATCTCATTAAATATTATTCAGCATACTTACACGTGATACAAGATAAATGTTAATTTTTATGTGATTTTCTATACATATAATAAAATTGTAACCAAGCCGCATCTGTACATTAGATATTTTTTGAAAAATCTTATTGAAATAAACATTATTATCTATACAGAGGCCAAATCTATAGTTTTTAGAATTTATGTCTGTGTGTTACCGCATCACAGAAAAACCACTGGAGGGATTTTGATAAAATTTGGTATAGTGATAGCTAGTTATCCGGGTCAACATATAGGATACTTTTTACCGAGGAAAAATATCTCATTTCTGAGAAAAAATGCAAAAACTGCAATGTAAGTGTATACTAATATGTAAAACCTAAGAATTTGGTTTTTGGTCATCTGAACGCGGGCGGAGCCGCGGGCAATGCTAGTACATTATATTTTACACTTTACAGTATCCAGTATCGAGGTATGCGTCAGAGATGAATTTATTATTGCTGAAGGAAGTAGATCGTACTTTTACTTTAGAAATTCGTTAAAATCTATCTATTCGATTTCATTTAAGTTTCGTATTTTGTTTTATTTTGTTGTAAAAGTGGACGGTGAGTTAATTTAAAGAACTTCATCGTCTTTCATTTATCAATTTTTTATAGTTAGACGCGAAAATATGGGTGTTTTTTTTTCTTATATATTAATTATTATTAACATGCAATAATAGTAGTAAATAAAAACTACTGATCCATATTCCTTATTTATACCTAGTTTTGATAGAGAACATGTTTTATACATATAATATAAATAAAATGTTCACAAAAGATATAAGTATGGAATATTTTAAAAATACTTAATTACTTAAAATATTAGTCGGATTTAATATTAATATTAGTTCGACTTTCAGTATTGTAGTTTGTTGGCAATTCTTCTTTTATACTTGTCAATTGTATAACCATCATAAGGCTTAAAATTTTATTGCCTTTAACACTTATCTTCCCAAATAAATCTTAATTACACTACAAATTAAAGTCTCTCGCTACGTTAAATTTTATTTGTTCGGGCTAGTCTCAGAAACTACTGTACAGATTTTTATAAGGTTTTCACCAATGGTAAGAGGGATTGTCGAGGACGGTTATAGATTGTTTATAAAAAAAAAGTCATGAGTACTGCCGACAGAACTGAAAACTTAAAACTATAAACAAACAGTTGTTATTTTTGGATATTCAAATTAATTGTTTGATCTTAAATTAAAATTTTGTAAATTAAAACTCTTTATATTTATCTGGTTTTGACAACTATCGGCACGTCACGTGACACGTCCCTATCCAAACCTGCCCATAGAAGTTATCACTTATTGAAATAAGTAAAATAAACTAGTATTATGATATATTTGTAAATTAAGTCGTAAAAAACTGTTATGAAAACTTCCGTAATATTATAAAAACGCAGGCATATATGGACGCGAACGTCGGTCACTATAATAAAGTTTATGATAGAAGGCCCTAGCTCGTAACCATGCTACTAAATGTAATAGAATCACTTTCAAGATAAGGCTACTTAAGCGACACGTTATTGCTTTAAATAAGTAAATTATATAAGGTTTTTTTAAGTTTTTTAACCTCTGATGATTAATCTGATCTCCAGCTTGATTGAAACCTTAGAAAAGGCGCGATGTAAAATCATTCAGTGGATCATTGTTTAAAACAGTATCGATATTTTTACTTTCACCGAACTATTTACCGATTGTTTCATCGTATTACTCTTGTTGGTTTCAAAAATAACTAAAATTGATGGTTAGACAGTTGCTTATTTATGTAAGCTTATCTTCGTGACAGAAGAATTAGGTAGGTAGCTATCGGAGATGCTTTCTACTTTAAAAATAGATTACATAAGTGTAATATCAAACTTACAATGTATTTTGAACTTATCAGTAAGCTATTTATCTGATGGCTTTCTCTAATCTAATGTCTTAATTATATCCACGTTATTGTAATGGGATTTTGTATAACAAAAGCGGTCCAAATCTATACATATAATAAAATTGTAACTAAGCCGAATCTGTACGTTACATATTTTTTGGAAAATCTTATTGATATAAACATTATTATCGATACAGTGGACGAATCTGCAGTTTTTAGAATTTTTGTCTGTCTGTTACCGCATGACAGAAAAACCACTGGAGGGATTTTGATGAAATTGGGTATGGTGATAACTGGTTATCCGGGTCAACATATAGGATACTTTTTACCACGGGAAATTTTATCATTTCTGACAAAAATACAAAAACTGCAATGTAAGAGTATAATAATATGTAAAATCTAAGAATTTGGTTTTTGGTCATCTGAACGCGGGCGGAGCCGCGGGCAGTGCTAGTATTTTATAAATATTATGTATGTACTTACGAAACAGAAATTAATCTCAGTTATCTTTAATCAGCAAATAAATAATATTTTAAAACATGCATTTCGATGTAAAGAATAAGCTAAATAGCTTATTTTCCTGTGGCTATCGTTCGGCAAAGTTAGTCAATGGATATTGTGGAACAGAAGGTAACAAAAAATTTAATTAACATTATTATCATTTTATTTACCATACTACTTAAACAATAATATACTATATTTGGACAAGATAACAGGGTTTTTACTACGTTAATGTATTTCGCACATTTAGTATTTTTATTATAGGTATGCCGTATGCAGTTTAACATGAATCTTTATACATATTATATGTAAATATCTACTTCTCACATTAAATATGCCATCTTTCCTGTAATTATTTAATGCAAAAGAAAAAAATATGCGTGTACATGTCTACTCGTTTTGTACAGACGGTGAGAAATTCGCTATTGGATACTAAAATTCGTGAACTATGGATTTTCGGTCTCGCTTCCACTATTTCGTGACTCGCTTAGTCATGGGCACGATCATAGCTAATCTTCGAACACATAGCGCGTAACAGACTATAATAATCCGTGCTTTGTAACTTCTGTTGTTGTTTTTTTATTTTATTGCTAGTTGGATCGTTTGAAAACACGTTAGATGTAATTTTTATTGTTTTATAGGTATCGATCGATGCTTTGTTCGTTTGGAATGACGTTATTGCCTTTCTTTTTATTGATACGCGAAGAGAAATTTGTATTTTTTTTTTCAAAAAATGTGACATTTTAAAACAATAGACCTATAACATATGTAGGAAATAATAATGAATAAAAAACATTAACTTTATATTAATTAAGTACCTACCCTTAATCATAAGTTATCTAAAAATATTAAAAAAGATTAGGGCTAAGTGTTGAGTTCCATGTAGGTAGGTATTTTCCTTCGCTTGTAAGATTTATAAGCTCATATTATTTAATATACTCATAAATCTATACATCTATTCTATATAGATAAATAAAATATCAAAATAACAGCTTTTTTCTAATTGCATATGGAATTATATACCGTATTTATAAGAAAAACACAATTTTTATAATTTTTGTCTGTCTGTCTGTTTGTTCCGTCTAATCTCCGAAACGGTTGGTCCGATTTTGACGGGACTCTCACTGGCAAGTAGTTGATGTTATAAGGAGTAATTTAGGCTTCTTTTATTTCAATAAAAGAATTAGGTTTCTGCTCAAAAAAAAAAACCTAGTAGGACGAACCCGAGCAAAGCGATGGCGAGTCGCTAGTTATATATAAAAATAAATATACCATTTATGTCAGTCGTTCTCTAGCGGCACGTTTATAAGTAAAAGTATAATGTCGCCGCTTAGTCACATTCACGGTTGAAGTACTATTGTAGTTCAAGCGAGCTAGTTCAGAGTTAATCACCGCTATGCAAGTTAAAGCAACTGAACTATGCCGCAAAAACCAGTTAGTCTGCGACCTGTCTTAACTCTTTATCCCACGGTATGTTATTTGTTCAATGATGATTTCGGATTTCGTTGTAATTTTCTTATATCATAAAAAGATAGTATGTTGCATCGTTTCTAAATGCTTTTGTTAAATAAAATCTAATTTTTTTTGTAATAGAATGTTTGGATACGCAATTATAGTACATACTTATATGTTTATATATGTACATTGTAAATACAAAACTCATACAAATCGTAACAAACTCAATTTTAGTGAAATTCTTCTTTAACTATTAAAATAAGTCTATTAATATCTTAAATATATATATATATATATATATATATATATATATATATATATATATATAGCTACAATTTATTTGCACCCTTTAGATGTCGGGGAGTCCCCCGCTAACTAATAAAATAGATAGTATAATCAACCAAATTGAAATAGAACATATTATATTAAATAGAATTTGGGTGGACTCTAAAGTCCACCCGACTCCATAGTTTTGTTCAGCTTACCTTTTTTTTGTTCGCAAAATCTTTTGTTTCTAGAATTATACACGCACGAATCCATCTCAAATAAAATAAAAATGACTACAAAATATATAAATGCCCAAAAAAAGGCACGGACGTATGTCTGTAGGTTTTAGACTTACTTTTGAGACTTTCATAAATAATGTGCACACGTTATAATTACGAGTATGAGCCTATATGAGTAGGTATGTATTGCCTTACTTATTTTGGTTTCCAAGTTCAGTAATTAAATTATCAATTTTTGTAGGTACGTATAATATTTTTATGTTTAGAAAGCGTAATGAAATGTCTAATGGTACATCAATTTAGGTGCTAAGATGGCAGTTTAAAAAAAATCTATTCTGTCGTCATATATGTATTTCCTATTTATAATAATTTACATATATAATATAGTTACTATACTATAGAATTTAGTTAGAATGTTAGAATTAATTCTAACTTTCTGATTCAGTAAATATAAAATTTTATGCAGTTTCACTATTAACCATTATTTTTTATTAAGTGTTACTTTAGTGGAAATAATATTTGAAATGGTAATATTGGCATGCATTCAGCATTCACTGGCTATAAAATTTCGTGTCGTAACTCATCGGTGGCGTCATCTTGTATGTGTATTGTCGATCCGTTCCGCTCAACTCGGCGAGCCGGCGCGGCGTGCACAAGTATGTCAGGTGCACGCGTTACAGTTTAGGAAAACATAATTAAACATGGGAAGTAGTTATTTTTGTACAGGTTGAGAAAGAGACTTTCTATGCAATAAAATTACATTACAAAAGTAATAAAGACTTACGATGTAGTTACAACTCTCAATTAAAAGTAGAACTGACCCGACAGATGATCTATGATAATTTATGATCTTCGAAGTCACAAAAATTCATCATCAAAAACACTTCTAATTTTTCCCGCATTTTCTAATTTTAGAGCAATTTTACTATAAAATTAATCGAACTAAAATCGATTTTAAAAATAAAATAAGCCAAATCGGCACAGCTGTTCGCGAGTAATGCGCTTAACAACGAAAGCATTTCATTTTTTATTATATATAGATGATTTTTTTATGTTAAAGTAATTTAATATAGAATGTAACGTAATTTTTTGCCTTTAATTCTGTTCTACTTTTAGGGAACGTGTGTCCGTTACGACGAGTCACATAGATCCATCGCCCAGTCTAGAGGAACCCCCTATACAAGTAGGCACAATCCGAACCGAAGAGTATAAACGGGACCTCGCCGAGTTTCAAGCTCGAAGATCTTCAGGTAGCAAGGAATTACAGGAATCTCCCATCAAGAAGAAATGTGGACGCCACTCTTTACCAGTATCTTGCACAGACTGTACCGGTGACCCCGACAATACGTTTAATTATGAAAAAAAGTCAGCCATTAAATACAAGAAAAAATCACATAAACGAGCACGTAGCGCTCATTCTGAAGAAAAAGGGTACGACGGCGTCCCGAACATACAGTTCCTCTTTCAAAATCAAGTCTTCATGCCTGGTAATATGTTCGGGACATCGTATTCTGAGCCGCGTAGGCCAAATAAAAATACATATAAATGCTCGCCAGATAACTTTGTCCAAAGAGAAATAGATTTCAAAGATGACCAACTTCTGTCACCGCCATTTTTCTATAAAAACAATTCATTGCCTTTCGACACTAAGAAGTTCTTAGACGGTGTCAAAAATGAAGATGATGAGTTAGATGGTTTAAACGCAGCTGGTGATGTCAAAACATCTAGCCCAAGTACAGAAAGTCAGAAAAATGACAGCTGTGAAGAAAAGTTGTGGGAAGTGATGAGCGAATTAAAACATTTTGACCAGTGGGCCGATGAACAGTTGCAGGCTCCGTCCATTAACACAAGCAAATCCGACGATAGTAAAGTAAGTATATATTTTTATTATATAATTAATGAGATACAAAGTATAATTATTTAATTGTTCCATTAACATTTCAATTACTTCTTAATTTTTAATTAATGTAGGCTAGAAATATCATAATAATATAAAATCGATAAAAAAATTTAAATTTTATTTTTGTTTTTAATTTAATCAAAATTTAAATGATTATATTTGCGGTTTACTATGTTTTTTTTATAATAAATATTATCTTAGAAGTTAGAAATACTTATTTAGAAATACTTATCATTTCAGCGTATATTGGCTAGGTAATATCAAAGTAAATGCAAATCATACTCTGTAAAAAATACTTTGTTGGCGATTTAAATGTTTCTAACTTTATTAAAAAAATAATGACATAAGAAAAAATCACAATCAAGTTCTACGTTTTATTTGTAGAGCGACACAAGCACATTCGGTTTGCCAATAGCAAGCGCATGTAACTTGAATGTAACAATTGATAAAAGCAAAGCCTGGAGTCACGGTAAGTGGGGCGTGGTGCCTGTGCAAATCAAGAAGCTGGTTGGAGTCACCATCGAACATGTCAGAAAGAAACAGAACATGGAGATAAATATATTAAGGTAATTCATAAAATATATAATATTATGTGAATTTTTAGGGTTCCGTACCTCAAAAGGAAAAAAGACGGAACCCTTATAGGATAACTTTGTTGTCCGTCTGTTTGTCTGTCTGTCTGTCAAGACCCTTTATCTCGAGAACGCGCGGAGGTATCAAGTTGAAATTAAAAGGATTTTGTACGGAATCCTCGGGTGGGCGAGTCCGACTCGCACTTGTCCATAATTTTTTTAGATCCTAGTAGGTATGTTATGTAGTATTCATAATTATGTATGTAATTGCAATTGTGATAATAATATTGCTCATTGTCTGTCTGTACTACATTTGCAACGTATTTCCGAGTCATACGAGTATTATATATATTTTTTATTGTGACTTTTGAGTCTAATGAGTTGGTCAAGGAATATTGCCGGCCATTACCAAGTAACGCAATTATAAAAACAAAAGTGGTATTAAAATTGTACGTTTTGATTCCTACAGATTTCTTTTAAACAAGCGTAAAACACAGATTTTTTTAAAGAAGCGTAATTAAGTGGGGGGTCCTTTTCTGTCAATAATAGTGAGGGTTTTAATTTAACAATAAGATAACAAATTACTATAGTAATTATATTTTGTGATGCATATTTCAGAAAATGTCGCCATCCAAACATAATACTACTTATGGGACTATATCCGGACGTGCAGAACAATATTCACATCATTTGTGAGAGATGTATCGATACGTTATTTGGCATACTCCATGTGCAGGTATGAATAAATAATAGATAGATAACAATTTTCACGCAAAAAGAGTTCCTATCGATACTAAGTAGGTACTAAAATAATATGTACAGGCTGAAGAGATTGTTTGTTTGAACGCGCTAATCTCTGTTACTGTTAGTCCAATTTGGTAAAATGTTGTTGCATTTTATAGCCTATAAAGGCTATCTAACATGCTGCGACCTTGAGGAGAAAATTTTATTACGTATTTATTCTAGCACGAATAAAGTTCAATTTTTCTTACAAATATTTCTCGATTATCACTAAGGAAAAAATATCTTTAACTCCTACTGGTATAGGCATCGCCGAGCTACTTAGTTAACAAAGTTTTAACTGAATCGGAATCCATCCACGATTTTTGACATTTTCTTGCGAAGCATACACGATATATTGACACATTCTTACCTTCTCTATTGCGCGCGCTTTTAAATTAACTTGTTATTTTACCCTAATACGAGAATCGAACCCACACCCTACATTAACAAATGAACTAAAATTAAAATAAAAATCAAATTTCTTATTCCAGGGTCGAATTCTCAGCGCGCAAACATCAGTCCACTATGCATTAGATATAGCAAATGCTCTAGTATTTCTCCGAATGCAAGGCTACTTGCACACAGAGTTGTCAAGCATGAGCATCGTCATCACTGCCCAGGATACTGCCAAGTTGGCAGACTTGGGCCCCTGTGTGAAACTCCCTCAGAAGAAAGAGAAGGAGATGAAACAGTATAATATGTATTCACCGGAACCGCAATACGTTAATATGGCTGGTAGGTATTGGTTCTTTATATAATACTAGCGACTCGCCTTTGCTTCGCTCGGGTTCGCCTCTAGGAAAACAAAAACAAACCTGTCCCATGGGAACCGTACATTTTTCCGGGACAAAAAGTAGTCCTATGTGTTACTCCAGACTATAATCTATCTCTGTGCCAAATTTCATCCAGATCCGTTCTGGCGTGAAAAAGTAACAAACATCCATACATACTAACAAACTTTCACATTTATTATCCGCCAGCGTTTGCCATAAAATGTGATTTTTTCTCTGAAGTTTTAATAGGTATTCTGTTATTCGAGGCGAAGACAAATTCAACAAATGAAAAACCATGAAAATTGGTCCAGCAATTCTTGAGTTATAAGTGTTGTAACAAATCCGACTTTGTTTTATATATTATATAGATTATATATTATTTATTGTTCATATATAAAATAATATGGACATTGCAAATAACAGACAAAGGTGGATCCCTAGACGAGATTTCTTCTACTCGATCCAGGGAAGTGGAAGATAGAGATAATTTTATGTAGCAGGCCGATAGTAAAAAAATATCTGAGTATAAATTTGTATATAGATAAACAAACTTTATAAATATACACCCGTAACATATTGATATAAATAATATGACAAACACACAAATAAATATAGTAAACAATTGAGCCCTTCTTTACATTCCACTGGGGCACAAGCCTCTCTTCAATAAAAGGAGTCAGGCCATAGACCAAGCGGGCCAAATGCGGGTAGCGGACTTCATGTGTTTCGAGAACTAGTTAGGACTTCTCGGGCGTACGCAGACAGTTTTTGTTTCTAGTTTTCCTCATAATTTGTAACATTATTTAATAAATATGTCGTGAATATGATATATATTTTAGGAGTATAAAGATATCGAAAGGCCATTTATACCAAAAGGCTGTGGCAGTGGACGCCATATGTAATATACATACTAAAAATGCCAAACATAACTTACATAACATGTATAATAAAACATTAATATACAAAAATTATATAAATGAAAATGAAGAAATTTTTACTTTCCATTTATTAGATTTCTTATGTATATTTTTAAAATATCTTATTATCTATGATTATTTTCAGAAACCCGCGATACCATTTCTGAATCAGAACCACTTCTGTCCCAACGCTCCTCCGAGGCCTACCTTAGCAGTAATGCTGTAGCAAAGCATTATAAGGCGTACTCTGAATCAGATCACTACCGATGGCAAGCGCCCGAACTGTTTGTGCCAGATGGAGACGGGCTAGTGTACTTGTGTTCTAAGAGTGATGTGTATTCCTTGTGTGTTATACTCTGGGAATGTTGCAATGGTTTGTATACCTGATGTGGGTATTTCCTAGATTTTAATATTAACAACCTGTAGTTGGATACATTTATAATTTTATTTGCTATATGAGTGTATTTTTATGTTATGAGACCTTGTCCGTTTTACAACATCCTGAAAAATTTTCAATAGAAATCATTATTCTACATAAAACAAAAAACTCTATCCACTACTCACACCTATACAAATCTACCAAATTAGATATCTCTTACATCGTTTTTTTTTCTTTTTTATATAAAAATGTTTTGATATAATTTAACCAACAATATATAAATTCCAGCAAGTCTTCCATGGAAATCACTGTCGTATAATAAATTGAAGGAGCTCTACACACTATGGAACACGGGTATCCGTATCCCCCAGGACGGGACCTATCCGGGTAGTCTCTTGGCAGTGTTGCAGCGCGGCCTCACACTGCGAAGGGACAGCCGCATGGACCTTGCCTCGTTGCAAACCACGTTGTTGGCTGTACAGGTGATATATTGATAGTTATCCATACTTAATATTATAAATGTGAAAGTGTGTTTGTTTGTTTATCCTTCTTTCACGTCGAAACAGAGTGACGGATTGGCGTAACTTTTTGTATGGAGGTAGTCGGAGGGCTGGAGTGTGATATAGATATAGGCTACTTTTTACCGCGGGAGATTATCTCATTCCCATGGAAAAACACTTTATAATTTATAAATTTAATTTGCTTGAAATTTAGTATTAATGCTCTTCAATAAAATTAAATAAATACCTGTTTTAGCTTTTTTCGAAATTCAGCCGAAAGGGGGTAAAATAGGGATTTTATCGCGATCGAAGCCGCGGGTTCTGCTAGTATTATATAAATAAGTATTTGTGGCCTATTTGTAACGCATTCGCTTGGAAAGCAACGTGAAGCGGGTTCCAATCTGTTCTCGCACCTCAAATCAACTTTTTGTTCATCAATTTTTTAATAGAAACTTGATGAGTTTTAGTAAAAGAAATGACTGCATCACCGCTATATGTATGTTCCACTCAGTGTGTTTTTAGAAATTATAATGTTGTTCTCTAGATAGATAAGTACACTAGATTTCAAAATACGAAAACTATAATCAATCATTTGTTCGCCAACGTCCATACCACGTTGAACACACCGGTTCTCGTCCGATCACCGAAGTTAAGCAACGTCGGGCGCGGTCAGTACTTGGATGGGTGACCGCCTGGGAACACCGCGTGACGTTGGCTTTTTTGATTTGTAATTTCTAAAAATATTGTTTTTTTTTGTTTATCGTGTAACCTCCCTGTTTCTTTTATAAAACGTCTTTTTCATTGTTATCACAACACTACTGAATAGACAATGTTTATATTCATTTTTTATTTATTTTCAGCGAAACCTAGATGAAATCGAATATATAATTATACCAGCGCGATTAGCTAAAACGAAATCGAGTTTCAGTACTCAAACCTGGGATACTTCACCCACCGACTCCGAATGCTTAAGCCCAAAGAATATAGAACACAAAGCCATTATACACACTCGAGAAGACCTCACCGAAAGCGAAAAAGACAGCAAAATAGACAGTCCCCTGTATGAAACAATTCGCAAGACACATTTAGTTACATCATACACGGCAGAGAAATGTTTTATATCTGATGATGAAGACAATCTCCCAAATCAATACAACAATTTACAAGAAAATGACGCGTTAAGCGCCTGTTCCACTCCCATGGCAAAACTACGCGCTAGAATAAAAGATATAGAAACTCCAGGGATCTTACATAAAAGTGATTCCACCGAATACTGTAGCATCCTAAGTCCAGATACTCGATTATATAATTTTGGCTTTAATGACGATAGTGTTAAGGATCAAAGTGCCGAGCGACCAACGGCTAAACTGAGTAGAAGTTTTACTCCGAAGTCATATAAACCATTGCATATAAAAGTACCAGATTTTAATTTAGATTCCATAAGAGGAATATTGAAGGAGAAAGATAATAATGAACGATCGTCATACAATTTTGATATAAAGAACTACAGTTTACCGACAACGCCTATTGCTAGAAGTAACAAATTGAGGAAGAACGCGTGGTTGTCTGGTGATTTAAATTTAACAAGAAGCAGTACTGGCAATTCTAAAACTTCCTCACTTGCGCCAAGTACTGAAGGTATGTATATTTTTTTTAATAATATTTATATAAACAAAACAAAAACAAACAGTCTAAAGTTTATTATTTTATTATAGAATATTAGTAGCAATAAGTTTTGTTTAAACGTTCTTATCATTAGGAATGCTAATTCAATTTGTAATTATTGTGATATATAATAAAATTTGCATTTTAAAGTTTATTTATTAAGGAAGGCTTATTTATATTGTCTATAAATGTTACTCACTTTACATTATAAACTACTTTTTATTTATTTATGAATGTCGCGAGCATTTACATTTTACACTAATATTATAAAGAGAAGTTTTGTATTTTTGTATGTTTGTAATGAATAAACTCAAAAACTACTGGACCGATTTAGATAAAATTTGGTAAGAAGATAGTTTGAGACCCTGGGAAGGACATAGGATATTTTTATCCCTGAAACATCCCTTAAGGGGGTGAAAATGGGGATGAAAGTTTGTATAGATAATCAACCTAGGGACGAACCCCAGTGAAGCGAGGGTGAGTCTTTAGTATTATATAGAAATGCGTTATTCGAACTGCATCAGCTTGCTTATGTTAGCGATCTTGCAAGTGCTAACGCAAATTATGACCTTCAGGTAAATTTCTAAATTTCTTAGAAATTAAAATTCTAAGAAATCTATTGTTAACTGACACGCCGGCGTGTCCGCGGTCGGGGACGGATTATTATAATATTTATTTAATAATATTAGGGTGATTTCTTTGTGACATTTAAAGTAAAAAGTTAAGGCTGTTATTTTTCCTTAAACCTGTAATTATTCCCTCAATAGGTTTTGGGGTTCATCAATTAATATTTAAGAAGCATCATCGATAATATACCATTTGTGCATTTACGATTATTAGTGTTGTACCTACATATCACTAAATTTCTTTAAATATAATGTGCCTACGAGATGCACACAACTATATTAAGTGATTCGTTACCACAATCGCCAACGTCCATACCACGTTGAACACACCGGTTCTCGTCCGATCACCGAAGTTAAGCAACGTCGGGCGCGGTCAGTACTTGGATGGGTGACCGCCTGGGAACACCGCGTGACGTTGGCTTTTTTATTCCTATCTTATTTATTCCCTTTTTGTCTACAGTTACACACATTTTTATATTTGACTATATTATATTAGATTTATATTTCAATGAAGGACTATAACTAAAGATATAGTTATAAAAGATATTTAACAATTTGTTTGTATTAAATACTCTTACTTTTTACAGACACCGATACAAAGCAATCTGATAGCATAATAGTTTCTTCAACAAATCCGTCTTTGGAGAAGGAAGATAAATCCGAAATCTTGACTACAAATCAGTTAGAAAGGAATGAAGAGTCATGTGAAAGTGTCGGTACTGTTCGTAATAGTTATACTGGGTTGAGGAGGTAAGTGCTTGAAATAGATTCTGCATTAGCTAGAATAATGTTTGAAGAAAAAGGGGCTTTCTTCATATAGCGCTTCGCCATATTAATAACGAAACCGAGCCGAGTTGTAAGGTATAATTTCAATCTATACCTTACAACTCGGCAGCAACTTGTTGTACATTGATATTGATGAGACCATATCAGAAGCCTAGGCTGGTGTATGCAACGTTTCCAAAAAGCTACGTCGCAATCGGGTAATAGTTCAGAATGTAAAATATGTATATTCATTTTCACGTAGTTATGTTGATGTTTTTTTTGCCAATTAATTAAATATTTTCATCAAACTCAATTATGAATGATTTTATGTATTTTTGTCATGCTGTGTAAGGCTATTTAAGATAAATCTATCTTCATTTCGAATTTCAATATCTGTAAAAATTACCAAATTTATAATAAACTAGCGACTCACCCTCGCTTCGCTCGGGTTCGTCCCTAGGTACGTTTTGACGGTTAGTATGAACTACAAATCTTTGAATTTCTCGGCTTTTCTGTACTATAATATGCATGTATTATACATATAAACCTTCCTCTTGAATCACTCTATCTATTAAAAAACCGCATCAAAATCCGTTGCGTAGTTTTAAAGATCTAAGCATACATAGGGACAGACAGACAGCGGGAAGCGACTTTGTTGTATACTATGTAATTATACAAGTTTTAAACACAAACAAACATATCTTTCCAGAGTAAGCGACCCGCCACAAGATTTCGCGGACATAGAGCCGCCACTAGCGCGGGCGCGGTCTCTCGCCTGCATGGCGCCCCGCGGCGGCGCGGCGGACGACGTGCTGGCGAGTGTCAACGTGAAACCTCTAGTCGCGATACATGAGAAATGGATATATGAGGCTAATAAGAAAACTGCTCGCTCGTTGTCACTGCCTGAGGATAATCGGTGAGTTATACTGATGAATTAGAAATTCTTTATTCGACATTGATTTGGTATTCCAGAGATATATTTATTGTTTATTAAATACTTTACTAGCCATCCGGAAATGTATATTATTTGGTTTTCTGATCCAAAAATATTAAGTTCTAGCGGAAACGCGCTAAAACTACAAAAAAAAACTTTAAAAAGGTAGGTTTCATACAAACTTTTATTCCCTTATCGGATGAATTTCGAAAAATGCTAAAACACGTATTTAATTTTGTTGAAGATCATTAATACTAAGTTTCAAATAATTACGATCATAAATATTTTTTTGGATTGTATTATAACGTGTCCGCCCGTGGGAATGAGATGATCTCCCGCGGTTAAAGTAGCCTATGTCACTCCAGCCTCCAACTATCTCCACATAAAAAAATCACGCCAATCCGTCACTCTGTTTCGACGTGAAAGACGGACAAACACATTTTCACATTTATAATTTATTTATATATTAGTATATGTATATTGTATAATGTGTACGTATGTGTGTTGCAGCAAGAGAGTGCCGGCGGTGAAGCCCGCGTCGCACTGCGTGGAGGCGCTGCCGCACGCGCCGCCCGCGCCGCCCCGCGGCACAAACGGTCAGTACATATGCATTTTTATTTATTTATAAATACTTTATTACACACACAAGGATAATACATAAAATGAGAAGAAGGAGAAAGACTGAGCAATGAGCATGTCTTTCGAAAACTTGAGAGGTTCTTTCAGACATGCAGGTTTCCTCGCGATGTTTTCCTTCACCGTTAGGCAAGTGGTAATCATGTTGGAAATGATTCGCATATGAAAATATCAGAGGTGCGAGAACCGGGAGTTATACCCGATTCATGGTTTCCCAAGCGAGCACGTCACTAGTGAGCTACCACTTGCCTAGTACATATGTATATATATATATATGTATATATATATATATATATATATATATATATATATATATATATAGTACCTGGGCGACCGAGCTTTGCTCGGAGTTTTTGGCCAAAAAAAAAACATAAAAAAAAACAAACAAAGAATTTAAGAATAAATACAAAAAAAAACAAAATTAAAACTTTGTGTCCGACCGGGATACGAACCCAGATACCTGTGGTTGTCAAACTTGCGCATTGGCCGCTTGACCATGATGCTTATATCTGAGCGTGCGAAATTATCGAACATAATATTTTGCGTGGAATTATTAATTATTAATTTATTGAAATAATGCAAAAGAAATCATAATAATAATAAAGCTCTATTTATTCATTTATTTATTATAAAGGCTTACTAACTAAATTTACATAAAAACATTTATTTAACATTATAATTTTACCTATCTGTATATAAATTTAATTTAAAAGTATGCACAGCTTTTTATAAAAGTATTCCATTAAAATTTTATTTGGTTAAGAGTATATAAGGAGCCATTTTAGTTGTACAATAAACAAAAGAAGAAAAAAAAACTAATCTAAATATTTAAATACACTTTCTTTTTAAATAAATTTAAACTATCAGAAAAAATGTCTATATCACATTGCTGAAATATAAAATTATATAATTTAGTGACTATTTATTAACTTATAATTTTTTAACTAATAATTTTGTAATCTGGAATTAAATTATTTTACAAATCTTTAATATTATTTGAAATTATATTGTATATATATAAATTATCATTAACAAATAAATAAACAATGACAGTAAATTAAATAATTCAATTGAGTAAATACTAAACATTTCACAATAATACATATAAATAAAATTTCTTTCCATACATTAATTCTGACAATAGTTATAAATTAGGTATTTAATTTCATAATTAAATGTATTTATTTAGTAAATGTCTTTTTCATGTATAGACCCCTCTCGGTTAAAAGCCTCCTCCAAAGTAGTCCTGCATAGAGCTCTCCGTTGGAGATTATGCTTGTATGATTGCAAAGGGTTTCTTTTCAAATTTTGTTTTCAATATATAATTTGTTTCTGATATGCCTATAAAGTTTATAATTTTATCTTTGTGTTCTTTGATTTGTTGTAGGAAATGCTGCTTTTAATTCTAGAACTTTTTCTGGTGAAGATATGTATACCTTTGTTCATTGTATGTCTGTTTTTCTTTGGAGGGTTACGGTCGAACTCCCCCACAGTGACCGGCCGTACTGGTGGATAAAGATGAGGAGGTTCCTACGGTGTTTAATATACTGTATCTTGCTGTGTTGTTTTTAGTTGTTCCTGGTTATCATTTGTGTGGTTGAAAGTTAACTTTGGTTTTTGTACTATTAAGTCTTTAATATTACCAGGTATGGTTTTCTTTGTATGTTGTTTATTTGTTAGTTTTTGTTTATAATTGTGGTAAGGCGTTTCTGGAGATACAGGCAGACTTCTTTTTTATTTCCGTTTAGTTTAAGATTATTTTTCCCTCTAGTTCATGATAGGAGTTCATGAAAGTTCTTGCGCCTAATATGTCTTTGTAAATTATTTATTGAGGTACTTTGTTCCTGGATTTTTTTCTCAAGAACTTCAATTTTTATTTCTAACTGTTTAAATTTCTCATTTAAGTATAGTATTGTTGATTGTATTTTTAATGTCTTCTTTCATTTCTAACATTTCTGTTTTCTGCTGTCTTATTTCTTGTTGCATGTTTATTAGCAACTTTTTTATGTCCTCCATCTTATGTGTGAAGTACTATAGTAACTTGGAAGTAGAAAAGCTGATTGAAAAAAGCACCAATTATACCAAGTTGAATTGCAATTTTATACCGAGTATTAGTTTTTGAGGTTATAAACTTATGTTTTAATATTTGACGCTTTCACTTCACAAATTATTTTGTTTTATTGTCATCACACACAGAAAAGATGGTTTTGCGCTAATAGTATCTTTAAGTTATGTTTGTCACTTTTATATTTGTTTGGTAGGTGAATTTTTAAAAGCTCATTTGTTCTTCAACACATCAAGACTTGGTGATGTTTACATATTGCCCATAGGTTTTATTTAAAAATTTATTTTTATTATTTAAATTTATATTTATTCTTTAGATTATTTTCACTTAAATATATTTAGACTTGATGTAAATACGGACACGATGTTGACAGTTGCACAGTGGCGCCGCCCGGCGCCCACTCACCAGAAGTGACAATGCAAAAATTGTGAAAATACAAAAGAAAATCGCATGAAAATTCGAAAATTCGCGTTTTTCCAGATATAAGACTAATCTAGATCGATTTACCGCCCCCGAAACCCCTTGCATGCTAAATTTCATGAAAATCGTTGGAGCCGTTTCCGAGATTCAGATTATATATTGATATATATATATATATACAAGAATAGCTCGTTTAAATATATAAGATATGCGTACGGCATGCATATTTTATAATACATATATGCATTTGCTACGGGTAGTAGTGTTACTTCAGTTCGTGATCTATATATAAATTTGATCTAAATCTGTCCACAAAAGTACGAACATTTTTTTTTATTTTAGTTTGTCATGATCTACATTTTCTTTGAGTGCTTGTTAATACGATTTTATAAGCATCTTTTGTACGTAACTTACTAACTGACTATTAATATAATCTTGTAATAATACTAACTTGACCCACTAACTTGAATTTTTTCAATGGATATAAGTAAAATCTTTAATTTCAGGGTGATTTGGTTGGTTCTAAGTAGGTAGTCTCTAACAAGATGGTGCATTATTTTTTTAATTTTGTTAATTAGTTAGTCGAGTGTTTCTATATTTTATTGTTTTGTTTGTAAGATAGTGTCAAGAAAAGTAAGAAGTGTATTCACAGCACAGCTCATATACGTTACAGTGAGAGTGTAAATTCGATCAGTATTAATAATTACTAAAAGGTGCTTATAATAAAATTGATCAATGTAATAAATATTGGAAAATATATAATTGAAGTTACACTTCTTTTGGCGCGTTTGGAAAAAAATATTAAAGTAAAATTATTACGATGTGTGCGCACACCGACAGCCAAAAAGCGACATAATGAAGTTAGCTGCTTTCCTTTTACAAACAGAGAGTTGTGACATACGGGATTAAATCTTTAGCTATTTTTGTTCTGTTACGCTAAAAAAGTATAACTTCTATGTGCGTACATAAATACACATAACACACACATGTTTTTTTTCCATATGTTCTCATTTTAAAATGGCAAATAATAATATCTAAAAATATCTTAAATCAATCTCTGCTTGACTTTGTATCTTTATTAACACTAAGAAGTATATCTTATAACTTGAATTTTAAATAAAACTATCTTTTCGGATTTTGTCGCGGATTTATTTGGATTTTTGTTTCCCGACGTTTCGAATGCTTTACAGCATCCATGGTCACGGGAGAGACTGAGGTGTTACATGTCTTGAATGTATAGTTGTTACAGACAGCCTACCCACAATTAACAAAATGAAAATTGCACCAATTACATTACAATATTTTTTAAATTTAAACATTTTTATAATTTTAATTATAATTGAATATGGAAAATTATTTATTTAATTTTTGCTATTATTTTTATAATTATTACAATTTTAAAATATTAATTAGTAATCTATATTTAGTGTTGCCATTATTATATTTATAACCATAAAGAAAAATATAATTTTATGGTTATAAATAATATTTCTTTATGGTTATAAATATAATAATGGCAACACTAAATATAGATTACTAATTAATATTTTAAAATTGTAATAATTATAAAAATAATAGCAAAAATTAAATAAATAATTTTCCATATTCAATTATAATTAAAATTATAAAAATGTTTAAATTTAAAAAATATTGTAATGTAATTGGTGCAATTTTCATTTTGTTAATTGTGGGTAGGCTGTCTGTAACAACTATACATTCAAGACATGTAACACCTCAGTCTCTCCCGTGACCATGGATGCTGTAGAGCATTCGAAACGTCGGGAAACAAAAATCCAAATAAATCCGCGACAAAATCCGAAAAGATAGTTTTATTTAAAATGTCAAATATTCGCGTAAATCTAAGAAAGTATTAACTTGAATTTTGCCTTGCCTGAATCAGTACTAAAAATACATGGGTTTAAATTGTACATTTTCCCACTCACTTGCTCGAGAGACTGTAGCAAGAGGTGTACGCAAGTATATTTTACAGTGTAAGAAAAGTTGGTGGCATAACCACTGTACGGATCGACACATTTATCGTAAATGTATGTATATAAATTATTTTTGGCTTAATGTCCTATTCGGAAAATTATATCTTAAATTATCCATTCAATTTATACGACTCGCCGCTCGCGCCACTTTATTGTATGTCACTGATACTATGACAGAATCGTATACGAGCTAAAGTTTTATTCTGAAATATATGTAAAAATAGCGATTAAAATGGTGTAAGTATGTATACAATGGCAATAATTACTTAAATCTTACTAACATCATTACTAAAAATTAATATTAGGTTACATAGATATTAACAATAATTTTGTAATTCATCATAGGTGCTTTATTTAAATTCACTAATTGTAAGTGCAATATCTTAGTTCTTTCAGTAGTTCAGGTCAGTAATATATAAAATTATATGTTAAATGTATGTTATTAGTAAAACTTTCCGTTTAATTGTAACATATAATAACTTGATTTGTATTTAACATTGTTTATTAATTTTACGCACTTGTTCTTTCTTAACATTACAATAATATTATGGTTTATTATGGTGTGGAATAACTTGTTTAGATAATTACTTCTCACAAATTTTTCTTTTTTCACAAAATTTTCTTTCAGATTTTTAATTCCTAAGAATTGTAAATTTTTCAATGTTAAGTATATACTTGTAATACTTTGCATGTCTTTTGTTGGTGATGGTGTTTATTTTCATATAATTTACTGTGCCTTAACAAATAAATATATTTTACTTAAATTATAAAGCTGTTTTTATTATTCACTAACTGTTGTGGCCTTCACTGGCGTACCTTATTTTTTGACATTAATATGTAGCGCCATCTATTGATAAGTAAGAATTTATTCAAGTAACCTTAATATTATTGAAAAAAGATAACTTTTATGTCTAAACCAGAGTACGGCTAATCTGTGCAAAGTTTTATCTATTTCCGTTAATTGTTTACGCGATATTTAGTATATCTTAACATTTGATCAAATCGTGGAAGTAATGCACTCTTCACAGTAAACATCTCTACATTATTTTAAAACATACTAAAAAACACAAACAAACCTATCCCACGGGAACCGTACATTTTTCCGGGATAAAAAGTAGCCTATGTGTTATTCCAGACTATAATCTATCTCTGTGCCAAATTTTATCCAGATCCGTTCAGCCGTTCTGGCGTGAAATAGTAACAAACATGCATACTCACAAACTTTCACAATTATAATATTAATACGGATACTTATATGCCACGAGCTTAAATGTTATTTGGAACAATATTTTCTTTATATCTAACTATAGACAATAATCTGTCAAAACTATCTTACTCTCTTGAAGGTTTTATGCCAATTTTGAAACATCTCAACAAAGCTTTACTCATAATGATTCATGTAAATAAAAAACAAACTTAACAAAAATATAAACATTTTTATATTCTCTTCTAAAATAAATAAGGATTGGCTAAGAAAAAATTGCAACTTTAAAGCAGTATGCTTGCATTATCAATGTACAAATAATGACAAATATTCTGCGACTCACTCTCAAGTGAAGAACAAAAACAAATGTATCCCACGGGAACCGTACACTTTTACAGGATAAAAATAACCTTTAGGCTATGTGCTATTCCAGACTATAACCTATCTCTGTGCCAAATTTCACCCAGATCCGTTCAGCCGTTCTAGCGTGATTGAGTAACAAACATCCATCCATCCCAAACTTTCGCATTTATAATATTTATATGGGATTAAAAATATTGTGGTTGACAATTTAAAAAAAATTGACTTAATTATTGTAATCACTAGTTAAAAATAAACTTCTATTCGCATCTTAACGAACACGAACACCTTTGATGACACGTTTGGCTCAGTTTGTAGTGACCCTACTTGCAGTTCCCGCGGTTGCGGGTTCGACTCCCGCTGGGGGCATTCATTTGTGTGATGAGCACGAATGTTTGTACTCCAGTCATGGGTGTTTATATTTATAATATGTATGTATTTACAGTTATATAAATGTAGTGTGTCAACTATGTAGTATCTATAATACAATCCTTGTAGCTCGTAATCCATGGAACTAGATGGTGTTGTGTGTTAATGTCCCAACATATTTATTATCTATTTATTTATCTTTCGCAGGTGGACACTGGGAACAATTTTGCCAAGCGCGAGAAGCTATTTCTAAGAGCATGAATTTTCACCCACAAGGTGGTAATTGGAAAAAAGCTTCAGAAAAGGGGTATGTGGCTATGTTGTATGAAAATTATAATATTATTCTCATTATAATTTTGTTAACATTGGATAACAAAAATAAACATTATTTTTGTAAATTTTAGTTATAATTAATTATTATAAGATCGTTATGTTATTATAACACTAAGATTAAATAATTAAATAGACAGAGTCCGCGGAAAAAATGTCAAAATCAAAAAATAGTAGCCATAGAGCTTATTTACTTTCTTCGAACACCGCGTGAAGTTGGCTTTTGTTTCTCATTTTGTTTCTTTGTTGCTTCCACTGAAGCTACCACTAGTACTCTCTAAGCGCACGATCGTTTGATGTATTCTATCGCCAACGTCCATACCACGTTGAACACACCGGTTCTCGTCCGATCACCGAAGTTAAGCAACGTCGGGCGCGGTCAGTACTTGGATGGGTGACCGCCTGGGAACACCGCGTGACGTTGGTTTTTTTGTTCTCTATAATTCTTTTTTTCTCTTACCTTACTCTATTATGTTATATATTTTAGCTCTTATGTAATATTGGTGTTATATTTTATTTCAGGACAATAACTGAAGATTTAATTATAACAGATACAAAAATCGATAGATCGACCGACACGTTGAGCATTGAAGAATTCATAAAAGATCTCATTCGCAAAGAATTCCACCATTTAATCACCGAGATGACAGACAACATTTCAGATTCTACAAACAGTTTACACAAATCGGACGAGTTATTAAACAAGGGCGTGGCAAATATTGTCGAATCTTTGAAAAATGGCGAACAAGCCGACCCCTCTGCTAAGAAAGATTCCGTCAGATCATTTTCAAGGCTTAAAATCAATGGAAATAACAAACCGTTGTTACAAATAACTTTTAGTCGCTCCGGTGAGAATAATTTACAAGTTCTTGATAATTGCGTGAACGTGACTATTTGTGACTCTAACGGTGGAAAGGAAAAACTGAATATCTCAGTAGATGACACTTTGACAGGAGATGATCTTCAAATTAACTCATTAAAGAGGTGTCAAGCTTTCAGTGCGATTCAGGTGAGGTTACAGTAAACACTTTTAAACAATATTACTAGCTGACTTCATAAAAGACGGTTCTATGTCCGACGTACTCGTATGTCAAAATTATTAAATATTTTTAACAATTTCTCCTGCTTACCAAACATTTTTAACTATGATCCTAAGACAGTCTAAGTATAATTTTCTTTCCTCTGACACATCATTTTTAAAGGAAATCTAAAAAATAACTTATAAGTATGTGAAACACAAGTGCACTCTATTTCTTTCAATCTCATATTTCGGCAAAGCGGCAACTCTATTCGCGGTAAGAGATCAGGGCGCAGGTTCGACCGTTTGATTGCATTACCTACTCTCAAATTTGCCAGCTCAGTCTTTTACTCGTTTTTATTTTGACAAAAACTAATAACCATATTTGACCCGACCAAAAAGTCAATTCAAGGCTCAGAATATGCAACTTTGGCAGTGCATATTTAAAAAAAATTGAATGGTCCTATAAAACGATACTTAATAGCCGAAGATATCGCTCAACTATCGCTATATTACAGTATAGTTTCATAAAAATCAGTTCAGTAGTTTTTGCGTGAAACAATAAAAAAAATAATCCAATCATACTCAAACTTTCTTGTTTATAATTAAAGTAGGATTGTAAATAATATTAGAGCCGTAGAGTTGAATTATTTATCATGAATGATAGAAGCTTTCTTATAAAAGAAGTGTATTTTTAATAATAATTTTTTATGTTACTGTAAAGATATTCACATACATTTTTATGTACAATACAAAATAACATCCATTAATTCAACTTACAAATCGCCAACGTCCATACCACGTTGAACACACCGGTTCTCGTCCGATCACCGAAGTTAAGCAACGTCGGGCGCGGTCAGTACTTGGATGGGTGACCGCCTGGGAACACCGCGTGACGTTGGCTTTTTTGTTTTATTTTTCAAATAAGGGACGTTGATTTTTTTTTGAACAAGTTTTATGTTATAAAAATAAAAGGCAGGGCCGCTTGTACAGTTTTATGAACATTAATTACTAATTTAATGTTTTTTTTACATATATGATCTATTTTTTCATAATAGGTACTTGTTCCTTGTTCACAGGAAGCTCGAAGCACCGAAGACTTGTACATAGACGACGACTTGTCCACTATGCAAGAGAACTTTGGTGGTAAAGTCAAACTCATCCCCTTACACGGCTCTCTGCACGAGATACTCTGCGAGAAGGAAGACGACTGCTGCCTCATCAAGGTTAAGCAGGAAAATGGCTGTGACACTATTTACTTCAGATGCGACAATTCAGACACCGAGTCCCGCGACGCCGTCGACGGCTCCGACCGACCTAAAGACACGGTTGTCTTCAAACGAAGCATATCCCTTATAGAGGAGAGAATCCAGCGAATCTTTCCCAAGGAAAAGCGACACAACCCTGTCGCAGCACTCAAAAAACTAAATGACAAGCTCAAAGCTCGACCTAAATCAGAAATATTTGTCAAAAACATCAACAAAGACACTCGCGTTCTGAGCAACAGCAGTCCCTCTCTATTCATGAAGGATGAGAAAAGCGACGAAGTGGAACTGAACATCGAGAACGTGATGTGTTACCAGGACTCTTCCTCCGACGAATGCTTGAAGTGTCAAGTCGAAACCGACGACTTCGAGATGTTAGAACGAGAGATCGAAAGGGATATCGCTAATGCCTCCACCCTGCTCACCTGCGGCTGTCTCGAGAAAATCTCCGAAGAAAATCTCTCTGTAATAAACGAGGATCTCGAAAAATACTGATTCTGTTGATCCAGAACGATTTGAATTACAATATCTATATTAAAATTACATCAGAGTGAAAGTTTTTATTTAATTCTATATATATTTTTTTATTCTACTTTTTTTTAATATTTAGCATTAAATGCTGATTAGTGGCAGGTCTTCCATTAAAAGTACAAAATTTTCTTTCTTTTTTTTTTTGTTAATTTATTACATCATATCGCCATATCGCTCGACCGTCCACTCGCATTTAGAAAACCCAAAGATATTTAACGTTTTAATAGGTTTTCTTTTAAGAATTTCCATTTTAATTTTTTAGAAATATAATATTAGTGAAAGGCTATGTGATTTTAGATTAAGTAGCACTAAACATTCCACTGTTGTGATTTTAGAATAGTTTTTCACAGTTTTATATTATATCTATGTCTCTTATATCACAGTTAATTATATTGTACCTTAAATATTGTTTCTATTCATATGTACATCGTTGCATGGACCAAAGTTTACTAAAATTGCATATTTTCATTACTTTATAATATTTTGTAAAAGAGAAGTTTTTTTAGTGTTTAGTGATTTAGAAAGTATTTAGACATCGTTACTCAGGTGTTGATTTTAGATATAATTGTTAAAAATAAAATCCGTTATTGATAAAAAATGTGTTTTATTAATTTTTAAGCTTACATGGCGTTGAGTTTTATATTTCCATACTTAAAAGCTAAACCCTAAAGCTTATGGAAGACTTGATACATTACAAAATAATGTTTTGTAATGGAACAAATTACAGAAAAGTAATATCATTATTTTTAAAAATGCATTGATTCCGTGTTCTTGATCATAATGTGTATGTTAAATATATATAACTAAACAATTTAGTAATAAATGTTAAAAGAACTGGTAATATTATTGTATAATTTGCTTTATTTTACTCTTAATATGGCCGATTTCACCAACGACACCTAAGTTTAAGGGGTCCTCTAAGCATGGTTAGGGGACAGTTTCTGTTTCACCGACAGTTAGGGGTCACCTAAATATTAAAAGGCCCCCTAAATATAGGTGCTCGAAATATGGGCTTAAAAACGATCGTAAAACGAAATTTAATTTAGAGGCTAGTTTAGAGGATTTTAAGCTAGGGATCCCATACGTAGGTGGTAGCTTATGGGTTGTTGGTGAAAGCGGGCAATATTCTATTAATTAAAAAAAAAAGAAATAAAAAGCAAACTTTGGGAATCCTATAATAATTTACATATACATAAATAGTACAAGTACTAATAATAGAACAGACAATATGATTTTGCCACTTAGTACGAATTTGTCAACAATCGAGTATACAATTTACTTCTATCGATTTTTTATTGATTATTTAGTGAAAGAAAACGTCATGAAGACATGTGAAATTCGTCATCCCGCACTTGTCAGCGTGGTGGACTATGGCTTGTGCCTAGACAGGGCTCGGAAACCCATTCAATTTTTAAACCGGTTTTGGCCATTGACCCCAAGACAAAAGGTTTCTCGGTTTAAGGTTTCGGTATATTCTTTAACCGGTTAAAATCCGGAAAACAGTTTTTGACGAATTTAGGTTCCATGATCGAAAATTAACCGGTTAAAATATTTTAATTAGTTTTTATGCGTTTATATTTGACGAATCTTTGCTAATGTGACTTGCTGATTAGAAGTATACATGTACGTTTCTAAAATCAACAGGCTTATTTCGGTATCAAAACCTAATTTAATTTTACTCAGAATAACCGTCAAAAATTATTATTTCGGTTTACTAAACCGGTTGATAAACGAGCGATGAATTAATTACATTACCGAAAATAAACAGTTTTAAACAGATTCCGAGCCCTTTGCCCAGCAGAAAGCAAAAAGGGCTGAATTATAATCAACACTAGTTTCCTATTCCTTTAGAAGTACCAAATATTAAATAATATATCAAAACTCGTGCTAAGGGCTCATATATACAGGTGCATCATTCATATATGTATGTACATATCCATTACGAGTTTTTCTCAGTAAGTTTGACGTAGACAGCCTTGACCTCCGTGTAGTTCCGTATGCCGTAGGGCCCGTTCTCGCGGCCGACGCCGGACTGCTTGAACCCGCCGAAAGGCACCTGGTTGCCGAACACGTTGTAGTCGTTCACCCACACCGTGCCCGCGCGCAGACCCTGAGGGAGACAATATATATATATATTTCGTTCATAGAGCTAAACTCCAGTTAATATCTCTCGACTGAGATGGTGATGGTGGACCAAGGACGATGATATATTTTGGATAATTATGATAGCCATGATGATGATATATGATAGATAACGATGATAACCATGATAATATTTTATGACAGATAATGATGATAGCCATGATGATGATATATGATACATAACGGTGATAACCATGATCATGATAGATAATGATAGTAACCACGATGATATATGATGATAAGAACTAACCTGTATGAGATAGTTGGCCTTGTCGATGTCCTTCGTGAAGACGGCGGCGGCGAGCCCGTACTCCGTGTTGTTGGCGCGCTCGAGCAGCTCGTCCATTTGAGAGAACTTGATGATTTGCTGCACCGGTCCGAAGATCTGTTCGTACAATGTTATATGTGAGGAGGTGGTAACTTTCCTCATCTATACATACATATAATAAAATTCTAACTGAGTCGAATCTGTACATTAATTATTTTTAGGAAAATCTTACTGAAATAGTATTATTTTCGATACAGAGGCCGAATCTATAGTTTTCGGCATTTTTGGCTGTCTGTCTGTCTGTGACTGCATCACGCGAAAACCACTAGACAGATTTTGATGAAATTTTGTATAATGATAGCTGGTTATCCGGGTCAACATAGAGGATACTTTTTACTGCGGGTAAATATATCATTTTTGAGAAATCTATACTAAAACATTAAAACATAACTAGGGACGAACGCGAACGGAGCGAGGGTGCGTCGCTAGTTTTATTATATATTCGAAACGTCGGGAACCAAAAAACCAAAATCCGCGAAAAAAACCAAATCGAAGTTTTCTTTTTTTAGAATTCCGTACTTGTAAAGAGACACGATGATGTGTCTAGTTGTTACTATTATTCATATATTTTATATATTTACTTTACAAAAGCTTTTATTATACAAACAGAAATAAAAATTAACCAAAAGCAATAAATACTTCAACAAGTATTGCAACAAATCGACACATAACAATATTTAAGTAGATAATTATAGTCATAAAACTTTTACAACGATTTTATAGTTAAATAAATAACAACGAGTCTATATAATTCTCTTTAATAGTGCGTACATTCTGGTTATTATATTTACTGTTTGTTTGTAAACTTTAAACAAACGAAACGAAATACAACAATGTATATTGTATATATATTTTTTGATGGGCAACTCATTTTAGTGTATTTATAACAAAAAGTAGAGAACTATTATTAGCATTATTTTACTAAATGTTGTTTATATTATAATAATTTAACTCATGTGATATGTTGTTTTCTAAATAAATAAATACGTATGTATATTTATCCTCACTGGCAAATTCAAGGTTAGTCTACTTTGCTACAATTAAACAGTGTCACATTCACCATACACTGAACATATATATATATATATATATATAGGTAACGATTGTTCGAGGTCATTTCATATGCGTTATTTTTAGTTATGTGAGGCAAATAATTTTGCTAAATTATTCTAAATGGTCTTAATTACAGTCACTCAAGGTAGATTTTGAGATCAAATTAGCGTTTACGTGAAATTCTGTATATATTTTTAGTTGTTAATTAAATTAATAAATATACATCAAAAAGTTAAAAAGGATCTATGACTCATGTGTTCGATTTAGGTCTAAAAAATTTTTTTCCTTATCTACGGTAAACTAATTAACTTTAAGGCGCTCTTTTCCAGAATCGCCGCTCCCTAGGCGCCAGCGCGCGACGACCCGTTTCATTTTATCTGTTTTTTGCCTATTGCTATGGCATATATATAAATATAAGTTAATAAATGAAAATCTGTTTCTCCGAATACCTAAATAATGACAAGCTAAATCTATGAGTATAACTTTCATATCATATAATAATGTATTTTGTGTGTATCAGAGATTTTAAGGTATTTTTAGACCTATCTTTGAATTTTTTTTCTATCGAGTGAACTATTGCCAATCGTGTTTTGGCCTCTCCGGGTACTTAGCTATTATCCTTAACTATAACATGTATGAATTTTAGAACTATATGTATTATATTCGTGGTTTTATAATGGTTCAAAATATCCTAAATTCTGGAAAAGTGCGCCTTAAGTAAAAAGTCAATTTATATGCGTGGACACTAGGGCTGCCAGATCGTATAATTGGATACGAAAATTGTAAAATATGGTTATTTTTTATACAATATATTTAATTTTAAGTTTTCACGTATTTTTATTGATTTTTTTTTTCATCACAGTCTATTTCTCAACGGTTTTGTTAATTTATATAATAAAATTTGATTTTGTATAATTTCAGTGAGCCAGCGGTATAAAATAGGTTGGCTCTACTGGCAGCCCTAGTGGGCACCCACCTACGTGTGTGTGTGCGTGCGCGTATATCTGTGAGTGAGTGTGTGTGTGTGTGTGTGTGTGTACCTCAACGCGCGCGATGTCCATGTGGTCGTGCACGTCGGCGAACACGGTGGGCTGCACGTAGTAGCCGCCGCGCGCCGCCGCGCCGCCGCCCGCCACGAGGCGCGCGCCCTGCCGCTTGCCGGTCTCTATTAGATCGAGGATCTTCTTGTGTTGCTCCGCGTCGATCTGTTGTGTTAATATTATTATTAGTCCACATATAGTTATTTGCTAAATTTATGACATACGAGTGTCTTATAAGTATTCAGCGGCAAGGTTGCTTATTTTATCCAAGTATACTATTTAGGTAAGAAATATAATAATATAAAATTGTTTATAGCTCAAGACGACAGACTGCGAGGAGTGGTGTAATCCTATCCCCAATGTCATCAGCACCGCCGCCGCCCCCCTCTCCCCTCCTCTCACCACTTTGATGCTTACGTAATACTTGACTGGCCCCCTAGGCAACCGAGACAGATTCACCTATTCCCATTAATACACAATACACATGGTGTCCGCCCCCGGCCCCCCGGTCCCCTCGCACCTGCGGGCCCTGCTCGGTGTCGGCGCGGAAGGGGTCGCCGAGCACGCGGCGGCGCGCGCGCGCGGCCGAGCGCTCCACGAACTCGTCGTAGATGGAGTCCTCCACGAACGTGCGGGATCCTGCGCACGTTATATTACTTTTTATAGTATACACTCTATACAGATAAATAAAATTGAAGTGTCTGTTTGTAATGTCAAAATAATAGCTTTTTACTAAATGCATATGAAATTATATACGATACATATAAGAAAAACAATATTTTAAATTTTTCTCTGTCTGTTTGTTCCGGATAATTTCTGAAACGGCTGGACTGATTTTGACGGGACTTTCACTGGAAGATAGCTGATATTATAGGAAGTAACATAGCTACTTTTATTTTAGAAAAAGAATTAGAGTTCCGCTCAAAAAAATAAAAACCTACATAGGAATGAACTCGAGCGAAGCGAAGGTGGATCGCTAGTATACAATATATTTTTAGAAACATCCTAAAAGACAAGATAAATATTATGACAAGAGTATCAGAGCTTTAGAAAGAGAAATATATTATAAGAAAAAGTGTCATGAATGCGAAAAATTGTTGTCTATATGTTTGTTACTCCTTCACGCCGAAACGGCTGAACCGATTTAGATGAAATGTAGTACATACATTATCGCACGCACCCGAGAAAAGTAACAATTCCTAATAGCAAGACAACAAAAGTATATCTACAGTAATCAAACAACACGTAAGCGTCCAATAGACGCCATATATCGACTAATGAACCAATCCAACTTTACACCATCTTCTTTACCATAAACAAACCAAAAAATTTAAACTCAATATTGGCATTACTAAAACCATTTATAAAATTCGATAAATATATCAACATACCGGCAGTACAAACTTGTCCCATGTTGAAGAACAGCGCCATATGCGACTGTTCCACGGCGTATTCTAAGTCGGCGTCCGCGAACACGATGTTGGGCGACTTGCCGCCCAGCTCCAACGTCACTCTCTTCACGTTGCCCGCTGACCCGCGTTGGATCAACTTGCCCACTTCTGTAGAACCTAAAAAACCACGATATTTATATAAAATATAAATATGCAATTACTATAGTTTAAAAATTTAAACAAATTAAACAAAAACCGACTTCCAGGCACTGAAAAGTAAAAAATAACTAAACGGGGGTTTTCATTTAGAATAGATACCTAATCAGATATTTTCGAAGGCGGTGTGTTTTGATTTGTATTGGCTGGCGCCTCTTTCGTGTTTTCCTCTTGCCTTCGTCAGACACAGTATGGATTAATGGAATGTGCTAAGTTCATACTCGTATTAATAAAATATATAATATTTTTAACATCAATAGTTAAGTAATACCAAAATTTCTGACAAATATCACTAAAAAAATGAAGAGATGTTTCAAAAATGTCATCTCTTCCCTCGATAATGATAATTTTCCATGTAATCAATCATTATTATACCTAGATATAGATTGTAAAGACATACCAGCGATATTGTCAGCCATTAACGGAATTGCTAACATAATATTATATATACTAAATATTCTAATACATCATTGGCAAATTTCCATTTTATATTATTAGCAATTAAATTCATCTAGTAGACAGTAATCACGATAGAACAAGAGAATTTAAAGATTTTTTCCGAGTTATATTTATTGATTTAACCGGATTTTGAAAAATACGAGGTCGATATTTTCCAATAATTTTCACCTCGTACTGACATCATTTTCTGTGATAATAAAAATACTTAGTATTTGCCCGCCTCTATAAAATAAATTATATCTTTAAACGCTACCGTAAATAGAAAAAAAAAACAGACAAAATCTATACCTACTAATAAATGTTGAAATTATAAAATCCCTCCACGACCGCAGACACGCCGGCGTGTCAGTTAACAATAGATTTCTTAGAATTTTAATTCATTTCTTAGAAATTTACCTGGAGGTGTTAGTAATATCTTACTTTCATATAATACAGTTTACCGCATCTTCACTCGAACTTACGGTTTTCTTAATATAATTTTCTAAATTACTTTATAATTTAGTGAACTCTTATATATTAAAAGTCAGGTGCCTATTGTACTTCAATAAATACCGCACGTAATTTATTTAAATTGACTAGAATAAAAGTTATTATTTATAATATGTATGTATTTAAAGTTATATATGTGTAGTGTATCAACTAGCTGGTATCCATAACACAAGCCTCGTAGCTTACCATGGAACTAGATGGTGCTGTGTGTTAATGTCCCAATTTATTAAAAAAGAAGGAGATAAGCGTTCTATCGTTCATTGATCCCTTAATCAATTTATGTAAGCCACGCGAAGCACCTTGTAAAATCTAAAAATAGATCATCAAGATCAAGATCATTGTGCCTACGTAGGTTTCTTTTCATAACATGTTATATAATTTCGATAACGTTTTATAGCATTCAACTGAAATATGTTGTTACATTTTAAAGTATGGTGATCGGAGAATATGTCTTTGAGAATACTTTTATTTCTTTACTACGACAGTAAGATGTCACTGTGACCATGACTGGTTTGTTGTGATATTTAGGATACTTACCAGTGAAGGCAACCTTGTCAACACCGGGGTGGTCGACGATGGCGGCGCCCGCGTCGCCGTAGCCGGGCAGCATGTTGACGACGCCCGGCGGGAAACCGGCTTCCTGTGCGATTGATGATAGAGTTGTTCATCATGCTCTGCTCGCGTCGTTAGTACGGCGGGGATCAAATATAACCTATGTCCATTGTCCACCCCCAAGATGTAATCAAATCGAAATATACTTTATTCAAATAGACTTTTACAAGTACGTTTGAATCGTCACGTTTTGCACGGATTCTGCGAACATCACTAATTTTTTTCATCATTATCTCCTAATGTATATGTTAAAACAGATTCTACATCTATTTAGTGTTACTGTTAGATTAAGTCAATAATGATAATAAAATGATTTATATTTTATAAGAATTAATATTTTGTTGAATAAGGAGTACTTTTTTGCCGGCTTGACTTCACTTATACTGTCAATACTCAGCTCCTATAAGTACTAGAGCTGGGGCAATTTTAATACATTTAAATCTTTTTGGGGAAAGTGCCTACATATTATAACAAGAAAAACGGCATTAAAATTAAATCACTACTTAGACCTCCATATCAGCGCGTACATACGTACAGATAGACAGGCTTCATTTATATGTGTAAGGATATCACTTTAGACGTCATGCAAAAAATAATTAATTAGGCAGTTGACTCAAAAGGAAATATTTTCCAACAAGTTATGTATAGGAAAAATACCTGAGCGAGAATGTGTGTATAACAATAAATTAATAAAGATTATTTAATGAATTTTATAACGACACGTTTGGCTCAGTTTGTAGTGACCCCACTTGCTGTGCCAGCGGTCGGGGGTTCGAGTCCCGCTGGGGGGATTCATTTGAGTGAAGAGCACAAATGTTTGTACTCCAGTCATGGATGTTTATATTCATAATATGTATGTATTTAAAGTTATATATGTGTTGTGTATCAACTATCTGGTATCCATAACACAAGTCTCGTAGCTTACCATGGAACTAGATGTAGCTGTGTGTTGATGTCCTAACATATTTATTTATTTAATACAAATAGCAACTAGGGAAGCACCTGAGCAAAGTGAGGGTAAGTCACTAGTATGTATAACTTTGTTTTAAAATGGTCCTTTACAACTTACCTTTGCGAGTTGCGCAAGGTACAAGGCAGTGAGAGGCGTTTGCTCGGCGGGCTTCATCACCACCGTGCAGCCGGCGGCCAGGGCCGGGCCCAGCTTCCATGACGCCATGAGTAATGGGAAGTTCCATGGGATTATTTGACCGCAAACACCTTAAATATTACAATTGAAAGTTACCTAAATTACCTGACATGATAGATGTCATTCGGAACAGATTTCAATAAAATTCGTGATTTTTCAATGTTAATCTAAAAATTAAAAATTCGATAAAGCGCCCTAGCCGTTCTCGAAAATACGCTTACCAACGAACAGCATGTTATTTGAATCTATATAGACACTGCTAGGCACATGATAAGGCAACAGTATCGCAGTTTCCTATTACGCGCTGGCTAAGAAAACTAAGTTAAGCAGGTTCAAACCTCCAGTTTCGCACGTCTGAGATTTTCAGGTGTTAATTAATCATTGTTAATATAATTACCACCTCAAACACGTGAACGAAAATAACTCAAAATTTTATAATTTACAAATTTTTATAAATCTAAGAATACCTATTTTTCGGAAGAGATTTGAAATCTAATCTGCATGTGAACAGCGTAATGGACTATGGCCTTTCCTTACTGAGGGTAGGCCCGTGTCCAGCTGTGAGACGTTAAAATTTTTTTTTTCCACTTGCCAGCCTAAAACAGGCGCCGGCAATGATAGATATATAAATTTAATTTAGTTAGTCGCTAGCAGGCAATGTCATGACATTAGGTAATGTTACCCAATTCTCTAATTGAATATTATTGAAACAGTCGAAGGCCGACATCTTTTTGCTTGTGTAAGTTTTTCAGTCATTCAGTTCTTATTTACAGAATTTAAACAATGGTCAAGCGCATTTAGATTCTCTCTGTCTTCTAGAATTTTCCATCCTAATATGTACCTACTACTATCCTAATATGTATCTTTATTTTTATTACACATGTAGGTAGGTAATTTTCATAAAATATTACATATACCTATGTGATAATTTGTATGTGTGTGTGTTGTGTGTTTGTTTGTTACTCCTTCACGCTAAACCGGCTTAATAGATTTAGATCAACTTTAGTATTTACATAGACAGACTATGACATAATGTAACGAATATATATACTACTGTTACGCTTCCACGTCTCTAGTACAAATACAAAACATACAGGCTTACTCACCGACAGGCTCATGGCGGGTGTAGGCGAAGTATTTGCCATCAGCGGGCAACACCATCCCATGGTTCTTGTCCGCCCAACCTGCATAGTACCTCAGATTCTTGATAGCACTCAGTACATCTACGTGGTACGACGCGAGGTAGGGCTTGCCGTTGTCTAAAGTTTCTAGACTCTACAAACAATTTATTTTATATTTTTATTATTTCAAATAGTACCTATAATAAAATTCTGAGTCGAATCTGTACATTACATACTTTGGAAAACCTTATTGCAATTAAATTATTTATAAATTAAATTCGGCTTCTGTATCATTATCATCGATACAGAAGCCGAATTTATAATTTTTTGAATTCTTGTCTGTCTGTCTGTGACCGCATCGCTAGAAAACCACTGGACAGATTTTGATGAAATTTCGTATGATGATAGCTGGTTACACATATAGAATACTTTTTACTACGGGAAAATATCTTATCTGTGACAATTCTATACTAACATTGAAACGTAACCAAAGGACGAACTTGAGCGGAACGCCGCGCTGGTGAGTTGCTAGTTTACGAGTAGTTGTACAATAAATATGGATATAATATAATGAAATATGGATAAAAAAACGGATGACTAAATACATATTAGAATATTTATGTATTCGTATTCAAATCACATGACTGCTAATTATACGGTATAAAGAAAAACATGCATAAATTATGCTTGAACTTCGTTTATAATCAATTATAATTAATTTACATTTTTTTTTGTCGTATCTCTCAAATTACTTTACTTATGAAAAAAAAAACTCTATGTACACAAAACATAATAATGTAAAAAAGTAGGTAACTGAATAGAATTTTTAGCTACTTCTTTTCTGATGATGATTGGGATATAATAGACACTAGACAGTAAAGCAATCTATACATATAATAAAATTCTAACTAAGTCGAATCTGTACATTAAATACTTTTTGGAAAATCTAATTAAAATAGACATTATTATCGGTACAGAGGCCGAATCTATAGTTTTTAAATCAAATATAAAATAATAAATTTTGTCTGTCTTTCTATTACCGCATCACGAGAAAACTACTGGACAGACTTTGATGAAATTCGGTATTGTCGGCGACGGAAAACCTATCTTCGAGTAACGTGTGTATTAATATAGGGACAATGTCATTTTAGCGTATTATGAATAATTGTTGTAAATATGAAATCTCATTCTTATTAGATTTATTATGTTAAAATAAGTTCTAATTAGTGTAATAAGGTTAGTTTAGAGTATTTTTTGCTTATTTGAATCATATAAGACTATTTAACATTAATTTGAAAGGAATAGGTACGTAAGTAAAATGTTAGCATATAATTACGTAACTTGAAAATGAGATTTTTTGTTTCTTGCAATAGCATAATAGTTTATGTTTTAAATAATAGATTTTATTATAAAACTTATAATAAAACAAGAATTAGGTCGATAGGACTATCCGTTCAAAAGTTATAAGGGAAAATGTATAGTAAAAATGTAGCAACCTAGAAATTTAGATATTTTTGTTTTAAGACTTTTTTAAATAATTATTATATATTGAATATTATGTTTTAATATTGTATAATAGTATGTAAGGCATGTAAATAAATAAATAAATATGTGTAAGGTGTTTTACTGAAAACATAAAATAAAAGGACTCTCAAGGTTTCGGTTTAGGGAAATTTTATTCGAAAAATGAGCTCAAAGTACGCGGCTCTCTGTAAGGTATTAACGGGCCAAATAAAAGGCGAGCCATTTCTCGATTCGAGTCAGTCGCAAGACAGCCACCGAAGAGGCAACAACTAAAAGGAAAAGGAAGAACCGAAACCAAGAGAGAAAAAAGGAAAAAATTGTGTTTTTATTTCATCGCCTCTAAGTATAGTCTCCTGTCAACGAAGAAACCCTAGTGGATCGGGACCCAAGCTACGCATTCAGGGGTGCGTGGTGGCGTACATTACCAGCGAACGGACATACTGCCGTGTACGCCAAGAACGTCTGGGAGATTGTCCCAGGTCGACCTCCGGGTACTAGACATACCCTGGTTCTGGTCGTCCGAAACAGGTATGATGATAGCTGGTTATCCTGGTCAACATATAGGATACTTTTTACCGCGGGAAAATATCTTATTTCTGAGAAAAAATACAAAGACTGCATTGTAGGAGTATTATACAGATATGTAAAACCTAAGAATTTGGTTTTTGGTCATCTGAACGCAGGCGGAGCCGCGGCCAATGCTAGTAGTACTAATAAAATGGTTACGATTAAGTTTCATTAGAATATATAAAACAGCATGTTAAGCGATTGTAAAATAAGTTAAAAAACACGTAGGCAAAATCATATGTAACTAATAAATATACAATCGATTTATAATACAAAATGTCGTAAATTTTATCCGACTTTACAAAAGAGCTAAAGATATAAGAGTTTGACAGACGACAGATTCTTATAAATAAGTAACTACTTTTTTCAAATATCCTATGTGATATCAAATTAAAATTATATGAGTCAGTATTTATTATTTTAATTGTTGTAAATTGTAATTCTCTCTAGTTTTTGCTTGAGAATTGAGACTACACCAGGGTGTTTATTTTTGTTTAGTTTGCAATCATTAATCATGGTCCAGAGCTCGTGGGTTGTTTTTTTCAATCTAACAATGTTTTAAAGCAGTCATAAAAGATGTTAACAATAAACAAAATAAATTAGTTAATTCTCATGCAAACACATATCAGAATGAACTGTCTGGGGAAACCCCCACTATACATACATTTTTCAAATCGAGAAATTCAATGCAAAATATACACGGCTATAGGTTTTTTCTTTTATGTATAAATAATAAATTTATGTTTCATACTTATAAGTTACTAGATATTTTCCCGTTGTAAAAAGTATCCTATATCAACATATAATAAACGGATAACCAGATAACCAGCTATCATCATACCAAATTTCATCAAAATCCCTCCAGTGGTTTCTCTGTGATGCGGTAGCAGACAGACAGACAAAAATTATAAAAACTTTAGATTTGGCTTCTATATCGATAACAATGTCTATTTCAATAAGATTTTCCAAAAAATATTTAATGTAACAGATTTGACTCAATTACAATTTTATTATATGTATAGATAACATATCATAAAGTAATTATTTGCACCGTCATCGTGTGCTCGCCATTCTAGCAGAATATCGGTCGTATGATATAATTGATGACATGTACCTATAACTTATCGTTTATCGTAGAAGAAATGTACATATTATGTTTAATTATATGTAATACAAGGTCTGTAAATATTTATTTATAAATATATCGTTCTAGTAGCGATATAATACTAGCGATATAATTAATGTCAAAATTATTTTGTAGTTTGTTTCCAAAGACGATACGTTAACGATAAGATTATGTGCTATTAATTAAATAACTAAATATTTAAGTATATAGTTACCTATATACAAAGACTTGAGAGATTTACTTACCGCCACATAAGATCTATCCCTTTCAAGCAAATCAGCTAATTTATTAAGCAGGTAACCGCGCTCAGAAGCATCCATTTTTCTCCATACTGACCCAAACCTATCGACAACACAATTTAATTTTACAACTGTAGTAGACATGAGTCACACTCTTGTAACAATGGTAATAATATATTATGTACATATTATGTATAGCACAAAACCAACATACAATTACCTATTCTTTGTTTTATATTCTACTTTAAAATTTTAACAGAAATTACATTTAACGTTTGCGTGTGATCTACCATTTTCTGCAAAATATATTGTTATTATGATATATAAATATATCCCGTGAACCTGAATGTTCCTTCCGTTAATTTGTGCACCAAAGCCGAAATGGGAAAATAACTTGTCTACCCCACATCTTAAACGTTCACCTTGTCGTTTTGAAGGGGAAGCGGAGGGGGGGGGGGTTAGTCTCTCATTAGCGTCCGGCATTTCAGCACAATCGGAAAGAATATCTTACACCAAAAACGCCATCTCATCCTATCCCATGAGAGCGCCGCATATACTTGCAGCACAATCTTATCAAAGCTACAAAAAATCGCCATGAGGGCTTATAAATCATTATGAACACTTAAAATTTTATAACTAACTTGAAAGCTTCCTTAGCAGCTTGAACGGCAAGATCCACGTCAGCTTTACCCGCTTGCTGGATATCTGCGATCACTTCTCCGGTGGCTGGATTCTCTGTTGGGAATACTTTCCCATCGACAGACTTTCTCCATTCATTGTTGATAAAAATCTGAGAACAATTAAACAAAATGATACATTCTTATATGATTAATTCATACAAAATATTTGGATATTCTTTAGAAATACCTAATTTTTAAAGAATGTTTATAATCCTATAAAATGAGATTTATTTTTTTTTGCAATAGAATTTCTTTTAAAATAAAGGCCTAAATTGAAACGTTATAGATACACGTAACATAAATTTTAGCTAAATGTTAGTAGACATTAGTACCCCAGTTTTCTTTTCAGCTGCAGGTACTGAAAAACGAAAATGAGATTTTCTTTTCAGTACCTGCAGCCCTGCTAAACAAGTTTTTTTTTTGTATAACGATAAATATATAGTCCGTAAAAAAACTTTTTAACAAAAAAATAAAAACCGACTTCAAACAAAAGCACTAAAAAGTAAAAAATAACTGATTGGTAGTTTTCATTTACTATACATACCTAATCAAATATTTTCGAAGTCGGTGTGCTTTGCTTTGTATGGGCTGGCACCGATTTCGAAAATATTTGATTAGGTATGTATTTAATAGGTAGGCTTTAATTACTTAGCCAAAGCACACCGACTTCGAGAATATTTGATTAGGTATGTATAGTAAATGAAAACTACCAATCAGTTATTTTTTACTTTTTAGTGCTTTTGTTTGAAGTCGGTTTTTATTTTTTTGTTAAAAAGTTTTTATTTTTCCCTTTTTAGTGTAGACAGTAGTAGCAAAGTAAGGATTCTAACGTGTTAGGCTTGTCAAATCAAACAAAATAAGCCCAAACTCAAAGTATCTACTATTAGCCGTTGAAGAGTTCCACCTATCCACCTTCTGACCTTGCCATCAGATCAGGTCAACAACACCGAACCACTGTACTATCAACGGAAATAGAAATATTTGCAAAGTTTCGAGTCAATATGACAATTAGAAGTAGGTTAAATTCATCATTAGTTGTTTTTCCACCCTTAGGGGTGGTATTTTTTTTTTAAATTTAAATGGGACCAATCTGGAAGTATACCCTTTCAAACAAAACAAAAATTGTCCAAATCGGTTAATAAATGACGGAGTTCTGAGGTAACAAACATAAAAAAAAAATAAAAAAAAAACATACAGTCGAATTGAGACCCTCCTCCTTTTTGAAGTCGGTTGACAATAAAGATGACCTGCCCTCTAGGAAAGCGTTAAAGTTCAAAGAAATTTATGTACACATTAGATAAAATACTTCCTACCTAAAATATACCTATAGCCAAAATCAATTATTTAACCATATAAAAATAAATACCCACACTTATAATTATTTACTCCAAACATAATAAACATATTAATTAGGTATAGTTTAATTGTATATTATTTTATATAATTGTAATATGTACAATATTTACGACCTAAAAAACATACAACTCGACAACTATTGGCGTAAACAAAAATGGCGTCATATCTCAATCTTAAACGAACTGTAGTGACATGACTCAATTTTTTTTCAAACCAATTTTTTTATTATGGATTACCTTTGTTTCATTTTATATTTATGTATTCTGATTTTATTGTTTTGACTCTAGTAGTTCCCCTGAGGGCCCTACCAAATTTTAGTAATATATGTAAGCCATATTATAGTACACAAAAGTGTTCTAATAAAATATTGACAAACGGACAGACAAACACGATGATACTTTAAGATTCCGTGATGTATATATTTTTACAATAATAGAATATCGATATCATGCCAATTATACAAAGATACTTATAAATATATAGCACAAATAACATAATAGTATTGGCACAGACAATTTAGTCTGCAATTATTACCTACTCCTATCTTATACAGATACTATCGGTCAAACAGCTTCTTGATAAAATGAGTACCCGAGCATATTCTCATCTATACATAATAATATAATTAAAACATTAATCTATGATACATTTCATTTTGATTCAACAAAACTAGGTACTTTTATAACAATATGCGCTAACTGCAGTAGATAATAACTAAGTATGATAAAATTCGGAACATACTTGGTGGGTTCCCGTTGTTACTATAGGTATTTATAAAGAACCAGTAAGCAGCTGATGGCGAAGCATATTTTAAAAGTCATGGTCATCGATCCCTTTAAAATAATAATTACAAAAACCGGTCAAATAACAACTCGTAGAATGTTTTAATTCTACGAGTAGATTATTGAAAACATTTTATAATAGAAATATCGAAACACTTAGGTATATCGTAGGAACTTACTTAATCCATATAAATATTATTTACAATAGAAGTAAGAATGAAAGTGTGTTCGTTTGTTTGTTAGTCCTTCTATCACGGCGAAAGAGTGACAGATTGACGTGCTTCTTTGTATGGAGATAGTTGGAAGGCTGGAGAGTGACATAGGCTAGACATAATTTTTACCGCGGGAGATTATCTCATTCCCACGGGAAAACACGTTATAATACAACCCAAAAATTATTTATGATCAGAATTATTTGAAACCTGGTATTAATACTCTTCAATACAATTAAATAAATACCTGTTTTAGCATTTTTCGAAATTCATCCCATATGAGGGTAAAATAGGGATGAAAGTTTGTTTGTTTGTAGGGTATGAAACTTACTTTTTTAGAGTTTTTCTGTGGTTTTAGTGAAAGCGAAGCCGCGGGTTCTGCTAGTACATTATATAATTTTTCACAAAAAAACAATCATTGGTTGTACACTGTAAAGACCTATTTAGTTTCTGTTCGTAGTAAACAGGAACAAACATTCATCAGCGCCGTTTTGATTTCAGAGTAATTATTTTACAACAGCCAAGAAATCTATGTTTTAAACATTTAAAATCTATCAATTATATTTAGTGTACCTACAAGTACTGTACAGTACGCTAAATAAAAAGAGTTTATGTACAAGTTGTATATAAATTTTTCAAAGGTTTTTTTCTTATTATGTTACGGTTAGCCTTGATATCATATCAAGGCGTTAGGCCAGTAGCTATGCCGTTTTTTCACATGCTTTAATATTGTCAGAGTCGGGGCGTAGCGAGATAAGATAAATGAGCGACCGAAATATTGTTATGTATAGTATTGTACCTAGTCATTGACCTTAACCTTTCGATACAGTATGCGAAATATTTAATACGCTTAATCGTTAAACCAAATGATTTTTCTCATAAAACTTAAAAGGAAGAAAAATGAGACAAATTATTATGTATGTAGGTGTAATAAATGGTGTATTAAAATTAAAAACTTTATAATATTTCTAATAATAAGAAAATAATTTTATTATAGATTATGTTAAAGCTTTATTTAATTGAATGTTAAGACTACCATTAGATCGGAATCATCTAAGGGAAGTCAAGAAAACTTACAGTTAAGCCTAGTTCGCATTAAGCTAGTATTTTAGTCTAGTAGCGAGTAATTTAGTAACTAAACGTGTCTGAACACTAAAAATTTAGTCGATTAGTTTAGTAAGTAATTTAGTCGAGTCAATCCATTTTATTCTATTTTTTTGGGCGAGTAGCAGCCCCCACCACGCGTCCGAGCTCACTGGTTCACCGGCTAAACAAGTACGAACCTGTCGAATTAGTCGAGTTCATTAGTTGCCACTCAATTTGAGAGTGTATTTTCATTAACAGAAAATTTACACAACTTTCGGACATTCTTAAACTATCGAAGTATTCTTTGGGATCTTCCAATGCTAATTCCTTCAGAAGACAGTTAGTAGCTCCTAGTTTATCTCGTCTTTCGATCCATAGCTTCTTTTTATTAATCACACAATCACCTCATCCACCTCTTCTAAAATACCCGTTACGATCAGCTTAATCAGTTTATTTACTTTATTGCGTTGTAGGCTGTTCATCTTGCAAAATACCACTCACTTGTAAACTGTACTCGACCAAAGTGCGAACGATTTTTGGTGAGTAGCGAGTAATTTAGCTACTAAATTACTCGCTACTAGACTAAAATACTAGCTTAATGCGAACAAGGCTTTAGCCTAGAAAACTCGCATTCTTCGAAATTTTAAGCTTGTGTTCTAAATATAATATTAATTGCGTTATATTATGTGATATATATAACCTTCAATGTTATATAAGACAGATCTACGAATATAATTATATCATACATCGTAATTACTTAAAATAAAACTAATGTTGGCATTAATAGAGAAAATAATTATTTCTATAAAGACTCTTCAAGTCTTTGCCTGTATCTGCTGCTATCGATAAAGATGAAATGATAATATTGGTGTTATTTGTTTGATGTTTCACGTTATCAGTTTCTGATAACGTGAAACATCAAACAATAAAATTGATCTTCTTATGACGTAGAAATGTCAAGATGCTATCTATCCTTATAAATATGCTTATTTTTTACTACCTTTATTAAGTGTCAAAAATGGCCAAAATTGTTCTTACGTAATTGAATGGGCCCTCAGCCACTTTTGAGGAGATCGAAGAATTTTCAAAACAAATTACAATGAAATTAAAGTAATTATTCCAAATTCATGTTTATTTTTAAGTTTTTACCTTACATAAGTTCCTATAAATAGACTTTCAGAATGTATGTTTTACTATTAATTCTTCTAAATTATTTCAAAATATCTGGTAATATTTTTCCATAAATCATAAGATCATTAGATACTGTAGAGTTAGGAGTTAGGACCATATAATGTATAATGAAAATCGTGGGGGCTCATTAGCGTCCGGCAGGTCAGCCGAGCGCGAAGCCAAGAAATGCATTGGGAGGCGGCCCACATAGGTGGGCGGTGTGCCATGCGGGTTGCTCCAGGTACTTCTTTGACAGCAGAGTGGAACGTTGGAGCAATCCCATGGCTGTTTGTCAACGACTACTCATCCCAAGAGCAGAGTAGTCGTTGGCTGTTGTGGTCTGCTTCAGCAGACGTGTCATCTGGGAGTCGTGATTGAGTGCATAAGTGAATCTGCGACGCCCCATTAACACGGGGGAGGTTTTGTTAGGTTTCAGTGGGTACTTGGGTAGTATCTACTGGCTTTTCTAACCGGTGAGTCCCACATAACCCCTGTTTGTGTACAGGTATGCGTAAATGCATTTCCCAACATAAAAAAACGGGTTCAAGTTCCGTCCGAGAGTTAAATAATACGTTGTCAGATATGAAGCCTAATTTTAGTGTATTGTAAGTTTATTATAAGTATAACTATTAATATTAATATTTTTCATTTATGATTTGTTCTTTCAAGTCAAACAAGAAAGTATCCTAACTACTACACAATCACTAACTACTACACAATCACTAATTATTATCAAAATGAGGATCCGTAAAATAAATTATGATCAATCAGGTTTCCAAGGCCCAAAAAATTGGGAACCCCTGATCTATGTAATAGAAAAAAAAACCTAAGTATTTCTACATAATTAAATAGCAAATAAATTTATTATGCATCTAGACCTAGTGGTGGCAGTGATAATTTGGATAAAGTAAATTACATGTGAAGGTCGTAAAAAATAATAGGTAAATAATTAATTTACCTTAAATTTAAAATAAATGATCATACGATTGTCGCTTTCACTCATGTTAGATCCCTAGAGTTTTGTCATTTGTGGGAAGACTACATACGCTATCCAAGGACCAAAGTTAACATAAAACGGTGGTCGAAGAGCCAGAAAGTAGACGACCGGTTCAACTTTGTTCTATTATTAACTGTTGCGTGCGTTTTCTCAATTTTCATGGCAAAACAAAAACATTTTTAACATTAAATAACCCAGGGCCATAATTCTTTCTAATAAACATTCACGTGCATATAACTTCTAAAATCTATTTGCATGTACATTTTTTTACAACAGTTTCAATATTTACGAGTTAAATATTTTTCATAATACGCTACATAAACTTACCCCGGTGTATAAAATTTCCGGGTTAGGATTCGGTGAGGCCGCTGCAGCTGTAGCAAATTTAGCTTTTTGTGATTGAACAATTTTTGATAAATTCCGCAACATTTTTAATTTTAAAACAATACTAAATTCCTTTTTAAAAATAATATTTTTTTAAATTTAAAATACAATTTCTCTGCGCGATCGCCACCGATTCACTGAACTTGAAACATAGAGTTTATTGCTACATATAAAAAACTTGAAATGAAATATAAATTGTGATTTGTAAATACAAATACTTGAGTACAGAGTAATGAGTAACTTATGAATGAAATTGAATGAATCACAGAAATGCTGCGCATGAATGAATATTTTAGTCACAAATTATTTATTATGACCACTTGAAATACAATATTAATCTCAATAATAAAGAACGAGGGAATGAGTTTTGAGTGGCTGAGCAATGACTAAAAAGAAAAATCTAAATGCAGGGCGCAAGCTTTTATTATTTATCCACACAAACTAGAAATCTATGCCGGTCGGAAAGAATGACAATGTCACAATAAAATAGTTTGAACTCTGAATATAATATATTTACTATTAGTAAGCTTTATGAAAAGTATATAAAAAATAAATTACAATAATTACAAAACAAATAATTAATTTAAAAAATTATCTAATGATTTGAACCGCATATAAGCAACGAGTAACGAACGTATCAAGTTGTCAAGAAGGTGTTGAATTGTCATTGGTTTGACAATTATCAAAATGTTTATCTCAAAACGTAAACATTGAACTTTGCACTTGTTTTATTAAACTTGATTTAATAATTAATGTTCTTAATTGAAAACAAACTTATAAAAATGTCAAATATTACTAAATGTTTTAAATTAGTTTATGATACTGTAATAATAAAATATAAGGAGCCCTTAGAGAATTTAGATAGACAAATTTCTATGCATTTACAGGAAGCCGATATAAGAACGAGGTAAGAAATATAATCTTAAAATATTATTTATAAATGTATAATAATATGATATGTACTATACATATATTTAATTTTATTTTTAGGCCATCACACAGCAATGGAATATGGTGTCCTTTTTTATTGCCAGCAATTTTAATGACATACACTTGTTTTGATAATGTATCACTTTTATACAAATTTATATCGTTATCTTCATTAGGATTACTGTGTTATTGTATGCTGTTCTTAATTTTCTTTTCCACATCAAGTGAAGTTTTAAAAACAACATCATTTTCAGGCTGTGTAGCATCTGGGACATTAACAAGTGCAATAATACATATTTTTTTGCAACAAGGTATGAAAAATATATTATAAAGGTAATTAATATAAACAAAATCTGATATTGTTCGCAAATGATGTGTTATTAAAATTTAATTATTTAATTTTTTGAAATTGAGTTATACTTTAATATGTAATAATATATATATATATATATATATATATATATATATATATATATATATATATATATATATATATATGAATATACTTTATTTTTAGGGTTGCAGATTTCTATAGTATTGCCCTTATCATCCACCATGCTATTTGCTTGGTTGCTTCAGTTAAATATAATAAAATGTCACAACACATTTACCATAGGAGAAGCAATGATAATGACACAATCTGTAGTTTTATTCTGTGCAATGTGTTTAGTTAAATTCTTTTATGAACTTCATAGTGCTGATGAAGAAACAGAGTTCATAGGTGTTATAGTATATGTGAGTTTAATATTAATTTGAAGTAATTTTTGTTCCATTCTTTATTGAATGTTTGTTTTTAACCTCTGATGTAAAAACGACAGGGTATTATAAGTTTGATATGTCTGTCTGTGGCATCGTAGCTCCTAAACGGATGAACCAATTTTGATTTTGTTTTTTTTTGTTTGAAAGGTGAATTAGTCGGGAGTGTTCTTAGCTATGTTTGATGAAAATCGGTCCAAGACGGCCAGGGGTTTTTAAAATTTTAATTAATAATAAGTATGCTGTTATATATTCTAAATAAAATACCATTTATCCATTTTTGGAATTGTAGATAAGATGTTAAAAGTAATTTCTTTAGAGTAAAATGTGCAAAGTAGTAGTTATTTAAAATAAAATATATGACTTGTTTTTTAATGTTTTCAGACAGTGTTATCAACAGTGGGATTAATTGTTACAGCATTATATATTCTGTCTGATTCTCAAAGGAACTTAAACGCTCTTGCATATATAATAGGCTCAGCAGTAATATTTGTATTACTTATGCTACATTCCATCCTTGGCTCTAATTGTTTAATAACTATATTTTCTTATATATTTCTGAAGAATAATCGGGTAAGAAAACTGTCTAAATATTATACATATGAAATATGTTAATATAGATGAAATAAAATATTTTCCTAAAACTTGTTATAATAACATAATATGGATTGTAAGAGAAAATATGATATGTGAAAATTTACATCTCGGCCTTATGTTTGAAATATTTTTATTAATATAGTCCTATATCCTGGCTAAATTCACTTCCAAATTTCACTTAAACCTGTTGAGCTGATGTAGTATATTAAACCAAAATAAAAGCATTGTCACATTTTTTAAAATATAAAGATATGTATTTATGTAATTCTATTGGAACAATAATATAATTAAATCATACAGCACAAGATATGTTGAATAGATTTGAATTTCTTAATACATTTAATCTCATAATGAATAAAATATATAATAATTAACAGAAACAATTTTTTTTTATTTCAGGCGAAAATTTTCGCATTCTGGCTGATTTTATTAGTTATAGCAATATGTGTGTTATGCATACGCACTAAGCTAGCAGTCAAAGCAAGTACAGTGACAAGGAAAACTTTTCATGTCCTAGCTTCCCTTGTGTTTATGTCTGGGATCATTTTTGATGTCAATTTAATGACATTAGCAGCTGGAATTGGTTTAGGAGTCCTGATTTTTGTTGAAGTAAGAGTAAATTACTTTATTATATTTTATACATTTAATAATGGCTTTTGTCATATAATAAATACGAATAAAGCATAATATAGCCCCATCTATTATAAAATATGTTTTATTTGCAATTTAAGAAACTCTGGTTTTATATTTATATACATGTTTACGTAACTCTTAAAACTTAATAGGTATTTGAGTAAATTCTAAAAGATTCAAATTGAGCTCTCCACTCTATGCACACATGTTAATTGTACTATGACAAAATACAAATACAAATGAACACAATATTATTATATTAATGTCCTTATTATGAAATAAATAATCAAATGTATTTGAAATGAACACTAAATAATAATTATTGTACCTATATCATGTTTTGTTACAGGCTTTAAGGAAATCGGGTATAGAACCAATTTCTTCACCTTTACAATCAACATTTTTAGTTTATTCAGATGAAAAGGTAAAGTTATTGTAAAAAGTCTTGTGTCCTAAGTAGTAACAATACAATTTTTTTACGACCAGGATTCCGTGTGTATACTCATATTAATTTATATCTCATGTTTATTATCATGATCTCATGATCAATCCGTTGCTCCACTAAAACGGAAAAGAAGGACAAACAAACATACTTTATACCTGTTATTATTTAAGTATGGATTATATAATATTTAAATATACATAAACTATATATTTGGGAAGATATCTGGAAATATATACATATTCCTATCTTCATTAGTTGCACTGCTATTCTACATAAGAAAGTGTATGTTAACACTAAAACGGCTGGACGGATTTGGATGAAATTAACTATACAGATAGATTATCAGATGGTGTAACAAATGGGCATATCCTGAGCGAAGCAGGAGTTTTTAGTACTTATTATAATATCGTTAGCATAACTTGTTTTTGTTCTCTGTTATTTCTGTTATAATATTACGTAATTATGACTCGGCTCTTCTCGCAGAACTGCCTTCAGAGCCGGTAGTAGATTCATCGTAAACTTACTGATATTTAATTTAAATTTGATTTATGTAAGTGATGATTCAAACTGCTTGTAAAAGTCTATTTGAATAAAGTATATTTTGATTTGATTTGACAAAGGTACTTTTTATCCCACTACATCAATGGTTTTGTTTCCAGGACTGCGGTCTATTTGCAATGACTCCGCTCTATCTCTACATAGGCTTGGCCTTCCCTTTACTCGTAGTACCAAACAGAGCGGATAGAGATTTAGAATTACTAAGTGGAGTGTTGTCTATCGGTGTAGGAGATACCGCTGCTAGCTGGTTTGGCTCCAAGTATGGCTTCAATAAATGGTCAGGTGAGCTGTTTCGATAATTAAATCAATCAAAGCCAGTGGCGCCATCTGTAAAGTTATCAGTTCATTGTTTTCTAATTATTGTAAGAATAGCCAATTTATTATATAAGTGATCATCCAGTGTTTGTTTCCATATTTTTAGGGTTCTGTATCTCATAAGGAAAAAAGGAACCCTTATAGGATCACTTTGTTGCCCGTCTGTCTGTCAAGATCCTTTTTCTCAGGTACGCGTGGATATATCAACTATCAAGTTGAAATTAATATCAGATAGTCAGGTCTGCAAATCCTTGGAAGTTGGAACAGTGAAAAAATCTAAGTCAACGCAATCAAAAGATACAGCCGTTTATGCTACATATTTTGACACCCAAGGAATCAAAACCTATAGAGATAGAGATACAGATAAACCTATACAGATTCTAGCCATTGGCGTAGAATCATGAAATTTGGAATTTGGCGAGAAGCAGTAGTAATTTGTCATATAGCACAAGTAAAGGGAAAAGTCAGAAAACGGCTGATTTGTAGTTAGGTATACATCACACAAAAGTTTCATGTTCATTTTTAATTTTTGTTGTGTGCGAGTCAGACACGCACTTGACTGCGTAATACTATATTTTTTTGTCAACTTGTTCTTATCTATTTAGTTTTATTTTTTTATTTTATTCAATTGCAGGTAGTAACAGGACATTGGAGGGCACTGCGTTCAATATTCTTTCACAAGTCGGGACAGTGTATGCTTTGCAGTTGTTTGGTAAGAATTTAGTTGGTTCTTGTTCTCTCAATTCAACATTTTGTTCTTAGCACTATAAAAATTGTGCAGTTAAGATGTCTGTCCCTCTACTCTAATATCTGTTTAGTTTTATGTTAAATACATAAATAACGATTTTAATAATTCAAATATATTTTATATGTATTGAAAATATAATAATTTCAGGTTTATTAAATGCAAAATATGCTCTATTAAGGACAATATTTGCAGCGACTGTATCGGGATTGGTTGAAGCCAAGACGGATCAAGTGGACAACTTAGTATTACCATTAGTAACTATGCTTGCGTTTCAATTTACAAGGATATTTTATTGAGAAACTTGCTTATATATATGTAATATATAACATCATGTTGTCTCCCTTGCGGGGAAGTAATGTGTTCATTCTTTATACTTTCATAAATTTACGCAAATATTCGACTTTTTAAATAAAACTATCTTTTCAGATTTTATACATTGTACTTATAATAAATTTTGTTGGTAGGCGTGCAGTCTGTAACAGCTATATAACGACCTTAGAGACGTCTAAAATCTTAATATCTCCCGTGTCCACGATTGTTGAATAGCATTCGAAATGTCGGGAATCAAAAATCCAAATAAATCCACGAAAAAATCCGAAAAGATAGTTTTATTTAAAATGTTTCATTCCTTTCATACCAAGTCACTCATAGTCGTATTTTTTACGCGGTTATTATAGATATGCCATGATTATGCCATAACGTTATGCATTTCAATACCAAATATGGTAGGTAGGTATGTCTTGTTAATGCATTGTGAGAATTGTATTGCACCTAAATGTACATTATCTTGAAAATGCTATGTTTATTTGAAACAGAAATTTGAATACCCCTTTTGTGGTATTAAAATTATTGGTTTATTGTTGGCCCTGTTTCATGGCTTTTTGTTAGCTTACTCATCTTAGTATGAACATTTTTTCAACCCTCCAAGTATGATGAGGACTAATCGGTGAATTTAAATATTCAGTTTAAAATGAATGTTTATTAATGTTCCTTAAAGTTTTATAAAAATGTGTTCTTTAAAAACACTTTAAAATTTATTTATTACTTTTAAAGAGGAATATGCGTGATTTTTTTTTCATACAATAGCTAACATCGTTATATTGACAACCCAATTTTTAGAGACAAAATCGCTAATCGCTCTGATATGATAATAGAGTTCATATTCGGTCTGACCAATGGCGTGCGTTTCAACTATGTACTTGAATTTCTCACCTATATTTGCACTTTTTAATAATTATTTTCTTAATAAAAAAAAATACATTAAAAAATATTGGTATATGTTTAATTCAAAACAAGAAATATTATAAAAAAATAATATTTCGTCTTTATTTAAATCATACGCATATTCCCTATTGTATAAATGAATTGATGGATTAAGTGCCTTATTATGCTATTAATGTTCATATTATATATAGATTACTGATTGGGCGTGTATGTTAAATTATAAAAATGAAATGTAAATAGGCTATTTTTATATTTTTTTTAAAAGTCAATGTAAAATATAATATATATGGGAAAAATATCAGAATCGGTAGTGTTTGAAGTAGATATGATAAAGAAATCATAATATATGTACGTAATTCAACCATTAAGTTTCTTGTAAGTACAAAGATTTTTGGTACAAGAGTAAAAAGTAAACTTAAAGCTTTTACATAACTATGTCTATCAAAGACTCGTGATTCGTGTTTGAATAAACTTATTTTCTCTTTTTAATAAAATAATTTTAAAAAAGCACACCATGACATGGGTGTTATAACTGTTTATATTCATACATTAATAATATTTCATGCATGCAAATATTTATCTACTATACTCTATTCACGGAGTGAACCATGCCAAGCGCCTTCTCAGTCCCACATTAGCATACAAACTGATAAGGATAGAAAACTGTCTAGCTCCGCCCACATAGGGCTCGTTCATGTTGCTAATGCTTTAGTGAGGAATTATTAAATAATTTGTAATAAAATAAAATCAACATTAAAGTAAAATTTACTATATTTTTAAATATTATGTATATTATTTATTAATTTTCACTTTTTGACATATTACTGTCATCTCCTACATTGATAATAAAGCAGGTAACTACACGAGAAACGTCTGAACGGTACGGAATGCAACGACGGACTAATAATTAAGCCTTGCATTGTAATCGCGGCTTAAGCGTCGTATCTGCAACTAATCACGTGAAAGCGTAAAATCTCAGTGCTTGGTTCATTCGGCGAATACAGTATATACTGGATATATATCCATACTAGTCATTTTTATTTAAAGAGGATACTTAGATGTATAACTTAAAAACATTCCAAAATTCCAAGATTATACCAAAAAATTAAAATACTAAGTTATATGTAACATTTAATAAAGATTTAATTTTTTATTTTGTTGACTTTAATTTTATTACTAAACATTACATTTCTCTTATGATCTTATTACAATTAAAATTACTATAGTCCTTCGCGTTAAGATAATAGTGAGTCATCAAGTGCAACGGCGAGTAAAAGTGTATACAAAGTGGGAGTAAAAATTCAATTCAGATTCAATATTTCAAAAGATTAAGTTAAATGGATAAAAATCAACTTAATTATCTCAAAGCTTGATCTGAGATGACAATCACTTTTTTGATTTGAGATAATTATGTTTATTAATAATATATTTATTTCTGCCTTCAACTGGTCATTGTGAAATATGTCTAATGACTTTATAATTTGAGCAACCTAATTAAAATTAACGATGGGCGAGACTCACTATTTTCTTAACGCGAATGAACTATACACTCAAAAATTACAAATAAGAATGGTTAGTCATCATATTGTTATTTTTGGTCAGTCAAAGGATTAATATGTAGTAGGTACGTCTTAAATTGTAAAAAAAAATCAAGTTTCTATGAAAACGTGTTACAAATAAAACTTCATTGGTTATTTATATTTCAAATCTGTAAAATTAATAAATAAAAACTTATATATTATACTCAGACAAAAATATCATTCAAACGAATATCACACAAAGAGGAGAGAATAATATTTTATCTCTATTTAACTGGATTCTTACATCTTCGCTTACACTAAGAACGAACCCGAGCGAAATGAGGGTGAGCCGCTAGTTATAAATATGCAGGTATATTTGAAAACAAATTAGTAAAACTAGTAATCTTTAGAGATAGCAAAGGTAAGAATATCATACACATATTGATAAAGACAAGGTTGCGTCTGGCGTTAGTGTGTGAACAATATTATGCATCGCGTAGTTTTAGGAGCGGGGGGTGCGGGACGGCGCTATAAATGCTGCATATCGTCGACGACTAAAAAGAACGACTTAACTCACGTTACGAATCGCTTAATCTATTGTCGGGTTACCACTCTGTGTGTAGTATCTAATAAACCAATTTAGTACAATCCACTCTTTAATTTATTCTTCTATATATAGAGTTGCCAGTTTTTCCTATCATGAAGTGCCCAGGGCACTGTCCCCATCACCTATATCAATTTTCTGACAGTAGCAACGGTTACTATGGCAACCATGACGGTTTTTCGTGCCGCCTTAAAATTTTACTATCATGCACGCAATTTTGCACTTCAACGTCATAGTAACTATTGTTATCATTTAAAAATAACACAGAAATAAAAAAAATGAAATAAATTCATCCTCTCTCACTGCTAAATTGAGTTACATTGTATTATTTGTATTTAAATCTCGTAAATGTTTATGGTTGTAAAATTATGGTTGCTAATTGTCGCCAGACGCCAATGGATGATAAACCTACGCCTACGAACGAGCGCCAACGCCGAGCGAAGTTCGGTCTCCAAGTACGTGCTAAAAATAAAAATTGAAATAAAAAACCTTATTAAAATCACTCTTTTATTGTAAACTTTCATTTGATTTGATTCTTCCGTTGAATTTCCTCTTTTATTTCTAGTTTGATAATTTTCGATTTATCATCACTATTAAGATTTTCATCTGCCATTTTATTATCGACAGAATTTCTTTTACTTTTTGTTAATATACGCTTTTTCTTCACTCCCTTACACTTGGCTTTAAAAATTTTTTCCAATGCCAATACATCTTTTCTACTTATCGTCCAGTCTATTAAAGTATTCTCAGCTAATTTAGTCAAATTATCTGTATCATTGTACTCTGGTATTTCTATTCCTAACATGCCCATAACCTTTTCCAATATCTCATCAACATAATAATTTAATACTAAGTCTGCTTTGTTATCCTGAAAATAAAAATAGTCACTAAGATTTACAAAGGAAACTTAAATACTTTGAAATAGTACTGAAACACTTTGACCAACTATTGTATTGTATTGTATTCAGCCCTTTTTAACGTCCCACTGCTGGGCACGGGCCTCCTCAGTACGAGGGGGATCAGGCCATAGTCCACCACGCTGGCCAAGTGCGGGTTGGTGGACTTCACATGTCTTTCGAAAACTTGCTAGGTTTTCTCAGACATGCAGGTTTCCTCACGATGTTTTCCTTCACCGTAAGGCAAGTGGTAATCATGTTATAAATAATTCGCACATGAAATTATCAGAGGTGCGAGAACCGGGATTTGAACCCGTTTCACTCGGTTTCCCAAGCGAGCGCGTTACCACTGGGCTACCACTGCCTGACCAACTATACTGTAATTTAATCAAATTAAATATATGGAAAGCCTTAATAGCAGCTCCACTATCCATCTTCTGGTACTATCAGCTAGATGATCAAATAAACCGGACTTTAGATACCAATTAACGTTTAAGTCAATACAACAGATATAGATTTAAATATACTTGTTGAATAGATTTACATATTAATTACAAATGAAGATAATAAAATTAAAAACTATAATTTAATGTTGCAGCTAAAGGTATCTATCTCTAAGAAAATCGCCGATCATTAGAAGTCCATCTGCAATTTAAAAATGAACACACAATATTTTTACAGAATACAATTTTGTATCTCTTACACAGAAATATATATAAATAAAAGTGAACGTTTATATATTTGTCTATGCGTTCCTAAGCCATTTATCCGATTATGATGAAACTTTGTTGGGTTATCCTATATAGGCCTGTCAAAGATCCTGGTGCAAAAAAAAAGATTTTTTTCTTCGGACGGTAGTGTTTTATGCTATGTGTCATTTAAACAGTGCGAAACGAGGCCAATTCGCTAGCATCGATCAAAAGAGTACTAGATACACAATCAGCGACAAAAAATGTCCTCACCGAATGAGCGCACATTTGAACGCGCTTTTATTTTATTTTTTTTGAAAACAACTTTAAGCTTTGCATTTAAGGTTCAATTTACATTGTTGTATATTTATTTCAACTAGAATAATTACCTAAACATAATTGGTGACAGTTTTAAGAGAACTTTTGCATGGGATTGTGTATCTAGTATGTACTTTTTGACCGATGGTCTCTAGTTATAAATAAATATTGTAAATCACTTACATGTTTCGTAGGCTGCAAATTGCATATGACCAGCTTTCCACCATACTTAACTGTTTCTAAGGGCAAGTTACCGCTTGGTATTATTTGAAGTGTCGTGCCCAAACATATACTTAAGTCAGCAATACTGAAAATAAATAGTACTTAGATATTATTGATACTGTCCGATTTCCTTTACGGCGGCTAACTTCACTGGGATTAGCCAAGTGCGCGTTTCAGACTAACGTGCATCTCTATTCTCTCATTATCTGGTGGGATGATAACTGGACACGATTGGTGAAAGGTAATAAGATTATTTCAAGACAGAAAAATAAAGCAATTGTTTTGGCCTGACCCGGGACTCAAAGCCAGGACCTACTGAAACCTTATAACATATATCTTAAGTACATGCTAGATATCATTTTTGGAAAGATACCGCGTGACGTTAATAATTTTGAAAATGGTAGGTAACTCTTTCACCATTTTCTAAATTATTAATGGATTCAGACAAAAAAAAATCTAAAATTAAGGTACCTCGAATGCCACTCAGCCATAAGCAGATCATTTTCTGGCAAACTGTGTTCCCAGTCGAGCACTCCGTCATATAAACGCCCCCTGCAGGGTCTGCCGCCGGTCAGCGCTGACGCACACGGTACGCCACTGCATTTTTTACCTACAGTTTCCACTGGCTGGCTTCGAACATATTGCCTGTATACATAATAACACAGAAATAATATAGTATTACTAACCACTCACCCTCGCTCCGCTCGAGTTCGCCCATAGTTACTTAAAAAATGGGGGGAGGGTGTAGGAGGGTGAAAAATACTTTTACGACCTATTCTCATACCTACCAAATATACAAAAAAATCATTAAGATTGATCGAGCCGTTTGGGAGGAGTGCGACCACCAAACACCGTAATTTATATATTAGATTATCGCCAATGTGTGAGAGTGTATTTGTGACTTCATAATGCTTGTAAAGACTCGACAAATTTAAGCAACATTTGAAATGGAATTAACTTATTTGGTATTTCCTGAATTAATACATCACGATAAACTTAGAACTAAGACTCATTTGCTTATCTGGTTATCTGGGCCAACATAATTAGGATGTTTTTTAATGTGGGAAAATATCTCATCTCTGACAAATCAACACTAAATGTTAAAACATAACTAGGACAGCATATAGGTAAGGTAGTTTTAAATAAACATTAAAAACTTATCAAGTGCAAGTCAAACCAGCACTACTTTTAACCATTGTTCAAAATAAATCTTATGTAAATTTATATAATATCACATTTTCAATTTAAATCAATATTATAAAGAGATAAAAATAAAGTTACCTCTTACACAGATTACATTCATCAATAAACATATTTCCATGTAATTCAGCTAAATACTTTCTCGGTAAACCTGACTTTAAATGCAACCCATCAATATTTTGGCTTACAATATATTGCACTTTGTTGCATTCTACAAGCTTTTTGAGTATCATGTGAGTCTTTGTTGGTTTGGCATCTACAAAGGATACATTGATATTGGGCTTTTTGCCTTTCTTCTCCAAAGTCCATACTCCATTTGGGCCCCTAGAATTTGAAAACCAAAAAATATTATTCATTATATTCCTTTCCTTATATTCACTGTCTTTATTTAATAATAGAGAGAAGAACATGAATAATTAATATTACCTAAAATCAGGTATCCCAGCTGAAGTACTTATACCAGCTCCTGTATGCACAACTATATACTTACTATCACTTATAAGCTTAGCTAAAATACTACACTTTTCGTCTAGTTTATGTATAGACTCAAATTTCTGAAAGGATATGAAACGAACGTTAGTTTTAGTCAACAATGGAAAGAAAAAAATATATATTCCAAGAACAATTTTATCCTACTACCTAATATATAATATCACACTATACTTATATTATAAAGCTAAAGAATTTGTTTGCTTAGAATTATGTTAATCTCTGGTATTACCGGTCAATATAACCAGCATATGGTAGTTAAGTAATATATTTAGAAACTTACTTCGGGAACTCCAAGAACACCTTTATGTTCGTATGGTGACAATCCTTCAGCATAGTTACACGACATATTTCTTAAAGAAGTTTCTTTTTTAAATTTAAATTAGTATAACTATTGCATATCATAATACTTATTAATTAATTATTACATGTATGCTTTATCAAATTTAAATATAAACAAGTAACTTAAAAATTATTATATTTTCGTCGATATAGTTTATTTTGAGTAAAATATTAATATTTATAAAAACTTTAGTCTTAATTTGAGGTAATGCTTATTATAGAATTATAATTATATTCTTTGATTTTAATAATTTAACACATTGTGAAACTAACTGAATTGTATTTGAAAATTGAATTAAAATAAGTGTAAACACAACTGACAACTCATTAGTCATTACACAGGTGTATGACATTGACAATTGACTTTTGACTTCTTTCAAATTTCAAAATATTGACGTACATTTTTCAATATTTTTTTTTTTAATTTATCGTTAACTTATTTATTAGGTCCAAGTACATGTGAAATTGACGTTTTGTCGAATTGGCCACTTTGATCTCAAATATCTGGAGTTTTGTTAGGAATTCAAATTCATTTCAAATGTAATAGGCTTGTGTATTTGTGTTTTAGAATAAGTAAATCATTCGTTAAACACCCTCAATTAATCTATAGGACATTTAAGGATTTATTCTAAAAATTGTACACTTCAGAAACACGATTACTTGTAGTTTCTGCGATAAAAAAATTCAAAATGTTCTCTAAAAAACAAAAAAGTGAAAAACCCTTAGTGCAGCGAAAATAATTCAAGGAAGTTCATCAGGTTTTTAATAATAACAAAACTATACGTTTTCTATAACGTATACACTTTACATTTTCAAAATGTGTATTTGTTTGTCCATCCTAGCGTGTGGCTATTCGATTAACATTACGAAGTCGTATATATATTATCTATGGCTATATTTTGCTGTTGTGTCATTCGCTGTCAATCCGTGAACTGTGAACTGTCGTTGACGGATGCTATCAGCTATTTGCTATTAACAGCATTTATAATTCCTCTACTTTAGAGGAATATTGTTTTATTGACGTGATATAATTAAGCAAAATTTCTTCCTTAGAAACTATGAGTCGTAGACGAGCTCATGAAGAAGAAGATGGATATGGTAGCATAATTGAAAGTTATGTTTTATAGGTTAAATTATTTACAGATATATTGATTATTATATACAATTTCAGAGCGCCTTCACAGAAAAAGACGTCGTGTATCGGAAAATCAAGAAATTGAGGATAGACTAGAATCACTTATTTTAAGAGTTGGAGAGAAAAGTACCTCAAGCTTGGAGAGTAATTTAGAGGGCTTAGCAAGTGTACTGGAAGCAGATTTGAGTACATTTCGAGTTAAAATTTTACGTATTCTTACAGACTGCGCTATACGCATGCCAGAGAAATGTACAATATATGCTACACTAGTTGGATTGTTAAACGCTAAAAATTACAATTTTGGTGGAGAATTTGTTGATTACATTGTTAAAACATTTAAGGAAAATTTAAAAACTGGAAAATGGAATGCTGCTCGTTATTGTTTGAGATTTATATCTGATTTAGTGAATTGCCATGTTCTAGCAGCATCATCTTTACTAACCTTATTAGAAACATTAGTAGATTGTGCTAATGAGGATGCTGTTCCTCAGGTAAGAAGGGATTGGTTTGTATTTGCTGTTTTATCAACTTTGCCATGGGTGGGAAGAGAACTGTATGAAAAGAAAGAATCACAATTAGATCACTTACTTGTAACAATTGAAGTATTTTTGAACAAGCGCAGTAAGAAGCATTGGCCAGCATTGAAAGTATGGTCAGCAGACTCCCCACATTTACAAGAGGAATATCTTGATTGTCTTTGGGCACAGATTAAAAAACTAAGGCAAGACAATTGGTCAGAAAAACATATACCAAGGCCTTACCTTGCTTTTGACTCTATATTGTGTGAAGCTTTACAACATACATTGCCAGCTATACAGGTATTTATTGTACTCTCTATAAATTGCATGCCTACATGATTTTTCTTGTGCGTTTAGAAACTTTACTCATTATACTATAAATAAGTCGAATCACATTCAGAAACAGAAATACAAATACACAACTTGTTTTCAGCCTCCACCTCACAATGATGGTGATACCTATCCAATGCCAAGAGTTATATTCCGAATGTTTGATTACACTGACTGCCCTGATGGCCCTGTTTTACCTGGAGCCCACTCTATAGAAAGATTCCTCATTGAAGAACATCTACATACCATAATAGAAGCTTATCACTTGGAAAGAAAGGAATGTGCTGCCCAGTTGTTAAGCTTTCCATATAAAGGAAAAATTCCATTAGAGTATTGTGTTGTAGAAGTTATTTTTGCTGAGTTATTCAATTTACCAACTCCAAGGTATCTAGAAATATGCTATGGATCTATTCTTATTGAACTGTGTAAGCTCAATCCATCAACTATGCCTCAAGTATTGGCTCAAGCAACTGAGATTCTGTTTATGAGAATTGATACTATGAATATTGCTTGTTTTGACAGGTTAGTATTTTTTTTTATTTTAACTATAGTAATATAATTATTTATTCATCATAATTAGTTATTCAATTTTCGTTCATAATTAGTTATTCAATTTTCAATGTATTTAATACTTGTTGCTGGAGGAGATATTATAGATAGTTTGTGTTTGTAAATATAAATGTACTCACACCTATAATAATGTCTTCTTAACCGATTTTGGCCAATCTCATTGAGACTAGCCATCTGAGGTATTATAGTGCACAAGTGTGCAGACACAAGTATGCTTTACCCAGGGCTTTACCCGCTCTCTGAGACTTAAACCCGGGACCTCCGGATGTGCATGCTAGCCACTACACTACTGAGGCAGTTGCACTCACACTTAATAATTGTTGGAATAGCTAAAATGCTACAAAAGAGAGGAAAGGCATAGAGTTAATGTCTTTAAAGCTTTCAGGGTCTTGAAAGTTAAACAGAAAAAAAAATAACATTAAACAATGAAGTACTTAATGTAAATAATATATTTGTTACAGATTGGTGAACTGGTTCTCATATCATTTAAGTAATTTCCAGTACAGATGGTCTTGGGAGGATTGGGAAGCATGTGCCCAGTTAGATGTAGAACATCCTAAGCCTAGGTTTATAAGAGAAGTGCTTGGGAAGTGTTTGAGGTAATGATTATTTTTGTATAAATAGAAACGACTATTTAGTCATAGTGGCAATATGTATTTGACTGGCACTGCCTCTTATACCTGAGGCCACAGGATTGATTGATATGTGGAATGTGTATAGATTGAAGGCAAAGTGTATATCTAAGTATTGTTATCTTAACCTTGCTTCACTAAATCTTTTTCTATAATAAAAGTAGCCTAAGTAACTTCTTATAAGTTCATATCTCTATATCTATCACACCTATCTGCCAGTTAAAGTCCGTTAAAATTGGTCCCACCATTTCGGAAATTAGCTGGAACAAACAAACAGACAGACACAAATTTTAAATTTTTTTTTCTTTCTTGTAAGTACTGTATATACTTTAAAAAAGGTGTTGTTTTGACATTGCGAGCAGACACTTCAATATCATAACATCCATTTTGTATTTTGTTTTGTTTATTTTCTTTGTCAAATTTTTTTTTATTAGTAACTTAATTTTAAAGATAAAAATTGTTATTAATACTTGAATTGCTATGTAATGCAGGTTATCATATCATCAAAGGATTAAGGATATGACACCAGAATCATTATCTGCATTTGTGCCTCTGAAGCCCGAGCCTATTTACAAATACTCTATGGAAGGTGCAGGTAAGAACTTTTCCTTTCCATTTTTCAGAAATATTAACAATTCAGTGTATTCTAACAATATGTTTCAGATTTATTGAACAATATTCATTGTCTGTTACAAAACTGATCTAAATGTAATTAATATGTATGCAAAACTGTTATTTTAGATATCTTACATATTATAATAATTAAAAAAAAAACATATATAATATTTAAAATTTATTAACATGTGTACAAAAATGTTATTATCCTACACTTATCTTACAAATAAATATTTACATAGCAAGAGCAGCTGCTATTGTGGCAAGACAGAGTAGAAATTCTTAAATGCCTCTATATTTGTCTATTTCATACTTATTTTGACTTATTTTAAAGCTGCAATTAAATGTTCTAAGAGTTCAGTCTATGACATGGCCATTAATTCTAAAAAGCTGTAAGGGCGGTCTTTAGGATCGGTGTTGTAATGTAAGTCTCTTGAAGTTTTTCTTTTGTCTTCATCGGAATTAAATTCTATATCGTCATCTATTGAAGGTATTTTGCTATCTTCATAGTCTTCTTCCTCACTGCTACTATCGTCATCACTGACATGATCGTTTTCACTATCATTCTCGTGGTCATCATCATCATCGTCATCATTTTCATCATCGTCAGAGTACTCATCATCTGCTGATTCCTTATGTTCGTTTGTTCCTTGGATCACGCCTAGGAAGTCTTCAATATCATCGTCAATTTTTAAATAACTTTCGTGATTTGAACTTTCCTCTTGTTGCATTTCGGTTTTAGAATGTTTTTCGGTGTCACTAAAGCTGTAGTTAAAAAGATCCTGTAATATATCGCTTTCGGTTGTTGTCGTATCTTTCAAACTTGCAGTGGTAGCATAAGTAGCTGTAAGTGCCGTAGACGTAGATATCTCCAAATCTATATCAGTAGAATCTTCCGTGGTTGTCGTAGTTTGTTTTTTCTTTTTGCACTTACTCTTAGTTTTTGGTGTTGTGTGCTCTTCCGGCTTGTCACTTGCTGTTGTAGAGGGTTGAAAAATGTATTCTGAATGATCTTTGGATTCTTCTTCATCATTTTCCTGATTTTGTTGCGATTTCTCTAATGGTAACACATCATTATTTTTGTATTGATCTACAGTATCCTCATAAATATTGGTCTCTGTGGCGGTTTCGACATTTTTAGTATTTGTTTCTAAATTTAAAGTACTTAGCTTATGGTCCGCGTGACTTTCTTTTACTCTTTCTTTTTCTTCATCAATAAATTTAGGAGTTGTAGAAGAAATATAGCCTTGAAAGTTAGAACCCTTTCTTCTGTGTAAAAATGACGAAGAAGGAGACGACGTGGTTTGATTTTTCTGCACTGCACTTGTACTCCACCTGTCATGTTTGACTGAAGTTCCTTTTAACATTAGCGTCGATTGACGGAAACGGTTTTTATTTTTTGCTTGTGTCGTTGAAACAGTTGGTTTGGCGGTGGTTGTTGTACTAGGGGGTTGTTTTGTAGTAGTTTTTGTTGTGGGTGGCTTAGTAGTAGTAGTAGTTGTTGTTGTTGTAGTGGTAGTTATTGAAGATGTTGAAGTCGAGGCCGGCTTTGAAGTATCCGTTGGTGTAGAACTCGCTTGAGGCGTTAAATCATGTAGTGTGGATGGTCTTCTTCTTACGGTACTTTCTGGAGCGTTAGTCGACGTCGTGGACGTGGATGTTGTCGTAATTCTTTTATGTTTCTTTATTTTATCTTGCTTGACGATCTTTGGTGGAGGTCGTGTACGTCTTCTAGGCTTGACAGTCGTCAATATCGTAGTTTCATTTGCCGCTTCGGTTGTTGTCGTTGATAATATTTTCTCTGGAGTTGTTTGTGTTACTGTGGTGGATGTTGTCATAGGAGATGTTGTTTCTAGCGTAGATATTTTTTGTGTTTGAGATTCCATTGGTGTCGTTTTTGTAAAAGACCCTAAAATATTTGCCCAAGCCAAGTTTTCAATGTCTTCCTCAGATGTAGATTGAGCAGTTATTATATCTGGCACGGCTGTCGTTATTCTTTGAGACTTGAGAGTATCGTGTTTTTTCGGAGGCTTTTTGCTTATTACAGATGGTTTTCGAGCCTTGTTTTCGGCTTTTTTACTGGAATAAGTATATTCACTCTTCTCAGAAGAAGCGTTATCGGAAAAATTGATTGTCATTGGTCTAAAATCGGTCTCTGAGAAAAAATCTTGATCATTAGATTGATCCGTAATTTGAGGACTTGGTCTAAAATCAATTGGTTTATTTGTTTTATGTTTTGAATGAACAAGTTTCATAGGTGGCATTGGTTTAAAAGGTTTTTTATCCATTGTAACAAATACGCCAGGTGGTGCATTGTAAACTGGTGGCCTTACATGGTCTGAGAAGTAATTTACTTTTACTGGAGTATTTTTATACTTATTATAAGTTTTGTGGAATTTGAGAACATCAGGTCTAAATGTGTTATTTGCGTTTTCCATAGACATAGGATTCATACTTTCGACAGATTGATCATTAGGCAATATTGGTGGCAATGGTGTAGGCAGAACTGCTGGACGCGTTGTCTTTACTGTTTGGCTGGATTCAAGTCTATGGTCATACGAATATTGACTGTATGGTACACTGTTTGACGTAGTTATAGAACCAATATCTTGAAATTGATATTGATTCGGATTTATTGGCGGTGCTTGAAGTGGTGGACGAGTATGTTTAGCAGGTGGTGGCCTATATGGATAGGGAATTTGTTGGTGATGATCAACAGGTATTCCCACATGCCCAATTTTTGAATATTGTGATCCAGACGGAGGAGGATATGGACTTTGTTTATACTTTATCGGTGGAGATTCGTATGATTGGTCATCATCATCTGAAAATAACGACGAAAATATTCTATCTAAGCCTGAAGCATACTGTTTTCTACCCACAAATTTAGATGGTGCTATATTCTTGTGAACCCAAAGTGCTCGTTCTGGCCTTGGAACATGGACTTGAACTGGTGGAAATCTACGGTACTCTTGAGGTTTGTCAAAAATTGCTTCTGGAGAGCTTTCCTTAACAGTGAATGTCCTAATGGGATTTTCATAAGGTTTCCTTTGTTTTTTAGGTGTTTGTGATATTACAGAGAATGTTAACTCATAATGATATTTTCCTGGAGATATTTCTTGATCTCTTTGTCGTACACGTTTCACGGACCAAAATGCTTTAACACCATGCATGCAATCGTCGTGACTGCATTTTTCTTTGGTCCTTTCATCTTCAGCAAAGAGGAACCCTCCGTTGCGCTCTAGGAGGCGGCCTTTTGCCATAATTGTGACGTCTCCGAATGAAGCCGGTTCTTCTTCTTTTATTCTATCAAAAGGTGCAGATTTAATTTTATCCCACAAATCGTGATCATCGATCTCTTTCGAATCGTAACCGTCCGGTTTACTATTTGGAGATATGACGTCACCCTTGGCAATTAATTGGTCGATTTTGTCTCTTACTAGTGTTAGATATACGCTATGTCTCAAAGCATCTTCCCAGTAGTGGGCGGGCACTGCGGCTACCGAGGGGGGCGCAGCCGTTCTGAAGGTTTCGTGTAAGGTTCCCGCACGGTTGTCCCTTCTGTCGTGATGCCATTCGTTAAGCGGAATCGGCGTCGGTCTGAAGTCATCAGCTTGTGGGCGGACCTCCTTTCTTTGTATCTGGAAAAGTAATAATAGCAAATAAATATTTACACAAACCGAATTAATAAAGTATTAATGCGCGATTATAATTGCTGAAAAAATATTTAAATATGCGTTCGAAAGTAAAATGGCCGTTGGCGGGAAAGTGCGCGCTCATGTGGCGTGCCGCGAACGTTGCGTGCTTGACGATCCAACCCTCGCGACGCGATTTCCCAATAGACTTATATAGTTTTAATTTTTCCGACTAAAGCAATTATCGTTTATCAAATGAAATGTATCCTCATTTTCAGTTAGATTAATTCCTAAATAAATCATTTTCGTATTTTAAAATAAATTTAATGAAAAATGAGGTAGATAATTTAGTATTAATATTTACTTGTAAATGAAGTCATATGAATCGTGAATAATAATTACAATTATATAAATTGTGTTTATTAATTAATGTCTTTAAAGCATACGATAAATAGAGAAAAATAGTATTAATGATTAATGAAAGCACAAGTGTGAGCAAGCAGCACCTTACGGCGCTACATATTGTTATCAGCTTAGATACAATCTGCACCTAGATGTGTAATAGCCGTGGAGCTTGTAATATTGCTTGCAATTTACATTCGATTTTCATTTCAAGGGCAATACCATTTTAATTATTTTTTTTTGAATTGTTGTATTTACCATTATAGACGAGTTCCCATTCTGATTAAGATAAAAAGCGGCAATGAAAACTTCCTTTAAATAAAATTCAATAGTAATGTAAAAACATAAATAATAAAGCTCTATATTAAACTAATACTTAGATAATAAACTCTATTGTATCTGTTCAATCGTTTTTTTATCAAAAATGAATTTACTGGAAAAATAAATTGTATATCCAATTACCTACTTAAAAGGGATTATGATATGTTTATCCCCCGTTTTCTTCCGTCACTTCAATGATTCAAATAGATTTTTTACAAAACCACCTCTTTAAAGACGTAATATTTTATGCTTAAAATTTTGTTTTTTTTTTTTTAAATTTATGAATACAAATTTGAATCGTGGGTGCGAAGATAGAACGATAACTTAGTCTAATGGCCCACATAGCTGGGAAAATCTCGTCCAGATACAATACATCGAGGTCGGTGCTCCGTGATATTGATCTTCACGTGTGATCAGTTTAATTGTAAAGGCGTGCTCTATGACGATATTTGTATTAATGCATTACTTATTACATTATTTTAAATAAAGTATTAATAACTAGCGATGACACCCTCTTTGCTCTGGTGCGTTTCTAGATCGCTTACGTATTTATAATAAACTAACGATTCACCCTCGGTTCGCTCGAGTTCGTCCCTAGCTTGATTCCCCATACAAACTTTCATCCCCATTTTCACCCTCTTAAGGGATGATTTCCGGTATAAAAAGTATCCTATGACCTTCCCAGGGTGTCGAACTATCTTCTTACCAAATTTCATCTAAATTTGTTTAGTAGATCCAGAGATTACCCCCTACAATGTGTTTTTATAATATTAGTATAGATACCCACTATATACAGACAGCGCCACCCTTTGTTTTTATTACTAGCAGTAAATTATGTGTTACCTACTCGAGGTTGTAGTCTTTCTGTGTAAGTACTAAATTCCATCCTAATCAGGCCAGCCGTCTCAGCGTTAGCCGTTAAGGCGTAACAAACGTACACATATGATATGAACTTTTTGAGCAATTAATAATATAAACTATTTTTTTGTTATGATATCTTTTTTTTTAATTTGATTGTATTTTATGAGTGACTAAATTATCAAAATAAGTATTAACAACATATACATATTACCTAGTACCTATATATATGCATATATATATATATATATATATATATATATATATATATATATGTGTGTGTAAAAATATGTATTTTTGCTAATAATAATAATAACTAGATAATTCCATCTCGATTTTCAAATAGAATTAGAAACGCGTGTTTTCAACATGATATATAATGGAAAGCGTTCGAAACGTATAATTTAGCTGATTATACTTACAATTAGTGTAAAGAAAACGCACAGCAATGTGGACCGCATCTTCGATCACTTCACTGCACGATCGATGTTTGCCACTAGTTTTGAACGCGTGCGGCGCAAGAGCACCGGTTGGCGTGGACTGACGGCTCGTACGTGTTCTATGCGTGGTAACCAACCCCACTCGATGCGGAAAATAGCTAGGCTTTTCTTGAATATATAGGAAAAAATTAAAAAAGTTATATCATACATAAATATTATCGCGTGTCAACGTAATAGAATTCGCCTGTTGGACTGAGAGTTAAATGAGAACGACAGGCCGTAGTGGATCGGTCGAATCCTATGAACAAGAGGTCCAAATTTAGGCTAAAACTATAGTTTTATTATTAAGAAACTATAAATATCATAATAGCCACTTTAATTAATCAAAATAAACATTAATCAAATACATATATGTAATTGTTAGAACCCATTAGTGCCATCTTTGTTAGGAAATAAAAGATACTATCCAACATTATAGCGATCTACGAATCTACAGACAATACTAAGTGTTGTAACACCATATACCGATGGAGGAAGTTGCAACCGCTTTCCGTAAGCTTATATGGCTTAAAATTACGTTAGTCCTACGTCCTATATGATTAATTTCACAATTTTGCATAGTTTGTCACTTTTTTCTATACTATCTATACTAATATTATAAAGAGGTAAAGCTTGTGAGTTTGTGACGTTGTAGGGGGTAATCTCTGGATCTACTGAACCGATTTAGATGAAATTTGGTAAGAAGATAGTTTGAAACCCTCAGAAGAACATAGGATACATTTTATCCTGGAAATCATCCCTTAAGGGGGTGAAAATGGGGATGAAATTTTGTATGACGAATCAACCTAGGGACGAACCCGAACGAAGCGAGCGTGCGTCGCTAGTATGTAATAAATAGAATAAGTTGCAGTTAATTGTACGCTGAACGTGATATGATATTGAAATTTTCTTAATGCATAAATAATTGCATAACATCAATTTGAATGTAAAATTATAAAGGAATATATTACATCGAGGAAATTATGAATCCGATTATAATAATGTAGACAATTCGAATGATTTGAAACCACATTAAAGTGGCTGAAAACATCGAGCGGGCACGCGACGCGAGATGGAAAGTGCTTCGGGGTGATTTCGCTCTGATTTTTCATACGATTGCTTTGATAGATGCGCAACGAGAATTTTCTGAATATTTCTAGCTTATTCTAACTTACTTTAAACTTAGAATTCATTTGTTAAATTTTATACCACTTGTGTACGTGTATACTTTTATTTTAAAAGTAGGTATTGTCATAAACGTTATTTGTTTCCAAAGTTTAAGTATTTGGAGTGAGTTTGGTTAATATTTTAATTTTCAGTTCGTATTTAATGAAAGTTTACCGCAAAAATTATTTAAAGTAATAATGTATAGAAAGTAGTAAAAAAATGTATATATTGGGTACATATAAAACTATGTATGGTCTTTCATAGTAGTGGATTTCTTTTTTTTTATTATTTTGAAACGCTTGAATTATAATTAGCCATTAAATAGTGCTTCACAATCTTTTATTAGATATTATACACATGATGTGAACTTACAAATTAAAACGTGTGTATTAAATCAATTGTTTCATATTATTATGTCGGCGTGGAAATGTGCAGGCAGGCTTGCTATTGTTTGGGGGTGTTGTTACTGAATAAATTATCTCAATTGTTAGACAAGTTACCTTAATCAGCATATGATAGATAAGTTACTGCAGTAATGTAAATAAAAAAATGTAATTTAACAGCCAAAAAATAATAAAAACTAGCAACTCATTCTCGATTCGCTCGGGTTCGTCCCTAGTTTGATTCCCCATGCAAACTTTAATCCCCATTTTCACCTCCTTAAGGAATGATTTCCAGGATAAAAACTATCCTATGTCCTTCCTAGGGTCTCAAACTATCTTCTTACCAAATTTCATCTAAATCAGTTCAGTAGATTCAGAGATCCCCTACAACCTCACAAACTAACAAACTTTCCCTCTTTGTAATATTAGTATAGATTAAAACCGAAGCGATATTAGTAGTCCAAACTGTTTAACAAAATAACATGCCGTAAAGCATATTTTATTTTTATTAAATACTTGTTATGGGGAAATGATTTATTTTGATAATTATTAGTAGTAGTATGTATGTACCTAATTATAATTTAATGATAAACATTAACTTATAATTTTAATCAAAAGTTGTATCAATATGGTACGTATCCTATCCGATTTACTATACATACTCTGACAACTATATACATACTAGCGGACCCGACAGACGTTGTCCTGTCTACACGTCTTTAATTTGAAAATTTCAAACTTTTTTTAATAATTTTTTTGATGAAAATTATTATTCAAATTGTGAATCTAAACCATTCCCAGATCCCCTTGAACACACACAAAAAAATTCATCAAAATCGGTCCAGTCGTTTGAGAGAAGTTCAGTGACATACACACTCACAGAAGAATTATATATATAAAGATCATAACTGTGACAGCTCTACTAAAACTTAATTTCTGTTATGATAAATCAAATCTAAAATAATCATTAAAACCGTTTCAGTGGTTTTATAGTTTATTGACAAATAAAAAAATTCCCATAATTTAACGCAAGACCGATTGACATTTGACGAAACACTTGTTTTTTTTTTATATATGCTCTGCTAATGTCTGATGAGGAGAAATAAGACCTTGTTGTATAGAACGTAATAAATGACCACTTTTTTATTTTTTTTAAATAGAGCAATTTTCTATATCCTGTCCACAGCATCCTTGCCTGGAACGGAAGCTGCGTATCAGTTGGTGACGTGTGTCCGCAACAAGTGCACGCCGGAGGAAGCCTTGAACGTTTTGCGTGAACTGCCCAATCCTCTGCGCGAAGGCGACACCACCGCCGCCCACACCGCCTACAATCCTTTGAAAATAGATGTTTTCGTTCAAACCCTCCTGAATTTGGGCAGCAAAAGTATTTCCCACAGTTTCGCCGCTATATCGAAATTCCATTACGTTTTTAAGGTATGTATTGTGTTGCTATTAAAAATAAATAAGAAGTAAAATCTGATTTAGGTTTTAAAAAATCTACACATTTGATAGACTTATCCGTGTCTCAGTCCGTCAAAATTACTCAAATGTAATTTTTTCCTATAACGTTACCGCAGTTGAGTAAAATATTAACGAATTATTCTTATTATAATTTTTACTTCTTTTATTAGAAGAATCGTTACAATATTGACAATGCTACTATGTATAATGTTATTACACTTTCTATAAGAATGTTAATTTTTTGTCGTGGGTTCGATATTCGCACTTATCATTTTTTGCCGATAAATTAGTTATATATTTTCATTTTTATTTGCTAAGAAATTTGTTGCGTCCAATGCAAGCCTTATTTCTCCTTAACAGATATTAGCGGAGTCTGAAGAAGCCCAAATATGTGTACTTCGTAACGTATGGGAAGTATGGCAAAGACATAGCCAAATGGTGTGCGTGTTGGTCGACAAGATGCTGAAGACGCAGATAGTCGAGTGTAGCGCCGTAGCCACTTGGCTCTTCTCTAAGGAAATGGCGCCGTTCTTCACCCACGGCTGTCTGTGGGAAGTCCTGCATTTGACCATCGATAAGATGAATAAACACGTCTCCAAGCTTAGTGAGTTGTTTTTCTGTTATATTTCAGAATAGTTTTTTATGTGTGTTTTTGTGTTTATTGTTTTGAAACGATTCCGGACCTCAAAAGGAAAAAAGTGAACCCTTATAGGATCACTTTGTTGTCCGTTTATCTGTCTGTGTGTCAAGACCTTTTTTTCATGAACACGTGGAGGTGTCAAGTTGATAAAAGATCAAGTCTGCAATCTCTTGGAGCTGTGAAAAAAAATAAACTTCTAAGTCAACGCAATTAAAAGATATGGCCGTTTGTGCTGCACATTTTGATACCCGCAAGGGAATAAAAACTATATCATTTGGCAAGAAGCAAGGTCTATAGCACAAGTAAAGAGAAAAATCCAAAAACCGTAAATTTGTAGTTCACAAAAAAGAACTTTGCGATTATAAATTTATTTTCTGTTTCATACTATACGGGACCCTCGGTGTGCCAATCAGACACGCAGTTGTCCGATGTTATTTTGGACTAGCATTTATCAGATGACCAAAAACCAAAGTCTTAGGTTTTACATATTATTAGTATACTGTTACATTGCAGTTTTTGTATTTTTTCTCAGAAATGGGACATTTTCCCGCGGTAAAAAGTATCCTATATGTTGACCCAGATAATCAGCTATCACCATATCAAATTTCATCAAAATCCCTCCAGTGGTTTCTCTGTGATGCGGTAACAGACAGACAGACAGACAGACAAAAATTCTTAAAACTATAGATTCGGCCTCTGTATCGATAAGAATGTTTATATTAATTTGTATTTACAACACTCCAGTTCAGTGATTAAGGTCTCGGGTTTGATCTTGACGGATATTTGGCAAAAAAAGTCTATGAATTGGCCGAATTATATTTAAGAGTAGGAAATTTACAAAAGATATTATATTTAATTCTATTTCGTTTTCAGGTAAAGAGTTACAAGAAGCAAGGGAGGCCTTGGCCAGAGCTGACTCGAGTAGTTCTGACTCTGAAGACGAAAGCGGTAACAAGAAGAAGAAAGATCATGACAAACCGACTGAAGAGGTAAGTACATTACTTATCTTTACATTCTTTGCAGTAAACGAAAGTGATATTCTATATTATAATATGTATTAAAAAAGTTATATTAATTTTGCATTTTTGTATGTAATTTTTAACAAAGTAAAACAAACTATTCTAGTTGCCATATTGAGTATTTTGACATTCTGCCAACGATTTTGTGTTCAACGAATATTCAATAGTGAAATTATCGTATTGCATTTAAAAATCAGTTTATATTTCGTTTGTGTATTGACTCAAATGGAAACCACAAACCATCTAGTTAAATTGACCACACTATTTATATGAGCAAAAATTGGTATGTTTGTTTTCCTTCAAGTTGAAATTGCTTGACGGATTTAAATGAAATTTAGTGAGAGGTTTTAGTTACGAGGACAGATACACTATTATGGCTCGGAGAAACATATAAGTCAATGTTAGTAATCGAATTTGGCAAAAGATGGCGCTGTTTTTTATAATATTATAAATATTAAAAAGCTAGGGACGCGCTCGAGTAAACCGATAATGAATTAACAATCTAATAATACTAATATTATAAAGAGGTAGTTTGTGAGTTTGTGACGTTGTAGGGGGTAATCTCTGGATCTACTGAACCGATTTAGATGAAATTTGGTAAGAAGATAGTTTGAGACCCTGGGAAGGACATAGGATCTTGACTTTTTATTGACTATGAAATTTGTATGGGGAAAAAACAAATAATTTAATTTAATTCGGTGTTCGCAGGCCGTGGAGCGCATGGAGGAGCGCCTGGAGATGGCGCACACGGACCAGAAGCGGCTGTTCCTGATCGTGTTCCAGCGGTTCATCATGATCCTGTCGGAGCACCTCGTGCGCGCCGACACCGACGCGCGCGACCCGCACACGCACTGGTACCGCGCCACGCTCGCGCGCCTCGCGCAGGTCTTCCTGCTGGTGCGTCGCAACACTAGCTTCACAGCTTTTGCTATTTTTAATTTTACTTTTTGAAGTGAAACTTCTTTAGAATCGTAGAATCGTTGTGATTTGAAACTGGTCGAAACGGAAATGCGACACTAGAAAGAGACACACAAATATATGGTATTAAGCCGGCGATAGAATGAGATAGAATACATTGCCTTATTCCCATGGTAACTGTTGTTATTGTCTGACAAATATGTGATTATAATATGCCTTATTTAATTATGTGTGATTTTTTTTAATTAATTTGCGATATTTGACAAAGAAGTTTTACTTCATCCGCGCGTAAGGGTTACACGCACACACTTTTTTTTTATATTTCCTTAGTGACAGATGTTCTTTGTTCCTAATCGTTTAATCGTTTGTTGTTTTTCTTAATGATTAATAACTACCTGAAACATCACGAGTATCTTCGTTTTGACGAGACGCTCAACTTTTCTTTGTACGAAAATTTGATAGTAGTAGATACAATTGTGGTTTAATATGGAACATGTCGAAACGGTGATTGTCTTTTTATTACTTATAAGTTGTTTTACAATTTAACGTTGGGATAATTCAACATAAAACAAGAAAAAATATATCAATAACCGGCTGATTTTCATAGTATTTATTATTAGAAATATGCAAAATTGAGTGGTCACATCGTCCTACAAATAAAATGGTAGGATTTCTCGATCCTTACCTTTCATGTGCTATCTATATCTATCATTTGTTCTACAGTTAGTAATGAAAATAATGAATAATTTATCACCGTGCGGGAGACAGTATTCGAGAACTGATGCTTTTTGGCAGTATATTACTGATATTTTTCATTTGCTTTAGTGTCTTATTTCTTTTTCTTAACAAACAATTTTATCGGCCACCTAATACTTTGAAAAAAAAGTGGTTCCATTATTACTATATTTGAACCTTTGCATTATATAATTGCAATGATTTTTCCTATTTTCCAGCATCACGAACAAGTTCAGAAATATAGCAGCACTCTGGAGACACTGCTCTTCACGCAGGACCTGGACCCTCATATATTAGACGTTTTCCACCAGTTTGTAGCTCTCACTGCGTAATCTCCTTTACTTATTTAACTCATTTATTTACATAACATTGACCTCAAATAAATTAAATATTTTGCAAAAATTGACTACCTAAACATTGTAATTCTGTTGTTGTCTATGGTTAATTATTATTATTATTATATTCTTTATTGCACTTAAAATATGATACAGAAAAAATAACAACAATAAACATGGTTCACAAAGATGAAGAGAATGGCATCGAGTTTAAATAGACTGATGTGAGTCACAGATTAAACTATATTTATTTAATATGCAACAAAAATGATAATAGTTTTGTCTATGACTTATAAAAACTAAAATAAAATGAAGCTTTAGATGTATATAAATAAAAAGTTTAGGTCATTTGTAAATATTGTTTTATTTCCTGTACCAAATATAATATACATAAAACATATATAAAACAGCCTATTCATAACAGTCTGACACAGTCGTAAAGGTAAAAAAAAGAGGAAAAAAAAGTAGTAGATACACAATCCCATACAAAAGTTCTCCTAAAACTGTCACCAATTGTGTTTAGGTCATTAATCTAGTTGAAATATATACAACAATGTAAATTAAACCTTAAATGCAATGCTTAAAGTTATTTTCACATGAAAAAAATTAAAAGCGCGCTCAAATGTACAAATGAGCGCTCATTGGGTGAGGACATTTTTTGTCGCTGATAGTGTGTATGGTACTTTTTTGATCGATGTGTCTAATTAATCTTATATATCCGTTTACATTTCACATGTATAACACATAATGTTGTCACAGTATAAAAATCCAATTGCCGATCGCCCATTAATTTTAACGGAGTTGCTGTCAAATGCAAGGGTTGTCAAAAACTACCATTTTTTCATGGCGGATAGTTTCTAAGTTAATGCACTGTAGTGCTATCTCGTGGCAAGTTACAATGAAACTCGCCAACCCTAAAGCCGTTTCCCGACTGCCATATAAAAGTAAGTATGTCAGTCGGGTGCGCCTCACCGGCTTTTTCCCAAGCACGATTGCTCTGTCTACATATTACTTTCGTTACACAATTGTATGGATAAGTAGACTGTGATAGTGTTATACTTAAATTACTTAAGGAAGTTCAGCAACTCTTCAACATCCAGTTTAGAGCCAAGGTAGCACGGGACGCGTTCGTGTATTGACGTGGGTTGTATGTCGAGTATGGGTTTGGTTCCGCTAGAAGCAAGACCGCCTGCCTCCGACACTATGAACGCCATCGGGTTACACTCGTATAAGAGACGCAACTGGAATAATTGAATTATTATTAGCGTTTAATAATGAAAATAATGTATACATTATTCTGATGTATATGCGATATTAGATACTTTAAAATTTCATCAAAATTCGTTCAGTTAAACATACATCCAAACATTCTCAAGAACTTTTATGTTTATAATATTAGTAAGATTGTTTATTGTTAGTTTATACTGAAAGGCTGATATTGATATCATTACTGACTTTAAAGAGTGCCAGTGTAACACAAATTACTTCGCCAATCTTAAAAAGAATGAAGATGACAAAATTAATTGGATTTAAAATTTAATGTTTTATACCTATATTTAATTTTAATATTAAACAAACAGTACAATTAGATATTTGTTCTAAATATATTTAATATTTAGAAACTGAGTTTGGTGCAAGTGACCTTTAATCTTAATTTTAATTTAATGCCACAGCATATTAATTTATTTTCAAAGTAAACGTTTAATTTAATTAGTATTTGATTATATTATTAATAGTACATAATTTTATATGGCCAAGATAATAAAAAAATAATGTTATTTTTTAAATATTAAACATTTTTTATTAATGACAAAATGATTATTATTTTTAATTACCTTTCCCTTCGGAGCGGATTTAGTAGCCGGATACAAGAAAATGCCGCCATATTTGATCGTCCTATGCACATCGGCCACCATCGAGCCGACATATCTCGCGCCATATGCTTTACCTGTTTTAGGTCTTTTCTTTTCCTCTATATAATTTTTCAAACCTTCTGACCATTCTGCTGTGTATCCTATACAAATTATTAAACATACAAATATAGTACCTACCTATAAATAACTTGACCGATTTCAAAAAAGGAAGATTCGAGAATATATAGTGTTTTAGTATCATTCTAGTCAGTTGTATATCGACTGTTTTCTTTCAAAGGTTTTATTATATAAAATATATTAAAAATTATGTGATGTTTTTAATTAGTGCAATTTCCAATAAACAATAATCTAACGCCTTATAGTTTTAGGACATTATAACAATGTAAACGTCTAAAAATTACGACATTTTATTGTTATTGCGTAAAAGTTAAATGGTTTGTGAGATCACTATACTTTGGTTAAGTGTACACAAGATACTAATACCATTAAACCCACTATTAGACAATCATACAATAAATATTTCGTAAGTCTTATTTAATCACACTAATATAAATGATACATTTGTGCATTAGTGTTTGTTAATTCTTCATGCTATTTGAGTAAAATCTAAAATAGAGAACATTTATATTAATATTTCTACCAACAAAAACTACTCAAAATAAATTCTTACCTTCATTTATAGAATATATCTTGCCCCTATCCGGTATCTTCATGTTAGGGTCAGTTAAAATAAACTCTCCAATGGAAGGGTCGTACATGAACCCATTGACGCCTTTGCCCTTCCCCAAGGATATGACGAGCATGGTCGCGGAGCCGTACAGCGCGTAGCCCGCCGCCACCAGCTCGTTGCCTGGACGCAGTGCATCTGACTCGGATGGCTCTCCATCTGATGTTTTTCTGAAAAGTTTTTTTTTTATTATTTGGTTAGTCTACATAATATATTACTACGTACAATAACATAGAAAATTAAAATACATCTTTTTTTCAGCTTTAATTGTATCTAAGAACCACCCAAATCATACTTAGCATAAATATAAAAAATCTATCAAAATCGGTCGAGCTAGTTAATAGAGAATTTATGAACTTTACCTAAAATTTAAAGCAGACTTAATGGTAGGGGAGCCAAAGAGGGGATTTTTGTAGTTACTCAAGCGCGGCAGATTAACATAAAAGAGGTTACCTTGCACTCTATTGAGTACTTTCACCACAATATAAGTCTTCTATTTAAAGGGGCGCGTCTAGGGAAGCCGATTAAAATATTTAAAAAATGTTTTTATATATGTATAAAAGCCGAAGAGGCAAAAATCGACTATAAAGTTTATGATGATTTTTGCCTCTTAGGCTTGTGCAAATCGGCAGTTTATTAAATTGGACACTTTTCAGGATGTGGCTAGCCTACCACATCTTAATCTGACGGTTTCAAGTATTTCTACCTTATCAAAACATTTTTTAAATATTTTAATCGGCTTCCCTAGACGCGCCCCTTTATATAGAAGACTTATATTGTGGTGAAAGTACTCAATAGAGTGCAAGGTAACCTCTTTCATGTTAATCTGCCGCGCTTGAGTAACTACAGAAAATCCCCTCTTGGGCTCCACTACTATAAAAACTTATTTTACCTCACAGCAATGACTTTGGCATTTATCATATTAAAAATATGCCTTTATTTCATCATTATTGCTAATTACTTTTAAAAATACTCACTTGTATATTGCGAAAATGGAGCCGACTGATACAAGGCAGTCAATGTTTGACGAGCCGTCGAGGGGATCGAAACATACTATGTATTTTCCACGTCTTTCTGTTTCCACCTGTAATTTTAATTAAACTAGTAAATAGGTATATATTTTGTAAACACAACGATGTAAGCTATTGGTAGGTATTTGTTATCAATTTAAAGATAACTTTAATCTAAATATTAATATCGACTATCGTAATGTTGTGATTTTGTAGAAAAAATAAATTTCGATAAGTATGTATCTATATTTAAAATTTATAGAACTAGCGACTCACCCTAGCTCCGCTCGGGTTCGTCCCTAGATACGTTTTAACGTTTAGTATACATTTCTCAGAGATGAGATATTTTCCCGCAGTAAAAAGTACCTATCCTATATGTTGACCCGGATAACCAGCTATCATCATACCAAATTTCATTAAAATCTGTCTAGTGGTTTTTTTATTATGCGGTAACAGACAGACAAAAATTCTAAAAACCATAGATTCGGCCTCTGCATCGATAATAATGTCTATTTCAATAAGATTTTCCGAAATATATCTAATGTACAGATTCGGCTTGGTTACAATTTTATTATATGTATAGATTATATACAGCGTTGTGCGCGAACAAAACAAGTTTTTGATTATTATTATTTAACGTAACATAAATGAAATGTTAATTAGTGGGTGTGTTTCAATTCGAATAATAAGCAGGATTATCAAACATTTTGATAAATAAAAATACAAGTTCATGACCTCAGTGTCTATTGATAAATCAGATGAACAAGAAGATTTTGTAGCCAAAAGTTATCTTTAAATAACAAAGTTTAGGGTTGATATTAACGCTCTATAGTATGCCGGATACAGAGTTCAAATAGGTGAAAGCGTAATAAAGTCTTGCAAGTAATTAATGTGTAGCACCGATTAAATCTTTTAAAATGATATTATCGTCAACAATATTTTAAACACTATAAGTCGGTCTGTTTGACGCCTTTTACTGAATTTTAAATTAATGAATGTTTTAACGTAGTGTGGTACGGTACCTAATCAGGTACTTATTTCTAACATAAGGAGGCATCACATAGAAATTATAAGATACGGGAATTCCAGAAAAAGTTGCGGTTTTTTATAGATCACTGTTGTAATTGTCAACTAGTAGGTATAAACGGTTGAAGAATTATTGTCCTTTTAAATATAGAAACTTAATATATGACAATAATATGGCCAGATGCCATAATAATTTAACATAAAAATAAACAACTCAAATAAACATTCCAAGTTATTTATAATTAATTTCAATATTAATAATATTTATATGTAGGTACATATGCACATAATATATTTTTTTATTATTTCTTTATATTCTGTATGTAAAACTATAGATAATTATCTACATAATAATATACCTACCTGTGTAGGTTTGTTCTTGCACACTTCGTGTATAAACCTATAAAATACTTAGCTATTTTAATGGCATTTACGTACAATTTTGTAGTATGTAGTAATATGCAGTAGTAGAAGTACAAATACTTACTTTTTTTGGACACACTTAATTGTTGTTTGTTGTAGATTGTTCTTACCTGTAAAGCCTTAGGATTTTCTTCAGAGACGAGCAAACAAGTAGTGAATGACGATATAAGCATATTGATGAAAAGTTCATTTGAGAGAACATCCAGTTTCTTAACTTCTTCGCCTTGAACATTCGTATCTCCTGAGATTCCATGCCTGTAAAACAGTAAAAAAAAATATTAATAATAATTTAACATGTCAACACTTTTTTTTCATTTAGGAGTGAACGAAGAAAACAAAATATTAACGAACGCAACATATGGATACAAATTGAAAAAATGATTTAGTTTAGGTCGTGTGAAGTTATCTTTATAAAAATTAGAAAGTATACAAAACTAACAATTTAGCGATGCCGGCTTTTCTCACAGCTGTTTGTATAGCCTTGACTGCTGTTTGTATGGAGTTTAAGAGTTGTGTTAAGTCTCCAGTAGCTAGTGGTGCCGTTTTTTGTTGAGCCAAAACCCATCTGGTTAAGGTCATTGCGTTCACATCAAAAGCTGGTCCTTGCTGTGACATTTTGGCGATAAAAAATAATAATGCAAATAAAAATAAGGCGACAAGCGCGCCCAACGATTGTCGCGACACTGGACGAGCCTCTAGTCTACACTCTACAGTCTACTTATATGACAATAAGTTAACTTTCAGGTTTCTATGACGATAAATAGAATGTTCAATATAGTGACGCTGATTATACCGCTTATCATGTTATAGGTTAAAATGTTACGCCATACCAAATCTACACTTGTAATTTATGTCTTACGAGGAATATTCTAGAGTGTATTTTTATTATAATCCAAAAGTGGGTGTGTAAATGACGCAATTTAACTCATAACTTTAGACTTAAGAGTAATGCTTCATATTATAATGTAGGTAGGTACTGGTAGGTACCTAACCAATGCCAATAAAGTATAAAGAAACGAATCTAAAATGGCATCTGGGATTCTGGGTACTTGCAGTGACAGATGATAAGGTCAGCAAAAAAACGAAATAAATAAAATATTTTGCTTATGCCTAATAATTGTTTACATAAATAATAATGACTTTAAATTGAAGTCCTGAAAGTTGAAAGCCAGCGTCTTAAAATTATATTTTTTGAATTTTTTCAAGAAAGATGATAAGTAGGTATGATATTAATGTATATCTAAATTTTTAAATTGAAATTACTATTTATGATCTTATAATAGAAAAAGTATTTTTAACTAGGTACTAAAAAAGAAGTTTGCTAAGCTTAGCACCAAAATAAAAATTTCCAGATAGTTTTTTTATGCAGTAGGTACGGCCGTGTGCGAGTACCTACTGAGGAAAGATGGACAAATGGCAATAGTGTGCACGTGAGAGTGCATGATCGTCGCCGCCATTTTAGATTCGTTACTTTATTGGCGCGGGTTATAATTGCATTTACTGTTGTGAATGTAGGTAAGTAGGTACCTAAGTTTTAGTAGGATATAAGCTATTTAAATTCTTGTTTATTCATTGTATTTTTGTAAATATATTTTAGTTCGAATATATAATTAACTTCTATATCATATTTTAGATTGTGTTTTTTTTAACGTTCCCATGGGAGCGGGAGGCCAGGTTTGGTGAGTTATCTACATATATCGCAGTTTTCCCTACGCCAGCGCCATTATGGTAGGTACTACAGTTTGTATAAAAAGCAAGAGACAAGAGTCCTGTGACAGCTATCAGAATAGCATTGTAATTATCGATATTTTGTTAATATGTCATAGGGAAGATTTCTCGAAAGGAGGGCGCCACACGTATGGCTTATTTACATTCAATCGCATCTTACCTGTGCAATGTATTGTACCTGAAAGTTAGACCAACTAAAGGAAGAATTGAGAAGGGGAGGTGCATCTTGCGTATCTACCGTATTTTGCTTGGACGATGTATTACAATTTGATTTCTTTATGTAATTATTTACTTGTAAATTAATTATTTTTAATTTTAATATAATATAATATATTAGTAACTATTCATTTATTTAAATAATTTAAACAATTTGATTTCTTTAAGTAATTATTTACTAGAAAATTAATTATTTTTAATGTTAATATAATATTATAGATTAGTATTTACTCATTTATTTAATTTATAACTAACAATATATCACATTATACTTATAAATTAAAATGTGAAAGAGCATATAGAGTTGTACTACGTGGACTACACTCCACAGAAGATACTTCTCTAATAAAACAAGAGTTAAAAGAACAAGGACATGAGGTGAGACAAATAGTAAATGTTTTACATAGGTCTACCAAAGAAGCATTACCCATCTTCTTCGTGGACTTAGAACCAAACCAGAACAACAAAGAAATATTTAAAATAAGATACCTAAGTCAAATGAAAGTGACATTTGAAGCTCCTTATAAGAAAAAAGAAATAATGCAATGCAAAAGATGCCAGAGGTTCGGCCACACTAAAAACCATTGCTTCAGACCATTCAGATGTGTGAAATGTGGTAACGATCATCCTACTTCCTCGTGCACCAAAACACCAGAAACGGATGCTACATGTGCAAATTGTCAAGAAAGACATCCTGCAAGCTACAAGGGTTGCACAAAATACAAACAATACAAGGAAAGAATACTAAAAATCAAACCAACCAATAAAGAAAACCATACAATTCCGAATACAAAAGAGGTCAAAATATTAAATCCAACAGTAAAACAAAACTTAAGACAAAATGATTACACAGAAAAAAGAAGCTATTCAGATGTAACAAAAGAACGACCACTGACTAAAGGGATACCTGACACGGAAAATCTTCCTGAAAAATTAGAACGAATGTTCGCTAAATTTCAACAAATCATGATCAGCATGATGGACAAAATGATGGACCGAATGATCCAGCTTATCTCAAGCCTGATAACAAAATGATTAATACACTCCGAGTAGTAACTTGGAACGCCAATGGCTTGACGGACCGTCGTCAAGAGTTTCAAACATTCCTCGAGATTGAAAAAATTGACGTAGCTTTAATTTCCGAAACAAGGTTCACTGCAAGATCTCACTTCGCTATGAAAAATTACACAGTGTACACAACAAATCATCCTTCAGGAAATAGTCACGGTGGAACCGCAGTAATTATTAAAAATAATATTAAACATTATGAACTGGAAAAATACTATACGGATAAAATACAAGCTACGTCAATAAAAGTAGTGATCAACGATAAAGTTGAGACAACCTATTCTGCAGTTTACTGTCCACCTAGACATACGATGACAAAACAAGACTACAACATGTATTTCGCCTCACTCGGCCCCAAATTCATAAGTGGTGGTGATTGGAATGCTAAACACACATACTGGGGCTCCCGATTAATCACACATCGCGGAAGGCAACTACTTGGTGCAATGCAGGGTCTTGGGCTGGAATGCATGAGTTCACGCGAACCAACATACTGGCCAACGGATCGAAGTAAAATTCCTGACTTGCTAGACTTCTATATAACTAAAAATATAGGTCGAAACTACATGACTACTGAAACCTGTACGGATCTATCATCTGATCACACGCCAGTCATATTAAATGTAAGCTCATCAGTGGTATTGGTGCAACCCGCAGAAAGACTTTATAACAAAAATACTAACTGGGAGATGTATAAGGGCATAATCACGGAGAGAATTAAGCTCATAAATCCATTAAAAACAGTGGAAGATATAGAAGAGGCTATTGAGAACCTTAATAAAATCATACATGAAGCAGCCGCTAGTTCCACAAAATTGCAAGAAAAATTACCGCTAAAAAACAAATACCCGAAAATGATCAAAGACAAAATATTGGAACGTCGTCACCTAAGAAAAGTATGGCACGAAACTGGATACCCCACAGACAAAACAGCGTTCAACAGATCTTCGGACGAACTAAAAGACCTCATTAAAAGTTTTACCAACAATAACCTTCAAAATTTCCTTTCTAACTTGACCCCAAGTTTAGACACAAATTACTCACTATGGAAGGCAACACAGAAATTAAAACGTCCCAATTATCAAATCTCTCCTATCAGACAAAGTAACGGGAATTGGGCCAGATCAGACACGGAGAAGGCTGTAACCTTTGCTGAACACCTTAGCAAAGTATTTCAACCATTTCCTGAAATAAAACCAGAGCACAACGGCGAAATAAAAAGTTAACTGGAAAGTCCTCAGCAAATGTGTCTCCCATTAAAATATACGAGCCCTACCGAAGTAGCTGGTGACATAAAACACCTTAAGGATGGCAAAGCACCGGGATACGACCAAATTGACAGCGTTCTTTTAAAAAATCTGCCAAAAAAGGGTATAGTAGCAATTGTCAACATATTTAATGCCTGCATAAGAATTAGCCACTTCCCAGGACAATGGAAAATAGCCCAGGTAAAAATGTTACCTAAACCCGGTAAACCACCTAATGAAGTAGCGTCATACCGACCTATAAGTCTTTTGCCTATAATAGGGAAACTCCTCGAGAAAATGTTACTAAAAAGAATGCAAGTACACCTAAGTGACATCACCCCAAATCACCAATTTGGATTCCGGGAAAACCACGGGACGATCGAGCAAATTCACCGCATCATTGACGTTATAAGCAGATCGTTAGAAGAAAAAAAATATTGTTCAGCAGTCTTTTTGGATATAAGCCAGGCTTTTGACAAAGTGTGGCACGAGGGCCTATTGTATAAAGTCAAAAAGATGCTACCACACTCGTTTTACCACATAATAAAGTCTTATCTCAGCAAGCGATGTTTTGAAGTAAAGTTCCACGATAAACTTTCCGACCTATACGAGATCAAGTCAGGAGTGCCACAGGGAAGTATACTAGGACCAGTGCTCTACACCATATATACTGCTGACATTCCAACCGTAGAAAAGACTACGGTTGCAACATATGCCGACGATACAGCCATACTTTCTACACACACGAACCCAGTAACCGCATCAGAACATCTACAACACCACATTGATAAAATTGAAGAATGGCTTAAAATATGGCGAATACACGCTAATCAAAGTAAATCAACACATGTGACCTTTACTCTCAGGAGAGACACTTGTCCACCGGTTATACTTAATAACGAAGAAATCCCGCAAGACGACAATGCTAAATACTTGGGCATGCACTTAGATCGTAGGCTGACATGGAAAAAACACATATGGACAAAACGGAAACAACTAGATTTAAAACTACGTAGTATATACTGGTTAATAGGACGAAACTCACAAATGAGCACAAACAGCAAGTTGGCAGTATATAAAGCCATCTTGAAACCAATATGGACCTATGGCATACAGCTTTGGGGTACGACCAGCAACAGTAACATAGAGATACTGGAACGATTTCAAACCAAAACACTGAGGACCATATTTAACATCCCTCAATACATCAGTAATAAGTACATATATCTTGACTTAAATGTACCAACTGTCAAACAGGAGATAGTGAAATATAGCATCAACTACCAGAAAAGACTCTCAAATCACAAAAATGAGCTTGCCCTCAGACTCAGCGGAGATCAAGGACTTGAACATAGAAGATTAAAGAGACATAGTGTTCCAACCCTACAAAATAGATTCAACAGTATGGAATGAGACACCTACTTGAAAAGTGTTTCACCAAGCTATAAAGCCAAAACAGATACAAGTATCAGACAAAGCAGTGGCTTATTGTTGTGTCTAACAGATTGCCGCGGTGCAGAAAAGTTAAAAAAAAAAAAAAAAATATTTAATAATATAAACAATTTGATTTCTTTATGTAATTATTAACTAGTAAATTAATTTTACGTAGGTACTCGTTTACGCATGGATATCGACCATATTATTATATATGACATTATTATTATAGATTACAAGTCGGTCAAAAAAGGACACGAAGCGCGGCGTTGCCAATCTTACAATAGCATTCTCGTTTACTCTACAATTACATGAAGATCCGTGTAATGGAAAGAGAAGCTAGACAGTGTGTTGACAGAGTGAACGTCGGAGTGGCAACGCCATAACGCTCTGTCCATTGTGATACATCGTCCTAGTTTACCTTAACACACTCGAATGCTATTAAAATGTAGTAGGTACTCAAAAGCTTAGATTTTTTGTAGATATTTTCTATATTCATAAGTCAAATCATATCATCTGTCGACTTAAAATTAGTGCAGTTTCTGTTAAATAAGTATATTGGTTTGCCATTTAACGTCGCATTCACAGTTTTATTTCATAAACTATTTCTTAGTTTCGTTTTAATAAAATTAATTCACTGAATGCACTTTCGCAATAAAGGGAACATTTAATTATTGTACGGCTTTTTTTATTTTCTCCGTGGGTGTACCATTTTTTTTAATATTGGTTGCTGCATTTTTTTACCTGGCAGCCCTAATTAAATCAACATCAACATCAAATATCAATTATTAATTATTGTCAATGTCAAACATTTGTCAAACAACCAATGAATAAAACAAATAAACGTAAATAAACTATATTTTATATCAAAATATGGCACCAAAGTTAAAATTTGCAGAAGGTAAAATAATGTACAATTTGATATTATTTCACGTACTAATTATTTTTATGTTATTGACTTTTGTTGATGTTTTCAGGCGAAAAAGTTCTTTGCTTCCATGGGCCGCTCATTTACGAAGCCAAATGTCTTAAAAGTTCTGTTACAAAAGACAAACATGTTCGATATTTGATTCATTATGCTGGCTGGAATAAGAAGTAAGAAAGCAGTTGATTTTATATACATTGACCCCTTAAACTGTTTTAAAATTGCACAAAAATAATGTTTTATGTTTCTTTCATGTTTCATATGTAAGTTTTTTTAGTAATAAACTAGTGACTATATTTCACATCAATCTTGTAAAATTTGGTAAATGACAATTATAGATTTTTGTTATAATAATTGCAGTAATAACCATTACTTTATATGTATATTTATAGTTGGGATGAATGGGTACCTGAAAGCAGAGTTCTTAAATATAATGAAGCAAATGTGCAAAGACAAAAGGAAGTACAAAGAGCTCATTCTGCTCAACCAGCAAAAACTAAAAAGAGTATGTTATAAAGGCAACTTATTATTACAATATACTTTTTTTATTATATTAAATTGTTTTACAAGATGATTAGGAAGTTTTTCATAATATTATGATGATTAAAAATCGAATCTCTAAAAAGTTTACTTGTGATTATAACTTTACAAGAGTATAAAAAGTAATCATTAGAGATAGATTATATGGTAAATATTCACACTACTTAATTAAACCATGAAACTCTTACTTGTAACATATCATTACGGTTTTTTGTATTGAATATTAACACATAATTGGGAAGAATGGTTCAAGCAGTCTAATAATTGAAATTTTATATATTTAATGTTTATATTCTGTCTGATATTTATTATTTTTTGCTTTTGCTTTATAGCACCAGCAAAAGGTCGGAAATCTGAAGCTGCATCAAGTTCAACTCCAGCCAGAGAAGAATCAAGAGCATCTACACCAGCAGGTATATTAACAAATTTAATAAACTTTTTTTGTGTTTATTATGTTCTATTTCTTTTTTGTATCTTTTAACAATAAATAAATAAATAGAAATGCACAATTTTTAGTAATTTAATTAAGTCATTATGTAGCACTAAGTTTTACTCATGTAATTATGAGTTATTTTTAAACTTAATGTGAGGTTGTTCATCAAAATGATTTTTAACCCCCGATGCAAAAAGAGGGGTGTTATAAGTTTGACGTCGATGTCTGTCTGTGTGTGTGTGTGTGTGCCTGTCTGTGGCATCGTAGCTCTCAAATGGATTGACCAATTTCAATTCAGATTTTTTAATTTGAAAGCCAGTTTCCTTGCGGTGGTTCTTAGCTATGTTTGGTTAATATCGATCCAGCAGTGAAAGATTATCAGCTCTTTTCCAAAATGATGTAAGGCATTTTGGCGTATGATTACTTGATTAAGTGTTTCACACGTGCCAATTCTGGAAAGGACATAGGATAGTTTTTATCCCGGAAATCATCCCTTAAGAGGGTGTATAGAGAGATGAAAGTTTGTATGGGGAATCAATTATTTCTCAAATAAGGGATATAAAACTCATCATACCTCTGTATGAATATGTGTATATATAATATATATATACTATATTTATTCCATACTAACCATTTAAACAAACCGGGATACCGTATACGGGATGAACCGTATCAAAGCGGGGTTGAGACGCTTGTGAAACATATATGCATATTTCAGGTAAAGATGCTGAAACTACCCCAGCACCAGCAAAGGCAACAAAGACTCAGAGTAAGGACACTCCAGCTGACTCGGGATCAGATCAACCTAAGTATGCTTTTTATATTTTACATAGAATTCAAATTAGTGACTTACTGAATGCACCGCTGGTCCTAGAGACATGAAATTTGAAATTAATGACATGAAAATTTGGAGGGTGTGTTCTTTGTGAAGTTTAGATATCCCACTAAGAAAGGATTTTATTGAAATTCCACTCCTAAGAAGGTGAAATCTGGGATTGAATTTTCTGTGAAACTTTTTATTCTCAGGCTCGATGGACTCAAAAATTGGTACACATACTCTTCAGTTAAAATTATTAGACATGACGTCGCAGTTTTTCCGAAATCATCCCCCAATAGAGTCAAATAGGGCTTCGTAAATCCCGGGGGTGTTCTGTATTAATTACTTATAACATAAAGCCACAGAATTAGCTTTTTTGTAGTTTTAACGGAAGCGAAGCTGCGGGTTATGCTTGTTTTATGTATAAATAGTAATTTTCGAATAAATATTCTATAATTATGTTTAATAAGTAAAAAGTATGATGTAATATGACTCAATAAGATCACATGATAATAATTTTGCAATGGAATATTCTTTTTAAATATATAGCTTTTATTTGTTTTACAATTTTATTTTTTAAGATATTTTTCTGTATTTAAAAAAAATACATGTTCTGTTTTCACATATTTCAGTGACAATTTCAATTCGTTTAATATTTATTTTCAGTAATTACTTATTTCAATTTATCTTTTAGGAAAAAGCGTGGTAGGCTCGATGTGTCCATTGAATCTGAAGAACAATACTTGGCAAAAGTGGAAGTAAAGATTAAAATACCCGAAGAACTAAAAGTGTGGCTTGTTGATGATTGGGACGTCATAACCAGACAACAAAAATTAGCTATTTTGCCTGCAAAGCTAACTGTATCACAAATTGTGGACAACTATTTGGCGTTTAAAAAATCAAGCAAACTGCATAATCAAGCTAAAGAATCTGTCCTAGTTGATATTACCGAAGGTATAAAAGAATACTTTAATGCTACTCTCGGCTCTCAACTTCTTTACAAATTTGAAAGACCTCAGTACAGTGAAGTATTGCAAGATTACCCGGACACTCCCATGTCTCAAATATATGGGGCCATACATTTATTGCGGCTTTTTGCCAAACTGGGTCCAATGTTAGCATATACTGCCTTAGACGAGAAGTCCCTACAACATGTTCTATCTCATATCCAAGACTTCCTTAAATATATGGTGACAAACAGATCTACTCTGTTTAACTTGCAGGACTATGGAAATGCCACTCCAGAATATCATAGAAAAGTTCAGTAGTTAAGTTTAATTAGTATTGTAATGATGAATATTTGAATTTAAGTAATAAATGTATCTTGATTTTCTAATTGTTTCTTTTTTGTTTCATTTATTAAAATCAAAAGCTTCTTAAAGTAGAAAATTAAAAAATGTCTGACATCAAAATCTAATATATAAAATTCTCGTGTCACAGTGTTTGTAACAAAAGTCCTCCGAAACGGCTTGACTGATTCTTATGAAATTTTGTATGTATGAACTATTATTTGTGTGACCTACTGAATAGGTCTGAGAATAGGACGTAAACTATTTTTCATACCCCTAAGTAATAAGGGCGGTCCACCCCAAAAAACTTAATTTTTATTTTTTGGGCAACATTGTTAATTTTATGATTCGGCATTAAAAAATACATACAAACCTAAATTTTTACTTGGGACGAACACGAGCGGAGCAAGGGTGAGTCGCTAGTATATTTCTAAGTTTCTGTAAAAATCTGCTAAACTTTATTTTTAAAGGATTTTCTTTATGTAAAAGGAATTTAGGGTCCCGGTAGTAGATGACTTAGTTTGTAGTATAGATTATGATATGTAGAGCTTACAATAGAGTATTGAGTAACACATATATTTTGTATATCATACATTACTGTACATTTTTCCGGGATATAAAGTAGCTTACGTGTTATTTTGATGTGTGAGCTATATTATTGTAAAGATTCATTAAAATCTATTCAGTAGTTTTTGCGTGAAAGAGTAACAAACATCCATACATCCAGACATCCATACATACTCACAAACTTTCGCATTTATAATATTAGTAGGATTAGGTACACATTTAAAATTCAATATTAATAAACCTGCTTTTTACAAAGTTACAATTAACGACATTCTGCATTTGCCCTGTTATTTAGGTTTCCGAACCTCAAGAGGGAAAAAAGCAACACTTATAGGATCACTTCGTTGTCAGTCGTCTGTCTGTCTGTGAATACCCTTTTTCTCGGAAACCCGTGGTGGTTTTAAGTTAAAATTAATATCAAATACTCAGTCAGCTCTGCTATCCCTAAGATTTGTGAAAAAATCAAACACCTAATCTAAGTCAACGCAATCAATCGATACGGCTATTTATATTGCATATTGTTTAATGTACCTACCTATTTAATTAATTGAAATTAAACCTAATTTTTTCATACTGTTATATTAATTAGTCTGGATTGGTTTTATAATATATGGGCCGTTTAACTTGAAGTTATATCATTTGTTAAATATTTTAAACAGATACTTAAATCATAAATTAATTAAAAGTGCATTTGTAAGAATGTTGCAGGACAGGGTCACCGCGACGCGACGAGTTGACCGAATTATGCATTCAATGAGTCATGACTCATGTGTAAGCGCAAGGAAAAACTTGATTCTTTTTATTCGTGGCAATTTTGTGTGCTCTTTATATTTTTATATTTTACAATGATTTAGAAATGTACGGAGATAAAGCGACTTATTATTTATTAGCACTGTCCGTGGCTTCGCCCGCGTTCAGATGACCAAAAATCAAATTCTTAGGTTTTACATATTAATATACTACTCATATTACAGTTTTTGTATTTTTTCTCAAAAATGAGATATTTTTTACCGCGGTAAAAAGCCTTATCCTATGTGTTGACCCGGATAACCAGCTATCACCATTCCCAATTTCATCAAAATCCCTCCAGTGGTTTTTCTGTGATGCGGTAACAGACAGACAAAAATTCTAAAAATTATAGATTCGGCTTCTGTATCAATAATAATATTTATTTCAATAAGATTTTCCAAAAAATATTTAACGTACAGATTCGGCTTAGTTACAATTTTATTATAGGTATGTATGGATTAGGAAATCGCAAATTCAATATTTGTTCAATATTTGTTTTGTCATTTAGATAAGAATGTATTCTAAATTAATAAAATACGTTAATTAATGGTCTTTTATTTCAAGAGAAGCTTATTTTATTATTACAGAATATAAGAAACTGTAAGAATATTAGATTATAGATCATTTTCCATATGAATGATATAGTTCACTTATGAATTAATAGTACCTTATAATTACTAGGTACTACAGCAAAACAAATAGGTGCTTATAATCAACAAAAACGTGGAAAATTTTATAAATGAACCCTAAAGTGAAATCTGAAAGTGTGACGTGATATCATTGCATATTTTGCAAGTGGTCAAAGTAAATGTAACGTCGCGTCAGCTAGTTTACGTATAATAAATAAGTACCTAATATAAATAAATTGTTAGGCGCCGCTTGCCTAATTGTAGAGAACGAGTGCCTATGAAAACTCTTTGGTGCTCCTCTATCCAGGCACTAGACAGGCCGGAAATACATGAAGACGAATACTTCTTTTTTTTTCTTACTTTTGTATTATTATTTTTTTTTCACATTGGTGTCAGACAATTTTCTTGTATGTGAACTACATAATATTAATTTGAATTACTGGAATATAGCGAAATAACACAAGAAAATATTTTATTGTTTCACAAAATCTTAATGCAGGATAAAAATCATCAAAATATTATTTTATTAAGACAAAAAAAAATAGGAAAATTCATAACATCCGCTGTATAATTCATATGTTAGATCTCATTTAGAGTATGCTTCGATTGTGTGGAACCCGCAATATAACAAATATATTGAAGCAGTAGAGAGTGTGCAAAATAAATTTATAAAGCGATTGAGGTATAGATTTGATGTAGTTGAAATTAAAAATTTAAATATTTTATCATTGAAGCAACGTAGAGAATACAGAGACCAAATTTTTCTTTATAAAATCATACATAATTTGATTGATTCCGATTATCTTCTAAGCAATATTAATTTCAAATGCCCAACTTTTTGCACCCGTTCTAAAGATACTTTTTGTGTCCCTATGTGTAGAACAAATTATGCCAAGAACTGTTTTGTAATTAGAGCCTGTAGATCGCATAATACATATTATAACCAAATTGACATATTTGATAGTAATATCAACAAATTTTCTCAAAGCATTAAGCATAAACTCGATCATCCTTGATATAATATGTATTTTGCAACCCTCTCTATACACAAAGATTATGTTTAGTTATTTTACGTATAGTTTGTATTTTTTTTTCACTCCATGTTTACTTATAAGTGGAAACTTTATTGGCTGATGAGAAGAATAGTTTGTATTTACATATTTCTGTATTATTACATATAGCTGTTTGTTTCCCAACTGATAATAAATAAATAAATAAATAAATAAATAAATAAATAATCGCTGTTTATTTATTACGTCTTGTAAGTATTTCTATTGCTGACGTCTGCAATCCTAAACTGGACGCGTTCGGGATTGACGTCACGGGAACGTATAAAGTGACCAATGACTCGGCTCGTGTGTAAAGGTTATGTTACAATTTATTTTTAATTTTAATGCTGTTCTTTCCTAAATAATGAATAATTTCTATTAACTAGCAATAGATGGCGTTACGCGTATATAAAATTTTCACAATGCATTATTATCAAAAATGATTATAAATCAATATTTTGCAAATGATACTTCAAATCTTATTAGTAAATATAATAATAAAGTCTTTATTGTACACCAAGAACAAAAGAAATTAAATAAACACAGAATAGAAATGTACAAGAGGCGGCCTTATCGCTAAAACAGCGATCTCTTCCAGGCAACCTTTAGGTGTTGGAGATAGCAAACTGCAAGAGGGAAGGGGTGTAAATAATAGAGTTAAATATATCACAACACAACAATATCTTTTTTTTTATTTATATCAATATTTTCTTTCTTCTCTCATAAGAATAAGATATGGGATTTGTCATTTGTTAATTGTCTCCGTTGTTCGGAAGCCCTTTAAGATAACTAGATTATGTACACCACTGCACTAGTCTACACTCTACATGAGTCCATTTACACGGTTACACTAACGGCCTAACCCGTACTCCATAATCCATATTAGCGCTCTTTTAATTTTTTTTACAAGTGATACCTCTTCTAATTTTTTAAATAATCAATTTAAAATCATATAGACAGATAGTGATCCACAAATATGACGAGCACTAATCTCTATTAAAACCTAATTCGATAATGTGAGAATAGTCGTAGTAATTTAATTTTCCATTTGCGTTATAACTAAGGAATAGTATAGTAAATTGCTTTATTAGAAAATGTTAATACATAATGTATAATATCGGTAAAGCTTTCGTAGTTAATAGTTTCTTGACGGGTATAATTTTCACTCATTCAGTATGACCTAGCTTAGTCGGCTACATTGGACCAACTGTTCCTAATGCACTGTATTTAGTGAAACAAGGTTGCTCGCCATATGGCAAAGTCGGTATGATTTATCTTATAGCATACGCAAAAGTCAGGGTTACCTTACTAATAACATAAATGGAAAAGTTTATCTTTCAGTTTGTTAATTTTCCACAGCCACATCGCTCATCTGATCACTATGACTTTTCTAGCAAACATTAAATTCTTTATTTATATAACGAACTGGCATTGTCCGCGGCTCCGCCCGCGTTCAGGTGACCAGAAACCAAATTCTTAAGTTTTACATATTGTTTTACATATTAGTATACTACTATATTGCAGGTTTTGTATTTTTTCTCAAAAATGAGATATTTTTCCGCGGTAAAAAGTATCCTATGTGTTGACCCGGATATCTAGCTATCACCATACCAAAGTTCATCAAAATCCAACAGACAGACAAAAATCTAAAAACTATAGATTCGGCCTCTGTATCGATTATAATGTCTATTTCAATAAGATTTTCCAAAAAATATCTAATGCACAGATTCGGCTTAGTTACAATTTTATTATATGTATAGATTGTATATTTTTTAAATTGGTTCATAAGAGATAAAAGATTAGTCGTTTTACCCAAAAAAAACTCTATACGAAAATTTTATTTATAAGAATTTAAAAACTACAATGTCGACAGAATAGTGATAATAAGTATTAACTAAATTAAATAGAATATAACTTTGCATTTTCAAACTACAAATTTATA